TATCAGTCCCCCATGGACACTGGGCAGAGAGCCCCTGGTCAACCCACCCTGGGACCCAGAGGGAGTTGTGTGTGTGTGTGTTGGGGGCCAAGTGGCCGTTTTGATTTGTTTGCTTGTCCCAAACTTTGTCTCATGCAGCTGCTTCCAGGAAAGGGTTTATTGTTCTCAGGAAAGAGCGACCTTCTGACCTGCTTTCTGGCCCGTTGGAAGAAGAGATGGATCGACATGAAGCTGTATGCTTTGGTTCTGTTGATTTCCAGGAACCTTATTGACCAAGCCCTGGGTAGGTTGGGTGCAGAGTCAGATTTTATGCCACAATGAAGAAATGTGAATGTGATTCTGGGTTCCTTGTGCTGAAGTTTTAGCAAACTCAGCGAATCCCAGTAGGGGCCAGAAGCTGGCAAGCAGCATGAAAGAACCACAGAAATCTGGAAGGTCTCAATTCCCACAAGGCTTGGGAGAAGGTTCGTGAGAGAGGAAACTGGAACATACTTGGGAAGAGGGCTGGGAAACGGAGGGAGAGAAATGTAGGTGGGAGAATAGGAAGAGCACTGAGGGGAAGATGCAGTTGTCTGTCTTGGAAGCAAGATCTCACAAAGAAGGTTGAGGAAAAGGCTGGGTATGGTTTGGGATCAACTAGCATAGGTCTGATGGCAAGCAGTATTTTTAGATGAAAACACTGGAGATATTTTGAGCAGTGGTGTGGCAAGATCAAGACTGGGGTTATCAGAAGGCTAGTACCATGTCTGCTCCATAGAAGGTGCGAGAAGCAGACTTGTGTGAATTGGGGAGAGGAGGAAGAACACAGAGAGAGTGAAATGTGACCAATGTCCAGACCACTTCTCAGCATCGTTTAGGTCCTAATTGATTTGCTGCTCATCACTAATCCCCAAAGATGGGTGCTGTCATTGTTGGCCTGACACAGATGAGACTAGGCTGTTTCACCCCATGAAAGTGGGAGGTGGTGGATGAGTGAACTGAACATAGCCGAGGTTACTGAGGATTGAGCTCGGGGACACCTCTAACCACACAGCCAAATACCCTCAGTGGTTTGCTTAGAACCCCTCAGTCAGATATTATCTAAACTGAAGCCATGACATTTTCCTCCTCCTGCACGCGCTCACCAAGTCCCATATTCCCCTATGTCATCCATCCCAATGAAGGCCACCACCATCCATCGAAGCATGTAAGCCAGCGGACCTGGTGGCATCTGAACCCCGCCTCCCCCCATTCTACATACCTAGCTGATGTCTCCTTTAATCTCTGATTGTCTTTCTGGTTCAAATGCACACACCAAATCCACCACATTTCCAAGAAGTCTAAGCACTCTTCTCTCACTAGAACAACTGTTCCTTCCACTCTGCCCCTAGAGTCCACTCTTCCTGCAACCCCCACCCACCCCCAATCTTAGCCTGCTTACACAGTGACTTTTTCCTGTTCCCTGGAAGAGTGGCACTTTTTCACTCATTCTTTCCTTATCCCCCAATTCATCCATTTATACTTGCTGTGTTCCAAGTCTTTTTTTTTTTTAATTAAACCCAAGTTCCGATACTCATGTCTCAAAGACTAGGTTGATGTGAAAAAATAAATAAATAAAAAGATAAAAAAAAAGTTAAGGGGCCAGAGTGATAGTACAGTGAATAGAGCAGTTGCCTTGCATGCAGCCAACTGGGTTCGATCCCGAGCATCCCATATGGCCCCCTTAGCCAACCAAGAATGATCCCAGAATGCATTGACAGGAGCAAGCCCTGAGCATCGTTGGGTATGGCCCCAAAAGAAAAAAGAAAGAAAAATAAATTTAAAAAAATTTATAACAAACGAAAGAAAGATTGTTAGGTTTCAGCACTTAGAAGATGGTGGGCTTCTTGTAGTTTTCTCAACCCTCCCAATTATCTCAATCCAGGATTGATGTTAGAGCTTTTGAGGCGGCCTGAGGGGCACACCCTCCAGTGTTCAGGGCTTACTCCTGGCTCTCTGTTTGGAGATCACTCCTGGAGGGGGTTGGGGAAACATATGAGGTATTGGAACTGGAATTGGGTCAAATCCTAGGTACAAGCTAGGCAAATGCCTTAACCTTTCTACTATCTCTCCAGCCCCCAGGGCTAGAGGTTTATAGGAAGCTAGATGGGAAAGAAAATTAGAAGGAACTTGTGGTCATGAATAAAGGAAGATGGGGAATCCCTGAATCTTAAAGCAGTCCAGGCCAGCAAGTGTGGGTAATGAATCCTGAGATAGGATGGTCTATGCCTCTTAAAACTTTGAGACAACTTGATTAAACAACACCCATCTCTGCAGTCTGCGTGGTAACCTTTAAGAAACTTTTCAAGACCAGAGTGATGACTCAAAAGGCAAGTGCATATGCTTTGTAGACAGGAGGCCTAGATTCAATCCCCAGCTCTACTTGGGTCCCCCAAGCACTGCCAAGAAGTGACTCTCTAGCCCCAATCCCAGAGTAATCCCTAACCACTGCCAAGTATGGCCCCAAAACAAACAAAAAATATTATTTTTCAAAAGGTTTGCCGTTTGCTCTTCCCAGCTCTATCCATACCTGGACCTGGTTTAACATTAGACATACAATGCATGAACGAATTTGTCTATTAGGACTGAGAGACAGGGCAAAGGCCAAAAGGGTATGAGGGGTTAAAAAAGTACATATGGGAGGGACAAGATGGAGTCTCTGATCCTTGCTCACTTATAAAGTGCTGAGTGTTGAGATTTTAAGTAAACAGGTTGGCTCAGTGCTGAGGAAGTCATACAGCCTTCACTGAGGGCTGAAGGCTGGGTCCCTGGTGCCACATGGTTCCCTGAGCACCGCTAATAATGGCGTAGTACTGGGTGAAGTTCCAAAGCAAAATACAAACTTCAACCAAAGAAAGGCTTGCTGGGGGCAATCTCCCTGTCTGCCAGCCTGGGTCTATTAATTTGCTACACAGCATGGACCTGATTGGCAAAGGTAATTGCTTAGTCAATTTGGTGATTATGGTCATTCTCGTGATTCATTGTAAGATCCTTGGGGGCAGAACTTTGATTTATTTTGAGCCTCCAGGGCAGGACACTAACCTTGTTCTATGCTGGCTCTAAGTATCTAGGACTATGATAAATGTTGTGGGGAAGGTAAACAGCAGAGAACAGACACAGAACCATGGATAACTTCAAATCTGGTAGGGTACGGGTGGGTATTAGAGTTCAGAAAAAGGAAGCAGGAGTGGACAGGTAGGCAGGAAAATAGAAAAGTTGACTGGGTGTTGGAACGTTGTATGACTGAAACCCAATTATGAACAACTCACAGTGATTCAATTAAAAATATTTATTGGATTTTTTTAAATAGAAAAGTTGGGGCCGGAAAGATAGTAACAGCAGGTAGGGAGCTTGCCTTGCTGTCAGCTGATCTGGGTTCAATCCCTGGGACCCGATATGGTCTCCCAAGCCTTGCCAGGAATGACTCCTAAGTGGAGATCCAGGAGTACAGCCAGGTAGACATATTTCTTGAGAAAAATCACTGGTATGCTAGGAGATACATATGTACACACATATATATGTATACACACATGTACATATATGCACATATATACACTCAATGCACAGATGAAAGAATTATAAGTGTAAGTTATGCATTCATGTATTTATGTGCTTATTTGGTAAATGCTCTAGAGAAGAGAGACTACAGGCTTGGCTGCAACCCAGGAACAATCCCTTTGGCAACTATTGCGTTTGTACTGGCAGACCTTTTAATGGGATTGGGACAGGGCTGAAATAGGCGATGCCTTAGGCTGTTAGAAACAATGCTGGCCTTTGGTCAAGTCACTTAATGTGCGAGTTTAGATAGACTCCTCATGGGAATTCTTTGAAGTTCTCAGCGCCCACTGCAAGCTGAAGCCTACCAATATTGTCAGCTGGAGAGGATAGCATCAGCAAACATTATATGCTCTTAAAACACTCTATTCTGGTCCTCTGATCAAACCTCGAGCAAGGCCATGTTGGAACGATGCGCTTGTTCACTAAAACCTGCTCATTCCAGCCATCCATACAGTATAGGAGTGTGCTATGGAGATTAAGCTATCCTGAACGGCCCTAATGCTGCTTCTAGTGAATGGCCCTCACATCGCCTTCCCAGCATGGTAAGAACACCATTTTATTTTCTGAACATGTAATAAAGAAGCAATAGCAAGTGCTGTGTCCATGCAAACCCCACCCCCATGTATAGCTGATGCAATTTCCAAGCCCCAGCGCCCCCGTTTCAACAGACCATATGGCTTGGCTGTTCTGGGTGAAAGTGCTGCAAATTGTCTCCCTGTCCCAGTAACCAATCTAACCTTTGATCTATTGACTAATCTAACCCAAACTGCAAACCTCAAGTGTTCAGTAACAGTATCTTCAATGGACTGAAATGCATTAGCAAATAAGACTGATTCTGGATGTAGTCTGTGACCCTGCCCTTTCCAGTTAGACCACGCACTCCAGGAGGGCTGGGACTTGGTTGGACTGACACAAGGTAATCGCTCGGTAAACGTTTGTAGCAAGAAGGAACAAAACGTGCAAAGCCCTTAAACGCGAATAAGAACTCAGGCTCTTCTAGAAGGGCTTAATGGCTCCTGGGTGAAAAACAACAATCACATTTTCCTCTTCCACACATTTTTTTGGGGATCATTTTGGAGGATTATTCATAACAAGCAATACAAAATAAATGATTCCGGTTCTGCTTTGGGGGCAGGGTCTGGAGTGCGGGATAGAACTATGGTTCTATGGTGGTGGGAAGATGGGATTTGTGTTCAAATATCAAATGTGATCAAATATCATGAGCAACTTTATAAACATAAAATAAAATTTAAAAATCACTTGATAGAAAAAAAAAAAGAAGAACTCAAGCAAGCGGAAACCTTGCTCGCTTTCCTGTGGCCTGCAACCCGGAAGTGCCCGGGCGGAGGAGAGTCGCTCTGGCCCCCGACCGCCTCCGCTCGATGGCGGCCGCCCTCCGCAGGGCCCGCTCTGGCCTCGCCGCGCCTCGGCTCGGTGGTGGCGCCTCCCGGGGCGGCCGGCGCATGCGCAGCGCATCCGCGCCGGCCCGGATCGCTATGGCAGCGGCGTCGCCGTGGCGGGCGCTCCCGAGCTCGCGCGGGGCCAGGCCGCCTGTGTAGCCGCCCGCACGGCCGCCTCTCGGGCATGAGCGGGGTCTCCCGCCGCTCTGCCCGCTGCCGCCGCCGGGAACATGCCCCTGGCCGCCTACTGCTACCTGCGGCCCGTGGGCAGGGGCAGCTACGGGGAAGTGACGCTCGTAAGGCACCGGCGGGACGGCAGGCAGGTCGGCGGCCCGGGGAGCGGCAGGGGGAGGGGCTGCGGGCCCGAAGGGGACCCCCACCTCGGACGGCACGACCCCTGGGAAGTCCAGCAGGGGCGCCAGCACCAGGCCAGGTTCCCCAGTAACGTGCGCCCCGGAGGCCCCTTGGTAACAGGCTGTGCCGGGTGCACCCAGATCTGGCATCCCCAGCAGCACCCCGTTATTTACTAAGGAGCAATAAATAGCTGCCAGTTATTTTGGGCCCCAAACGCCCCGTTTAGAGACTGCTGTCTTTCAAAGCCAGTTCTTAGCCCGGGCCAGGGTTCCCCAGTTCAGCGAGTGACATCAGCACTCGCTAGCCAGCCACCCAAGCCGGACACCTGGGTGCCAGCGATAGCATCCTTTTATTTATCGACCCGCTTTTATCGCACCCATCCAGGACCCCGTTGTCTAGCTGAATTGTGGCCACCAGCTCCTCCCAGCCCTATGGGGCTTGCTCTTCTTCAGTTCATCACGGTTGTCCCAGTCTCATCAGTCTCTTTGGAAACGTCGATCTGTGTCACTATGATTTAATGCACGCGATCTCATCACAGTCAGGATGTAGAGCCAGTTCTTAACGTGGTTTATTAATAATAGGGTGACCATGTGGTATATAATCTGAAACAGTTTTGAAAAGGATAGGAGGCACTGTTAAAGAATTGCACCAGGAAGAGGGGCCCAGGCAGGTAGGAACGTGGAAGGGCACATTCCTAGCAGGGGCAAGGCCTGAGTTGGTACCTTGTGACCACCCCCAGCACTGCTGGGTGTCAGCCTGTGGCACCAGCAACGTTGGGTATGGCCCTGAGGAGGCCTCCATGTACACTCGGCTGCAGGGACAGAGCTTTGCTAGGAGTGCCCCCTGTTAAAAGTATTCATGACACCAAGAGAGATGGACTGCCTCCGACAAGCTGAGATGCTCCCCTCACTATAAGGACCTCTGGCTTATTCTGCCATGTCTCAGATGGGATGCTGCTGGAACACGAGCTCAGGCATAAGAGTTTCAGTAAACTTCCTCACTCCAGCTCCTGACAGTGCTTTTTCTTTAATGGAAATACTTTGGGATGTTGGGAACCAGTCACCTTATTGGGGCATGGATTCCTTTGAATAATGCATATCTTGGACCTGGTTGGTTGGTCTGTGGGTATATTTTCGAATCATTCGTTTAAGACACATAGTAGGGGGCTATTAGAGGGTGTAAAACCTCAATCAGAGATTTTATGATTGATCCCATGGAATGTTAACGTGACCTCACTTTTCCACCATTGTGATTGTAAATGGAAAAAAAAGGAAGGTATAATTTTTTGGTGACTACCCCTCCCCCTTCTAGGCTCCAAGTCTAACTTGTAAAAAATTCAGTTAGTAATAAGAAATCTTTTTGTCAAAATCTGCTTTATGAATAACAGAAGGAATAGGGGTTCTGTCAGGCTCTAGAAAGTTGGTTTTGAGGAAATTTAGGTGAGCCCTTAACAACTTCCTAATCTATAAAACTCTGTTGGTTTGCACATTGTAAGAACAACAATAGCAAAATCTTGTTTTCTTTGTAGTATGTCATCAAAAAACTGAACCTCCGAAATGCGTCCAGCCGAGAGAGGCGAGCTGCTGAGCAAGAAGCCCAGCTCCTGTCGCAGCTGAAACACCCCAACATTGTGACCTACAAGGAGTCGTGGGAGGGAGGGGACGGTCTGCTGTACATTGTCATGGGCTTCTGTGAAGGAGGCGATCTGTACAGAAAGCTCAAGGAGCAGAAGGGGCAGCCTCTGCCTGAGAGTCAGGTGGTGGAGTGGTTTGTTCAGATCGCGATGGCTCTGCAGGTACAGTGGCTCCCAGGATGCCCACATACTCCAAGGGGGCGGGGTGGAGTAGGGGGGACCTCTTAGGAAAATGCTTTGCAAAATGCTGACTTTAAAAACAATGTGTTTTGAAAACTGGTGGAGAAATAGTAAAGTGGTGAAGTTGCTTGCCTTGCATTTGGCTGACCTAGGTTTGATTCCTGGCACCCCAGATGATCCTTTGATGCCTGCCAGGAGTGATCCCTGAGCCAGGAGAAAGCCCTGAATACTGCAGGTGTGGCCCCCCGCCCCCCCCGCCCACGTTTTTCTTTTTAATTTGTGTTGGACTGCAGGTCTATTTGGGACACCTTAAGGTCCCCTAACACCTCCAGGAGAAACCCCCTGATACCACCTTTGTGACTCAGATACAAAGAAGCAAAATTTCATTTTTCATTTATAATGCTTACCCATGCCTTCTTGCTGTAGATTTGGAATTTTTCCCAGTGTGTGTTTCCCAGGGCTGGAGCGATAGCACAGCGGTAGGGCGTTTGCCTTGCACGCAGCCAATATGGCCAACCCGAGTTCGATTCCGCCACCCCTCTCGGAAAGCCCGGCAAGCTACCCAGAGTATCTCGCCCGCATGGCAGAGCCTGGCAAGCTACCCGTGATGTGTTCAATATGCCAAACACAGTAACAGCTGTCTCACGATGGAGATGTTACTGGGCCCACTCGAGCAAATCGATGAATGGGAGGACCGTGACCGTGTGTTTATTGTAAACAGACAGATATTTTATATCTAATCACAGGAGAGGCCAGTGCTCCATGTGTTTCATTTTTATAGCAAAGACAACTTTGACGGTCCTGAGTTGACAAAGAATTATCAGCAGGTCCACCACATATGTCATAGTGAAAAGTGACTGAGATAGTTAATATGCTTAAATTTTGGGAACTTGGGTATTAACTCTGTTTTGATTGGAAATTCAAAACAGTTTGTATTTTAACATACACATATTTAAACATGAGACTCTTTATGAAGTACCACTGTAGGACTGGGTAGATTACCCAGGATTGATGACTTTGTTTAAATTGTGTGATACTCTACAGACAGGTGAACTTGCTATATTTGAAATTATTCTAAAATTATTCTTAAATTGACGATTTCATGAGTCTAAAAGGAATCTACATATGATGTGTAAGTTGTCTTTGTACTTTCTTTCTTTGTTTGTTTTTGACCACACCCAGTGGTGCTCAGGGTTTACTCCTGGTTCTCGACTCAGAGACCATCCTGGTGGCCTTGAGAGACAGTATGGGTGCGGGTATTGATTCCAGATTTGCAGGCAAAGCAAGAGCCCTACCTGCTGTACTGTTGCTCCGGACTTCTGTCTTTCTACTTTCAGTGGGAGTTCCAGCATACTTCCTAACTGGATTCATATAATGCCAAATGATATAATCATCAACCACCAGGGAGAGTTGTATAAGATATGGGTAGATTGATGCATGGAACTTCATTTTGTTTTCTTTTGGGGATCCTAGCAAGCAGTCCTCAGAAGGCCTAGGTGGGCCCCACCAGTACTTCTTGACCAGCAGACTGGTGGTTCGTGGCCCTCAGGATACCAGCTTCTATGGCCTCACAGTGCCTGGGTCACCCCAGCAGTGTTCAAGTCGAACTCAGACCCAGTTTGACTCATGGTAGGGATGTACCCTAACTGTTGTACTGTCTCCCAGTCCCTGGAAATTTTACTTTACTTTATGGTTGCTTTTTGGGCCATGCACAGCAGTGCTCACTCTTGGCAGTACTCAGGGAACCATAGGGGGTGTCTTGGATGAAACCCGGGTCAGACCATGTGCAGGGCAAACAATCTACTATCCACTGTACTATCTCTCTGGTCTCATCCTCTGGAACTTAATTTTTTAATTTTGGCTTGGTCACTTTGTTTTATTTTTGGGTCATTCCCGGCTCTGTGCTGCGGGCTTACTTACTCCTGTTGGGGTCTGAGGGACCTTATGGGGTGTTGGGGATTGAACCTGAATTGGCCGTGTGCAAGGCAAGCAGCCTACCTGCTATACTATTGCTTTTTTTTTCTTTGCCATACCCAGCAGTGCTCAGGGGTTGTTCCTGGCTTGACACTCAGGAATTACTCCTGACAAGCCTGGGAGGGACATATGGGGTTCCCAAGGATGGAACCCAGATCGGCTGCGTAGAAGGCAAGTGCCCGATGCACTGCACTCTCTCCAGCCCCCGCCTCTATGTTCTTATTTTGGAAAATTGCAAATTAGGCTTTTTATTTAGAGGTTACAAAACAATAGTGTTGTTGTTGTGTTGTTTGTAGGATACTCCAGGCAGTGCTCAGGGCTTACTCCTGAGTCTTACTTTCAGGGATGACCCCTGGTGGGGCACAGGGGACCTTATGGGGTGCCAGGGATTGAGTCTGGGTTGGCTGTGTACAAGGCAAGTGCCCTTATCCACTGTATTACTGCTCCAGCCTCAAAACAATGGGGTTTTGATATATAGATAACTAAGGCTCTTTAATTCTTTCATTTGAGGGTATATAACACAGCCAGGAAGAAATCACTGTCGCGTGTACTATATTTAATGATATGCTGATATTTCTTCTCGCAGTATTTACATGAAAAACACATCCTTCACCGAGATCTCAAGACTCAAAATGTCTTCCTAACCAGAACCAACATCATCAAAGTGGGGGACCTAGGAATCGCCCGCGTGTTAGAGAACCACTGTGATATGGCCAGCACCCTCATTGGCACACCCTACTACATGAGCCCCGAACTGTTCTCCAACAAACCCTACAACTATAAGGTAGGGCTGAACACGCACTCCTTGTCTCTATAGGGTAGAGCCCATAAGGCCACTCAGAAGAATCATCTTTTTTTTTTTTCTTTTTGGGTCACATCTGGCGATGCACTGGGGTTACTCCTGGCTCTGCACTCAGGAGTTACTCCTGGCGGTGCTCAGGGGACTATATGGGATGCTGGGAATCGAACCTGGGTTGGCCGCGTGCAAGGCAAACTCCCTACTCGCTGTGCTATCGGTCCAGCCCAGAAAAATCATCTTCGAGTTGGATTAGGAGAATGTTTTTCTGAAAGGGGAAAAATGTAAATAAGACAGTTCCACATTTAGCCCTCTTCTATTTTCCTTTCCTAGTCCGATGTTTGGGCTCTGGGATGCTGTGTTTATGAAATGGCCACTCTGAAGCATGCTTTCAATGCAAAAGACATGAATTCTTTAGTTTATCGGATTATCGAAGGAAAGGTAAGGACATTTCTTTCCCTCTCTCTCTCTTTTTTTTTCTTCTGTATTCAGTCAAGTTTTATTGAGCACTTTACCTTACAGTATGAGGCGAAAGGAAAATAATTTCTCCTCAGCTAATTATTTTACACAGCTATAAAATATTTAGACTTCAGGGATTTAGGAGGAATGACAACTAATGAATTTGGAATCAAATAATAAGTTCTGACTTCTTGAATTTTTTAGTTGACTCCTTAACACAGTAACCAGCTTCAGTTAGTTACATAAGCTGCATCAAGGCCATTTTTATTTATGCTGATGTTTTTATAGCTGAAGCATTGCTATTTCCATCAACATTCGCTAATTACACTTCAAAAAATGAGTTTTGTATTCGGTACATTGGCTTCTGGAAGTCCTTCCCTTCTTTAAGGCCATTCTTGTTTCAGCTCCAGTTGAACCTTTTCTGCTTTATTCAGAGTCCAGGGTGTCAGCCTTCCCTGTGCTAACTTTGCCTGGTCTAACCGTAAAACTTAAGGCATGGCATTTTTTTTCCTTTGGTATGTTTCTGCTTTACCCGGAATGAACTGCTTTAACTATTTGGAGCAGGGTAAGTTTAATGCAGTTTTGTAAGTAGACAAGAACAAAAGTAACCATTAATGTTGGATGGATAGTTGATAAAGTGGGTTCCTATAGTGGGGAAGGTTGAACTTGAGGACATGAGACTGATCACTTGGCAGGGGGATGGAGGGGCACCCTACTCTATATGGTCAGAGGCTACTGTCAGCTCTGTGCTCAGGGTCCTTGGGGGGACCAGGGGGTATCAGGGACCAAACTGAGCCTCCTGCATGGGAAGCATACGTCAGGCCTGTCATGCTATTTCTCCAGCCCCAGATCAGTTTTAAATAATTTTGTAAAGGTGGATTATTGGCTTTGAAGACTTCAGCTGGTGCTGCTAAAGATTGAATCTGGGGCTCCTGCATGCAAAGCATGAGTTCCAGCCCTTAAAGTCATATTCTAGCCCCTGCAAGAAAATATTTTTCCATGTCAGAATATCTTACCATGCCAGGTCTTATTTAAGACATTGCTAGTATTTTATTAGAAGGATATATTATAATCTGTTCCATACATCCCCAGTGAATAGACATTTAAGTTTTTTCTTGATGTTTGCCACTGAACAATATTGGAATGAATTGCCTGGTAGATACAGCTTTAAGAATCCATACTCTTATTTCTACAGAAGATAATCCCCAAGTGGGACTGATGGCCTGAAGGATGCACTTTTGCAACCTTACAGCTTGTTACTATAATTCGCACACCATACACTGTGCATACACTTATATACTCATTATTTTCTGATTGCGTGGGTCATAACTCTACATATTGAGAAACCTTTGCCGTTTACTTTGCTTCACGAGACCACTATTCATAATTGCAGTATTATTTCTCTCTGCAGCTGCCACCCATGCCGAAAGATTATAGCCCAGAGCTGGCAGAGCTGATCAGATCAATGCTGAGCAAAAGGCCTGAAGAGAGACCGTCTGTGCGCAGCATCCTGAGGCAACCTTACATAAAGCGCCAAATAGTCTTGTTCTTGGAGGCCACAAAGGCGTAAGCAACTGCCCTTAGCAATAACTTAGATGGAGTAGGAGAGGGTGGCTTTTACTTTTTTTCAACATGGAGGAAATCGTGATGGTGGTTTCCTTAATTTTTATTGATAAGGATTTGTGTTTTTGGGGCTGGAGAGCTAGTACAACAGGTAAGGCTCTTGCCTTGCACATGACCGACCTGGGCTTGATCCCTGGCATCCTATTTTGTCCCCCAACCCCAGCCAAGAGTGATTCGTGAGCACAGAACCAGGAGTAACCTCTGAGCTTCACCAGGTGTGGCCTGAAAACAAAAGGGATAAAAAAAAGATTTTGTGTTTTGTGTTTTTTTGTTTTTGGGGGTTTTTTGGTTTGTTTTATCTGGCAGTATGCAGGAGTTATTTCTGGTTTAGTACTCAGGGGTCATTCCTGGTGGTGCTGTGTGAGTTTCAAAGGAAAAGTGTGGGCACACGGGACTTGAGCGTTCGGTCGCCGAGAGCTGCCTCCTCAGGCTGGCCCACAGCGGATGAACAGACGGACTAGGGCAATGGAGAAACAGGAACTGGGCCTCAGGCCGGTCAGTAGTCAGTTTATTTCTCTCTCCCCAGAGTAGTCCAATCTCTCCCCTTACAGCACAGTTGTAGTCACAATCCCCTTAGAGGACAAACTATCATAGTCATAGTTTTGGTCATAGTCCCAGTCATCATAGTTCCATCATCCTCATCCTCATAGTCCTCACCTTCTAGTCATCATCCAGTCGTCATAGTTCTCATTCCATTCTGGTTCTCATCTAGTCCTTCTCTTTCTCATAGTTATCATCCCCTTTCCCATTTCAGCATAGTTATATAGACATCATGAAGGGTGGGGGTACAACATGGGTGGGGTTGAACATTGTCATAACGACAAACAGAGGTAAAGCCACTCCTTCAGGGGAAATTCTAGGAGATTAATTCAAGGACAAAATCTCATCTGAGGGTTCGCACTCTAGATTACTAAGAGATCCACTCAAGGATGGGATTCCATCTAGGGTGTATTGCTTTCTCCTTTCCTCAGCTAGTAATCCATTTAACCAATCATAGTAAACTTACTTCTTATAATATTTCTAGTTCATTTTGTATGGACACAGTAAGAGATATATTAAGCTCAAAGGTTTGATCTTCCTGGGGACGTCTCCCTATATATTCCAGACCACAGTCTTCAGGCCAGATTAGTCTTTCCAACCCCAGTGGGGTCCTTATTCAGTTACTTCCTTTTTGGGTCATGACAGAGTTTGTCCATGACCATGCTCTTATTATACTTATGATGCTTAGCTTGTCCCCTTTTGATGCCAGGGTAGCTTATTGCTTGCCCTGGGTTCATCCAGTCCCTTCATCGGGACCTTGCTTTTGGAGTGCTAGGAACTAAGGGCAACTGAGGCTTAAGTGAATATGGATGCCCAGGAGTAAATATTATTTTAGAGTCAATTAACTCCCATGTTACAAAGCATAGCATCAACTGTCCTCCTGTGTCTATACAAAAAGGACATTTCTAAACTATGCAAGTGACATAAAGGAAAGAGAAAAGCAAGATAGGATTATTGGTTCTTGATGGAATTGGGTGTGCCTCAGGGACACTGTTATGGGAGTTACTCAGTAAACCTAAGCTCCCTGTGGGAGGAGAAAGGACAGTGTTGTCCAACGGTGCTGGAGGACCATGTAGGCCAAAGGTTAAATCTGGGGTCTCTTTAAAGCCTGTACTCCAGCCCCATTGAACTCTCTCTCTCTCTAGCCCCTACTGGGATCTGTGGTGGTGGGAAATGGGCACTGGTGGAGGGATGGGTATTTGATCATTGTATAATTGAAACCCAAGCACAAAAATTTGTAACCCTACTGATATTTTTACAAAAAGGAAGTAAAATTGCATGATAAGAACACATGTTGAGATTTGCATAATTGCCAAAATCAGCAATTGGAGAACCATTTAAAAAAAATAGTCCTCAGAGGATTCTAAAACATACTGAATGTGATTTTTTTTTAAAAGAAGACCTATTTTTAGGAACCAACTTAAAAAACACACAAAGCCTGGCAAGCTACCCGTGACGTATTCAGTATGCCAAACACAGTAACAACAAGTCTCAAAATGGAGACGTTACTGGGCCCGCTCAAGCAAATCGATGAACGGGAGGACAGTGACAGTGACAATATGTTATGTACTGTGTTAGAAAATAGTGAGAATTTTCCTAAGGTATTTATTTTTTTCCCTTCTTTTTTCTTTTTTCTTTCATGGCTCTTTGGGTCACACCTGGCAGTGCTTAGGGGTTACTTCTGGCTCTGCACTCACTCCGGAATCACTCCAGGTGGTGCTCAGGGGACCATCTGGGATGCCCGGGACCGAACCTGGGTCAGCTGCATGCAAGACAAATGCCCTACCTGCTATATTATCATTCTAGCCCCTCTATTTATTTATTTTATTTATTTTTAATCATACCCAGAGGTATTCAGGGGCTTCCCGGTTCTGGGCTTAGAGATTACTCCTGGCGGTGCTCAGGGGACCACGCAGTGTCGGCGAGTTGTACCAGGGTCAATGTGATGCAAGGCAAACACCTTAGCATCTGTACTATCTCTCCAGTTACTTAAAGTGGAGGCCAGAGATGTATCTCAGTGATCCGGCACATGCTTGCATATGGAGGATGTAGGTTTAATCCTTGGGACCCACAAGAACAAATAATCAGGGCCCCAGAGATAGTACCGGAGGTAAGGCATTTGCTTTGTGTGTGGCTGTTGCAGCAGTGACTCCACTTCTGATCCCTTGTACCACATAAGGTCCCCTGAGGACCAGCCTGGGTCACTCCTGAGCACAGCACCAGGATTAGACCCTGAGCAGAGCTGGGTGTGCTTCATCCCACCCCACCCCCCAAAAAAAGAAATTCTCAAGAAAAAGGGCTAAGAAATAACTCAAAGAGATAGAACTTTATGTTTTGCATCTTTCACACTGCACGGTCCCCTGGGCACTACTGGGAGTGACCCCCAGGCACTGACCTGGGAACTGCCAGGTATGGCCCTCAAACCAGAAATCCCAAAAAAACGAACAAAAATAAGGAAAAAATTTTTTTAAAAAAAGGGATTTTTTTTTTAATGGAGCAATTCTTTAAGGGAGTATAATATATCTATGTCTTTTCTCATATACCTAAAAACCCCTTATCTTCACTATATTGATGACTTTTTCTTCTTTCTCATAAAGCAAAACCTCCAAAAATAATATTAAAAATGGTGACTCTAAATCCAAGCCTGTTGCTACTGTGGTTTCTGGAAAGGCTGACTCAAATCATGAAGTTGTTCCCTCCCGAAAGTGCTCGTCTGAGGGCTCCAAGACATGTATAATGGTATGTTTCTTTTTGTTTAGATTTTGATTTTCAAAACTTTCCCTTTCCCTTTGGTTGTTAAGAGAACTGGGGGTGGAAGCCTGAGTTGTGGCGTGGCCTTTCTGGATGGAGAGTGGCAACCTTAGTTGCTGTGCTCACACACACACATACACACACACACACACACACACACACACACACTCAGTTGCCATGTGAGTTGCATTCTGTATTTTTGTTTTTGGTTTTCAATTATGGTGCCAGGAATACCAAACAGAAGTCCCCCCAGGATGGCTCTTGCCTCCTAGCTCCTGTGCCTACAAGGCAAGCACTGATTGTTGAGCTGTCCCTGGGCTCCAGTGTGGGATTTTGTTTTCTTTTCTTTTGGGGTCACACCTGGTCACACCTAAGTGCTCAGGGCTCTGCACTCCAGGGTCATTCCTCGTGGACTTGGGAAACCACATGGGATGCAGGCAGTTGAACCTGGGTTGACTGTGTGCAAGGCAAGTGCCCTACCTGCTGTGCTGTCTCTCTGGCCCCAGTGTGGTGTCTGGTTGTTTGTTTTTGAGCCACACCTAGCAGTGCTCAGGGCTTACTCCTGGCTCTGAGCTCAGTGATCACCCCTGGTGGGGCTCAGGGAACCCTGTTGGGTCTAGGATCACACCCAGGTCAGACACATGCAAAGGCCAAGGCCTTACTATTTATCCAGCCCTTGTTCCCGTTTATCTTGTAAGTGTGTGTGTATATGGTGCCGAAGATTAAATGTTGTATATAAAAAACGTGCTCTACACTGTCATAATCACGCTACTGAAAAAGTCATGATTTTCTTTTCTTCTTTTCTGTATGAGCCCCACACAGCCGTACTGGAGGCCACTTCTGGTGGTGTTTGGGGGACCATGCAATGACCCGTGCTCCTGCATGCAAAGCAGGCCCTGCAACTCTGTGAGATGCCTCCCTGGCCCTGTTTCCTTTATGTTGTTCTAACTGTTGTTGCTCCTTTTTCAGGAGTCTGCCTGAGAATTTCTTGCCTTACCCCAGGTCTTAAAGATGTTTGCCTATGTTTTCTTCTAGGAGTATTGTCCTTGTAGCTCATATTTAGGTTGTTAATTTGTTTTATTGCGACATATATATATATATATATATATATATGTATATATATATATATATATAGCCATTTGACTCATTGTTGTTTTTTTCTGTTTTTGTTTCTTCGGGAGCATACTCAGTGGTGCCCATATGGTATGGGTCATGGTATGGGTTTGAGACTCAAACCCGGGGCTCCTGCATGGGAAGCTTGCATGCCAGTCCTCGGAGCTATCTGTCTGGCCCTGTTTGAGTCATTTAAAAAAATTATTTAAGCACCCTGGTGTGTAACACCAGCCTCCCCTCTCCCCCAACCCTCCCCCTTTCTTCTCTGTGGCGAGTTGCCTCTGTTGCCTCTGGTATCTGTTACACCCTTATTTTGTTTCTTTATGCACCACTTATGAGAGAGATCATCCTGTGTCTTTTGCTCTAATTCTGACTAACTTCACTCAGTCTGAAGCTCCCATTTGAATCATATTTGGGCATGCAATTCAGTGACCTTAATTATGTCCACAGTGTTGTGCAACCAGCTCCACCAACTTCCAAACACCCTTTCGTCATTTCAAACAGAAACTTTGCACCAATTAAGCAATGCCCCCTTCCCCCCATGCCTCTACTGTTAAGTCCCAGTAACGGATGATCGGCTTTCTGTGTACTCGCCTTTTATGTACCTAGTATAAATGGAATCATACAATCTTTGCCTCTGTGTCTGGCTTATTCCCCGTAGCATGTTTTCAAGGTTTATCCATATTGGAGAATATGTTAGGACTTTACTCCTTTCTCAGACTTTCTGTCGTTCCAGTGGATGTATGCACTGCATCCATCCATTCATCTGCTAGTGGGCATTTGAGTTGTCCACCTTCGGACCATTGTGGATGCTGCTGCTGCTCACAGATATTTGAGTCTTTCCTTGGGGTGATGTACTGAGGAGTAGTGTAATAACTTAGAAGCTTATTTCCACCCAGGCTGAAGACCGATGTTTGTCCCAGGAGAAAGCCATAGTTGTCGAGCCCTTGAAGACACCTGCAAATCTGAAAGACCCCACGTGCAAAGCAGACTTGAGCAGCACTGCAGAATCACTGGCCACAATCAGCAGGGTGGATATTGACCTCCTACCTGCAGAGAGGAGGGACTCAGGGGGCAGAGTGGTTCATGAGGACCAGCCAAGAGGCTTAGGTGCTGTGAATGAGCCAGAAAGTAAAAGCACTCTTTCTCAAATGAAGGAGAGGCTTCAGGATGACACTGTACCCAGCCCTCAGCCTGGAGCCCTAACTCCCACATGCTCCTCTGATGATGTCACTGGGGAAAGGAATGTTCCAGCGAAGCCTCTGCAGCCCCTAAACACAAACCCAAAGCCGAAGGACCAGGTGAGTGATCTGCACCAGGCACTGGAGACATCTGTGATAGAGGGCTGTCTGCTCTGGTGGTGCTTTAGTTGACATTTTAGGAAAATCTGTTACTCTATGTACTGGCTTAAACCTAATGGAACCCAAAGGATGGGACCCATGGGATTCTTAGATTCATTCCATGCCTTGCCGTGGTTGAAACTTGGAATTTAAAACAATAATTTAGGGGTTAGAGTGATAGCACAGTGGGTAGGGCATTTGCCTTGCATGCGGCCAACCTGGGTTCGATTCCCAGCATCCCATATGGTCCCCCGAGCACTGCCAGGAGTGATTCCTGAGTGCAGAGCCAGGAGTAACCCCTGAGCATCGCATTTCTTTTTGTGACCCAAAAAGAAAAAAAAAAACAATAATTTAGATTTATTAAAATACTGTGATTTACAAAGTTATAATACAGTTGTTTCAGGCATACAGTGTTCTAACACCAATCCCACCAACAGTGTGACCTTCCTTCCACCAGTATCCCCAGTTTTCCCATCCTGCTAAAGCATGCAGTTTGTATGTTGTTTTCCTATTTGTTTGACCCTTCTGTAGTCTTCCCAGGGAATAGGTAGTTCCAGCTACCAGATAATACTATATTCCTTCTGGTTTTTGAAAAGTTAGTGGATTGATCTGATTTCTTAAGGAATTAAATACTTTGTTTTTTTAAGATATATATATATATATATATATATACGTTTCTAACATATCTTAAGTTTTAGGTATATATTAAGTTCTTAAGGACTTACAAATACACTGTAGCACCGTCCTCCCGTTCATCGATTTGCTCGAGCGGGCACCAGTAACGTCTCACAACAAATTGTGAGACTTATTATTACTGTTTTTGGCATATCGAATATACCACAGGGAGCTTGCCAGGCTTTGCTGTGTGGGCGAGATACTCTCAGTAGCTTGCTGGGCTCTCCGAGAGGGGCAGATGAATTGAACCCGGGTCGGCCACATGCAAGGCAAACGCCCTACCCGCTGTGCTATCACTCCAGCCCTACAAATATGTATATCAAAAGTTTAAAAAATAAATGTGAAGATTTGTTTTATTTTATTTATTTTGATATTTGAGCCATATTCGGCAGTGCTCAGGGCTTAGTCCTGGCTCTGCATTCAGGGATCATTCCTGACAGGCTCAGGGGACTGTGTGGGTTGCCAGGGATTGAACCTGGGTCAGCCACATGTGAGGCAAGTACCCTACCCTATTGCTCTTGACCTTATTTATTTTGGGGGGAGCCACACCCGGTGGTGCTCAGGGGTTACTCCTGGCTCTATGCTTAGGGATCACTTCTGGCAGTGGTGATCCGGGAACTATATGGGATGCCAGGGATCAAATCCAGGTTGGCTGTGTGCACGGCAAATGCCCTACCTGCTGTACAATTTTTTCGGTCCCAAAATCTTTGATTCTTTTTTTGATTGTTTTGTTTTTGTTTTGGGACCACACCTGGCCATGCTCAGGGCTGACTCCTTGCTCTGTATTCAGTAATTACTCCTGGTAGTGCTCCGGGGACCACATGAGATGCTGGGGATTGAACTCCAGGCAGCTGTGTCCAAGACAAACGCCCTACCCACTGTGCTATTCCTCAAGCCCCTCCAGTCCCTGTTGTAATGTTTATATGCATTAGCTGAAATAACGAAACCCAGGGTGATCTTTTTAACTTAATAAAGATTATTTGTATTATCATTACTACTGATAATGATTTTTTTTCACTACTGATAATGATTAGGATCCATGTTTAGAGCACTCAGTATGTGTTAAACATAGTCTTAGGAGCTTCATACACCACTCATGGAGTGCGGCATTTTGCCGATTTATCAATTAGGAACACACAGCGGTAGGGCGTTTGCCTTGCACGCAGCCAACATGGCTGACCCGAGTTCGATTCCTCCGCCCCTCTCGGAGAGCCCGGCAAGCTACCGAGAGTATCTCGCCCGCACGGCAGAGCCTGGCAAGCTCCCCGTGACGTATTCGATATGCCAGACACAGTAACAACAAAGTCTCCAATGGAGACGTTACTGGGCCCGCTCGAGCAAATTGATGAACAACAGGAGGATAGTGGACAGACAGTGACGTTCAGGGAGATTTAGTTTCTCAGAAACGGCAATTCTGACTTCAAATTCAGTGCTCTTTTCATTAAGTTTTTTTAAGGTCTATCCAAATAACTGAAGTTTATTTGCAAAGTAAATGTATATTAAAGTGGATTTAAGGGCTGGAGTGATAGTACAGTGGGTAGGGCACTTAATTCATGTGGTTGACTTGGATGGATCCTTAGCATCACATATGGTTCCCTGAGCCCTACCAGGAGTGATCTCTGAGCACAGAGCCAGGAGTAAGCCCTGCGTACAGTCGGGTGTGCAACTCCCCCAAAACAAAACAAAACAAAACAAAACAAAAAGTGGACTTAATTGATGCCTAACTGAAAGTTAGAAAAACATTTTAAAAAAATTGAAAAAACTAACATCAGTAGTTTCTGTTTAATAATAATCTGGATAAATTTTTTGTTTGTTTTGTTTTTTGAGTCACTGGCTCTGCACTTAGGAATTACTGCTGGCCATGGTCAGCACTACTGGGGATGCTGGGATGCTGGAGATCAAACCCTGATTGGGTACATACAAGGCAAGTGCCTTACCTATTGTGCTGTCAGTTCAGTTCAACATCTGAGTAATTTAATGAAAATACTTTTTATTTGGGTAAAGGAAAAAGAAAAAAAGCCAGAATATGTGAATAACTTATGTTGGTATTTTGCATTGGCCTGTTTACTCTGCTTATGTGTTTAAGTGTAATTTTAAAGGTGGGCATGGAAGATTTGGCCATATGAAAGTTAAAAATGCAGTTTCAGGGCCAGAAATGTGCCTCAGTGGCAAAGCACATTCCTTCCATGTGTCAGGCCCTGGGTTCCATCTCCAGCATGGCAGAATTTAAACACATTTTTTTACTATGTCGTTTGTCTCATTTTACTATTTTTTTTTTTAAGGATCAAGTTTCTGATAACTGTATTCCAGAGAAGCAGGACAGGATTCACCCAGGCTTACTGCCACACAGTTCAGGCTCTGACCCTTCTTTGTCTCGACAGCGACGGCAGAGGAAACAAGAACAGACTGAGCACTGTGGGGAAAAGAGAGAGGTCAGTTCTGCTCGGGAAACAGACTTCAGGGAATTGGGCTTCTATTTCGAATGACGTACAGTTGCCCCAAAAAGGCATATACGAGATGCAAGAACATATGGAGAAGGGTGGCAGCAGCAAGAATGCTAAATACTAGTTTTCAAATGTCCTCAAAGTGAGCATTTTATCTTGCTGCCCATTGTCCATCTCGCCAGGGTAGACTGATCATTTTGAGAACTAGAGGGGACAGACTGACAAGTACCAAACTCTGATCTCTCCTGGGTCATGTTGGTGAGCAGTTTCTGGGCTCCTGATAAGGAGGCATATAATGTCACTGATGCCTAATAAGGCATAGTCACTGATGCCTTATTATTTGACATTATATCACAGACACAGGAGACTTCCCAGTGGGGGGAAGGGGGATGTGCTTTGGGAGTGACTGTGTATGAAACTGATCATCTTCCCTTACCTGCCCTTTTAAAAAATATTTCATTTATTTTTTGAAACACTTTTAAGTTCCAGGAGGCTCTTCCTCAACATTTGCCTTCTCTTCCTACTGCTGAAAAAGTGGACGTCACGCCAGCACAAACGAATGCTGAGAAGCAGAGCATGGTAGTCTCTGTCCCTGTGAGCAGTTCTAGGGGCACGGAGGTCTCATTATCAAAGGTTGGTGGATTTGGGCAGGGGGGCCACCTGTAGCAGTGGCTGGGGGCTTCTCCTGGCTCTGGGCTGGGCTCCACAAGGTGCTAGGGATGGCGCCCAGATCTCCCACAGGCAAAGGATGCTTTGAGCCTGTTTAACTATTACTCCAGCCTCAGGTTTGAAAATAAATCCGACTGAGTTGTTTGGCTGTAAAATCCTGCACACGTTGTCAAGTTCTATATTCAAGTAACTTCACTCTGCTTTTTGCCAAATATTGGAAAGATCAGATTTATGCTCTTCAGCAGAAATTTTGACATGGACAGATTCTAATGATCCAGGGATGGTCACTTCAGTTAATCAAGGAGACCAAGAGACCAAGTAGATTTTTAACCTGGGGAAAGCAGAGTACCATCTCCCCTCAGCCCTACCCTATTTCCATTCTGAAAATGAGCACTTCCCAGGAATGCAGGCTGTGGTCTTTCCTAGCTCCTAGCTATCACTCTGCTCTAGGTGCTTTCATGTGGACCCTCCTTTCACGACCTATGTCTTTTCCACATTCCTCATGCACTGAAGGGTTCTAAGAGTGGTGAGTGGGACTGGAGTGACTCTTTTTTTCAACAGGACCGACCCTTATCAGCAAGAGAGAGGAGGCGGCTGAAGCAGTCACAAGAAGAAACACACCCTGCAGGTAAAGCTGCTCCCTCATTCCTCTGCTTGTGGTGGTTGATGTGGTTCATGGACATCAGCCCTGATTCTGCGTGAGGGGTCTTTAGAATTGACAAGCATTGGTAAACTATTTCGGAAACTGACTAGGAAGCGTTTTTGAAAAGTACAAGTCAAACCCTTGAAAAACCAGCAAAGGACATTGGAACTCGAACTTGCATTAGCAGAGAGAGTGGATAGTAAAAGAGATAAAGAGGGGTGGGGAAATGACTTATATGACATCACATGCTATGCGTGAGGCCCTTTGTTTGGTTCCTGGTATCCCTAATATTGCTCTGGTGGCTGCTAGCATCAGAGCACTAACCACCAGACCTGCACAGGGAATGAGGGTCCCTACTAGAAAGAGGGAGAGAAAGAGCGCTTAGGAAAACAGTAATTGCTGGGGGATTTCAGACAAGAGATGAAGCAATTGTTTAATGTGTTAAAACATGCTCAGAGTCTGCTGCTTTTCTTGGGAGCAGAGAACGGAACCCAGGAGAATGGTACTACCCTGGGCTGACCATTCTCTTTCCTAGCATTATGCGTTTTCTCTAGAGACGGCCGTTGCAGTTTCAATTTCTTGAATGCTGACTGTCTTAAGTATTACAGCGAGCATTTTAGCAGGCTCTCATTTCCTCCTGACAGTAACCCTCCAAGGCAGGGAGCATTATCCCCACTTTGCAGCTAAAGAAACTAAGGCTCAGAAGGATTAAGTAACTATTGTCTGAGGTCACATTGCTGCTCGACCTAGAGCTGAAATTTGAAGTGTGGAGTCAGATAACAGAATGATCGTGCATGTTCTGTTTGTGTAATTTCGAGGCTGGCCCATGCAGCTTGGGGTACCTTCCATGTTGGCCCATTGCAGAACTGTTTTCCTTTGAGCCAGCACACTGCAAATTATGCTCGGTGTCTCCTCTTTCAGGCCCTTCCATGAGGAGAGCTTCTCTGAGTGCAGCGGGGTCAGGAAACCCACGAGAGGAAGGAGAGCCCAGCCCTTCTCAGTGTCTGACTTCTGACTCCAGTGCTGCTCAGGTACCTGACAGGGATGGCGGCCATGTCTGTGCCCAGTGAGCCTAATGTGAGATTGGCCCTCAGGGATGTCAGCTCCATTTACCTCTGAGGTGGTGCTGGCTTAATACATAACTCAGTGCTTTGGGCAAAGGAAATTACTGCTCAGAATTAAAGGGACTGTTTACTTCACTAAGGAAACTCATATTTTTTCAAGCACATATCAAGCACCAATTTTTCAGTTTCAAGTTAAGTCTCTTTCCTAGAGAGTCTTGAAGACAAGATTCCTGGGACCATGGAGAGGCTCAAAAGCTGCAGTGCAGGCTTTTTGCATGGGGGCCCTGCTGCAAACACCCCAAGGTCACTGCTGGATGATTCCCTGCCAGCCAATAAAGGGGCCCCCACCAGGGGCACAATCAGTAGCACTGCACTGCAGGGAGGCCACTTGCCTTGCACACAGCGTACCCAGGTTTGATCCCCGGCATCCCATATGGTCTCCTGAGTCTACCAGGAATGATACCTGAGTGCAGAGCCAGGAGTAACCCCTGAGCACTGCTGGGTGTGGCCCCAGGACAAACAAAACAAAGAGCCTCCATCAGGTGACATTTGACTTATTCTTGTTCAGGTTTTAGACTCACTTGCTAATCAAGAAACCTACCGTCAATTACAGACGGTGTAGGGGCACCATCTGGCGGCTAAATGGGTCATTGCAAGGTTTCCAGCCTGTGCTCCAACACCCTGGGGTAATTCCATTTTTCTGTATTGTAGCTTCTGACATTATTTTTAGGAGCATATTTTTAAATTTAAATGTTGTGTTTGAACATAACGAATACTTGCGTTTTTAAAAATATGCTATTATAGAGGACCAGAGAGATAGTATTCAACTTGCATGTGGTTAACTCTGGTTTGACCCATCACTGTAGATAGTTCCCCAGGCATTGCCACCTGATGTGGCCAAAAAAAATTACACACGCACGCACACACACACGCTGGCAAACACATACAGATATGCACACGGGTACACATAGGCACATGTACACACATGCACAGGCGCAAACACACACACACGTACAGGAACTCACACACACAAAGATTTAATTTCACTAAGTCTTTTGTCTCCAGATCTTCTCAAAATTGTAAGATTTGTGTATAATTACATTATTTTTAAAAAAAACATTTTAGGATTCTCACATATGAGCAATCTGTGGTTGCTTTTATTTAATGGCATTATTATTATTATTATTATTATTATATTGCTATTATTGTTTGGGATATGGGCACTTCCAGGTAATGTTCAGGGGCTACTCTCACTCTGCCCTCAGGAATTAGTCTTGGCAATGTAGGGGGGATTATATGGAATGCCGGGGAGTGAACCCTGCTTGCCACATGTAAGACAAACACCGTACCCACTGTATTATCTCTCCAGCTCCCACAGTGACTTTATTTTTAGGTTAAAATGACAATCTTGTGGCCAGAGCAATAGTTTAATGGGTTGGGCACTTGCTTCGCACGTTTTGTTATCAACCTGGGTTTAATCCCTCTCACTACGTATGGTCCCCTGTGAACCGAGTTCTAAAACCAAAAAGTCAGTATCCTTTTGATATCAGCCCCAACTGCATGAGATTTGGAACACACCAGAACTTTTCATCCACTCTCCTCTGGGAAGAAATGTCATAGTGAGACTTTCAAAGGCCATATAAAATTTCACCTTGATATTCCTCAAGCTTCACATATTAAACTTCATGATGAACCTGGGATGTCATTTGGGCAAGGTAGCATCAGTCCTTGTTAAACCTTTATTCATTTCTCCTGATTACATGGACCTGGGTATATGCTTGTCTGGATTGCTTTTGAGACAGCTTTGTGTATTACATTTTCATTACCATACGGAAACTTATTTTTGCCAATATTGCTAGGAAAGGAAGCTGCCCCATGGTCTCTCTGAGGATGAGTTAAGTTCTTCTACAAGTTCAACTGATAAATCAGATGGGGATTCCAGGGAAGGGTAAGCTGCTTTTCCCTTCTCCATTCACAAATGATATATTTTTTTAATTAATCCAAAATGTACATTTATAGTAGCATTCCAGACCTATAGTACTGTCATTGGTGTTGTTACGAATGATTTTTTGGTATTTGCTAGAGCTAAAAATGTCTAATGAATAAATCTGAATTTCATTCAGATTTTTTTAAATTACCTTTGCTCTTGAGGATTCTAATGTATTATATATAGTATAGATTGCTGAAGGTTGTCTTACAGCTCACTCATGATGTTCATGATTATGGGCCTTTTTTCTTTTCTTTTTTTGAGGGGGAGGGGACTGGGCCACATCTGGCAATGCTCAGGGCTTATGCCTGGCTCTGCACTCAGGAATCACTCCTGAAAAAAAAAAAAAAGAATCACTCCTGATGGGCTTGGGGAACCATATGGGATGCCAGGGATTGAACCCAGCAGGTGAGCTGCGTGCAAGGCAAGTGCCCTACCTACAGTATAATAGCTGTGGCCCCAGTTAACTGTTCTTTTTTTTTTTCTCTTTTTGGGTCACACCCAGTGATGCTCAGGGGTTACTCCTGGCTTTGCACACAGGAATCACTCCTGTCCGTGCTCAGAGGACCATATGGGATGCTGGGAATTGAACCTGGGTCAGCTGCATGCAAGGCCCTACCTGCCGTGCTGTCGCTCCAGTCCCCTCCCCCCTCCCCCCCCCCAGTTTACTATTCTTGAGTACTTAGATGTAGATTGCAGTTAAGTTGCTTAGAAATAATTGAGCAGAATTTATTAAAATTTATTTTTGCTTTGGGGCCACAGCTGGCAGTGCTGGGCGTTATTTCTAGCTCAGTGCTCAGGGGTCCTGGAGGGGCTTGTCAGGGGGACTCTGTGCCAGCACAAGCAAGGCCTGAGCTGTACTACTGAGCCATGTCCCAGCCCTTGGCAGAATTTATGCACAGAATGTGTGGCTGCCTCTTTCTGACTTTCTCCAAGATTCTTCCCTCATTTTTGCAGCAGCAGTGACTGTTGTAAACTCTGTCCTTTGGTTCTGTGGTCAGAATGCCCTGCTATTAATCTAAAGGCTGTTGACTCTGAACCAGACCCTGTCCACAGATTTTGTACATGCTACATCCCATTCTCATTTGATTTTGTTATTTGTGGAAGCGCTTGTCTGATAGTTTATGTGGCCCTTTGGAAACATAGCTTCCCTGCGGATCATTTTTTTTTTAAATTTTTATTAGTGAAACACCATGAGGTACAGTTGTAGACTTACAAATTTTTGTGCTTGGTGAAATGAGTCAGAAAGAGCAGGATAGACACAGAAAGATTGCATTCATCTGGGGAAGATAAAGCAACAAAAATGGGAGACTAACACCCAGGAATGGCTGAGATTAGTACCAGGAATTTTGCTCCATGAATGGAAGGCCAGTCACATGTGCTAGGTGAAAAGGAAGCTCAGATAGAGAAGAGAGCACCAAATAAAAGGTGAGACCCTCCCAGGGTGGGAGAAGCATGCTAAAAGTAGTCTATAGACCAAACATGATTGCCACTCAAGGCCTCTCTTGCAAAACAGTACCCAAAAGAAGAGAGAGAGAACAAGGAGGAATACCCTGCCACAGAGGCAAGGTGGGACGGGGGGATGGGGGGTGGGGGGGGATGCTGGGACCCGTGGTGGTGGATGATGGGCACTGGTGGAGGGATGGGTACTTGATCATTGTATAACTGAAACCCAAACACAAAAATTTATAAGTCTATAACTGTACCTCATGGTGTTTCACTAATAAAAAAATAAATAAATAAAATTTTGTGTTTGGGCTTCAGTTATACAATGATCAAGTACCCATCCCTCCACCAGTGCTCTTTTCTACCACCACTGATCCCAGTATCCCTCCCACTCCCCATCTCCCCCCTCCTCGCACCCTGCCTCTGTGGCAGGGCATTCCCTTTTGTTCTTTCCCTCCTTTTGGGTGCTGTGTTTTGCAAAAGAGGCATTGAGTGACAATCATGTTCAGTTCTATAGTCTACTTTCAGCATGCATCTCCCATCCTGGGTGGATCTTCCCAACACCCTTTATTTGGTGCTCTCTTCTCTATCTGAGCTGCCTTTATCATTTTGAATCTAATTTTTCTGTGAAAAGTTCTCATGCAGCCAAATCAAATAACAATGTGTCTACCTCTCCCCCACCCCCAGGAAAGGTCATACAAATGAAATGAGTGACTTGGTACAGTTGATGACTCAGACCCTAAAACTGGATTCTAAAGAGAGCTGTGAAGATCTGCCAATACCAGATCCAGTGTCAGAATTTAAACTTCATCGGAAGTATCGGGACACGCTGATACTTCATGGTAAAGTTGCAGAGGAGGCAGAGGAGCTTCGTTTTAAAGAGCTACCTTCAGGTGATTGTCTGTGCCTTTTTAGCATACTTGAGAAGAAATGTTTATTTCCAATAAATGTGTCAAACACAGAGAGCTAATGCTTGCAGTTTTTTTCCCACTTGAATAGCTCCATAAAAGGTATGTATTTTTTGTCCAAAAATTATTGTTCCTGAGAAGCTGAATGAAAATTGATTTTTAAAAGTAAGTGAAAAAGAGGCTGGAGCACTAGTACAGCAGGTAGAGCATTTGCTTTATACATGGCTGACCCAAGTTTGATCGCTGGCACCTCATATGGTCCTGAGCCTCACCAGGTTGATCCCTGGGCTCAGAGCCAGAAGTAAGTCCTGAACACCACCGAGTGTGACCCACGAACAAACAAAGGCAAAAGAAAAAAAAAGTAAGTGAAAACAAGGGCTAGAATGATAGTATAGAGGTTAGGGCATGTGGCTGATCCAGGTTTAATCTCCTGCAGCACACATATGGTCCCCTGAGTACCATCAGGAGTGACACCTGAGCATAGAGTCAGGAATAATCCCCGAGTACTGCTGGGTATGACCCCCAAAAAAACAAAACAAAACAAACCATATTTGGATTTTTTGTTGATTTTTCTCAAATTAGTTGTAGTTGTTAGGTTATTAGGTGTAGAAAATAGTAAGGTGACATGAAGTATAAGCTCATATGCCTTTTTTTTGGCGGGGAGGTGGGGAGTTGGGCCATACCCAGCAGTACTGGGGCTTATTCCTGGCTCTCTGCTCAGGGATCACTGCTGGTGGCGATGTGGCGATGGTATCTCCCATGTATACATCTAAATTTTTATTTTGAAGTACTAGGGATCAAACTCTGTGCCTAATATAAATAATGCATGTACTCTACCACTGAACTATATATCCCAGCTTCCATAGATCTTTTTTTTTTGGTGGGCGGTTGGTCATATCCAACTGTCCTCAGGGCTTATTCCTGGCTTCCTGCTCAGGAATCTCTCCCACTGGGGCTCAAGGGAGCATCAATGGTGTCAGGGATCAAACTTGGGTTGGCAAGGCGAGTGCCTTAACTGCTGTGTTATTTCTCCAGCTCCTCCCATATAGCTTTTGTATTTGTTTGTTGTTTGTTTTGTTCTTGGCCATAGCCAGCAGTGCTCAGGGCTCACTCCTGACTCTGCGCTCAGGACCGGGGATTGAACCCGGGTCAGCTGCATGTAAGGCAAGCACCCTACCCTCTGTATTATCTCTCTAGTCCCCTTCCTACCCCCACCCCCACACACATAGCATTTTTGTTGTTTTGGGGCCACACCTGGTGATGCTTGGGACTACTACTGGCTTGGTGTTTGGGGGTTACTTCTGCTGTTACTCAGGGGTTTCAAGCAGTGCCAGGAGTGTAACCAAGACTTCCTGCCTGCAAAGCATGCACTCCAGCCCTTTGTGCTGTCTCTCTGGCCCCACATAGCATTCTTAATCATTAAAAAGGCAAGAAGTCATTAAACCTCAAGTAACTTTCCTCATCTTTGCAATTGTTTTCTAGCTATCATGCCAGGTTCCGAAAAGATCCGAAGAATAGTTGAAGTCTTGAGAGCTGATGTAATCCAGGGCCTGGGGATTCAGCTCTTGGAACAGGTGTATGATCTTTTGGAAGAGGAGGATGAATTGGAGAGAGAGGTGAGTTTCCTGTTTGCTGCAAGCTTCATGCAGTGCTAACATTTTTCTCAATAGCCTTTTGAACTATAATCCACGGAATATACATTCTACTCATTCAAAAATGTACAGTGGTTTTCAGTCTGGTTACAGAGTTGTACAGATATCACCACAATCAATGTTAGAACATGTAATTAAAACCCCCTGCATCCACTGACAATCTCTCCCCACTGTCCCCCAAGTCCTCCATCCCTAAGCAACCACATTTCACTTCAATGGTATCCTACAAAATATGTGGTCTTGTGCAAGACTTCTTTCAACTAGCATGTTTTCATTCAGTGCTATCATTTATTTCATTTTTCTGAATGGTCAGATAATATTTCATTGTATTACTGTTCCACATTTTATTTGTTCATCAGCTAATGGACATTTAGGCTGTTGTGGACATTTCTGTACTGTTTTTGTGTGGACTTATATTTTCACTTTTTTTGGTTATATATGTAGTAGGAGTTGAAATTATTGAATCATACAAGTTTCTCTTTAACATTTAAAAAAACTGCCAGACTGTTTTACCAAATAGCTGCATCATTTTACATTCTTGCTAGTAATGTACAAGGGTTCTAATTTATCCACAGCCTTCCACAAAAAAAAATATATATATGTCATTTTTATAATACATGTCATTTCACAACCACTAACCATCCTAGTGGTTGTGAAGAGTATCTCATTACATATTAGACTTACTTTTTCCTAATGAAATTGATGATACAAATCTTTTAGGCATCTATTGGTTATGAGTCTTATCTTTTTAGGGAGACATATCTATTCTGATCCTTTCTGTATGATCATTTATCTTTTTGTTGTTGAGTAGAGTTATTTTTATATTCTAGATACAAGTCCTTTTTCAGATACATGATCTGTGAAGGTTTTTTTTTCCTACTCTTGTGAATTGGTGATTCTTGTTAATTGTTTGCAGCAGAAAAGGTTTTAAGTTTGTCAACATCTAGGAGTTGGCACAATTGTATTGTGAGTAGTAGTAATAGGAATGATTCCTGAGGACAGAGTGAGAAATAAAGCCTGAGCACTGCGAAGTATGCCACCCCCAAAAAAATAATTTTTTTTTTTGGTCAAAATCTAATGTGTTTTTGTCACTTGTACTTTTTGATATGTCAAGAAGGCTTTACCTAACCTTGAGGATGTGACAGCTTATTCTTTTCTTTTTCTTGTTTCATTTATTTTTGAGGGGTGGAAGGTTTGGGCCACACCCGGCAATGCTCAGGGTTTACTCCTGGCTCTATACATAGGAATTACTCATAGTGGAGCTCAAGGAACCATGTGGAATGCCAGAGGATCGAGCCAGGGTCAGTCTCATGCATGTACTATTATTGTTCCTGCCTTAGAGTTTATCATTTAAAATACTAGTTAGGTCTGTTGAGCTGGAGCGATAGCACAGAGGGTAGGGCATTTGCCTTGCACGTGGCCGACCCAGGTTCAATTTCTCTGCCGCTGAGAGCCCGGCAAGCTACTGAGAGTATTCCGCCCACACGCCAGAGCCTGGCAAGCTCCCTGTGGCATATTTGATATGCCAAAAACAGTAACAAGTCTCACAATGGACATGTTACTGGTGCCTGCTTGAGCAAATCGATGAACAATGGGAGCACAGTGCAGTGCTACAGTAAGGTCAATTATCAGTTTTCAGTTAATTTTATGGATCATGTAAGGATTGGCTGCAATTTTATTCTTCTGCTTATGAATATCCAGCTGTTCTAACGCCATTTACTGAAAAGACTGTTCTGGGGCAGACCCAGGAGTAACCCTTGAGCATCACTGAGTGTGATACGCCCCCCCCCAAAAAAAATGAAAAGATTATTCTGCCAGGAGAGATCCCTAAGCACAGAGCCAGGATAAACCCTGAGCATTGCTGGGTGTGACCCCAAAATTTTTACCTGCATTTTCGTAACAACCAAACAAAAAACCTTACAGCTGAATATACAGACATGTGCAAGGCAGACACGTGCGTTCCGGGGCCGAGATCTCCAAGCCTACTCGGATTGGAGTCGAGCATCCTCCACCCAGATCCTCCAAATTCCAGTAGGCGGGGGTCACACCCACCAACTGGCCCCCTGGCGCCATGTAATCCCATCAGCGGCCAAGACTCAGAGACTAAAAACCAGCTCCCGGAGGGAGAACAGTGCAGTCTCCTGCCCCCGCGCCTGGCTATTCCTCGCCGGGGCCCCTTGGAGGGGAGCGGGTTGAGCTTTCCTCCCCGCCCTGACCAGGGCCCCGGCAGCCGAAGACCTCCAGGACCAGCCACCACCATGCTGAGACCACTCTCCGCACACCTGAAGGTACCGGCAGAGGGACAAAGCCACGTGGGTTCTGGGGCCGAGATCTCCAAGCCTACTCGGATTGGAGTCGAGCATCCTCCACCCAGATCCTCCAAATTCCAGTAGGTGGGGGGTCACACCCACCAACTGGCCCCCTGGCGCCCTGTAATCCCATCAGCAGCCAAGACTCAGAGACTATAAAACCAGCTCCGGGAGGGAGAACAGTGCAGTCTCCTGCCCCCGCGCCTGGCTATTCCTCGCCGGGGCCCCTTGGAGGGGAGCGGGTTGAGCTTTCCTCCCCGCCCTGACCAGGGCCCCGGCAGCCGAAGACCTCCAGGACCAGCCACCACCATGCTGAGACCACTCTCCGCACACCTGAAGGTACCGGCAGAGGGACAAAGCCACGTGGGTTCCGGGGCTGAGATCTCCAAGCCTACTCGAATTGGAGTCGAGCATCCTCCACCCAGATCCTCCAAATTCCAGTAGGCGGGGGTCATACCCAACAACTGGCCCCCTGGCGCCATGTAATCCCATCAGCGGCCAAGACTCAGAGACTATAAAAACCAGCTCCCAGAACCGCGCGGCCGCAGACATCTTATTATGACATCTCATTCCTACTTTGACAAACTGGCAGGCTACCGAATGTAGCCTGCCCACACGGCAGAGTCTGGCAAACTCCCCGTGGTGTACCCAATATTCCAAATACCAGTAACAATGATGGGTCTCATTCTCCTAAAGAGTCTTGAATATAATCTCAGGGCTAGGATGAAGGAGACGTTACTGGGGCCTGCTCGAGGCAATCGATGAATAACAGGATGATCTGTGATCTGTGATCTGTGCAAGGCACATACACTCACTCACAAATGGTCAAAAATAAAATTTTTTTATTTTACTTATTCTTTTTATTGAATCACCTTGAGGACAGTTACAAAGCTTTAAATCTTTTTTTAACAGTTACAAAGGTTTAAGTCTCGGTCATACAATGATCAAAGACCTGTCCCTTCACCAGTGTACATGTTCCACCACCAAGAACCCCAGTATACCCCCCATCCCACCCCTTCTCCTGCCTGTGTGGCATATGATTTCCACTTTACTCTCTCTCTACTTTGATTACATTCAATTATTCAACAGAAGACCCACCATTATTATTTGGAATTTCCCCCCCAACAATCAGACCTGCCGAAAAGGCATCATTAGATAATTTGTTTTCTGTTGCTTATAAGAGCATATGATGCCGCGCAGCTGCTGTTGCGTGATTTTTGATTTCTGGTATTTTAGTAATTAAGTCTGGAGGGATTTCTGCCAAAAGCCGCTGGGTTCCAAGATTGGTTTGTGTGCCTCTGGGATCATGGCCACTCAGGAGCTGGATGAGCCGGTTGTGGGAGGCAACTCGGGGTCTCATCAGGGCGGGGAGAGAGTCTGGTTCCACCCCCCATCCTGAGAGGCCCTGCGTGTCTCATCACTGCAAGCTCATACCTCTCTGTCCAATAGGATCTGAAAGATGGTGGTCACCATGCTGCTGCAGAAGGGAAGGCAGAAGGGACAACGCCCTTTCCCACCCGGGGTGGCACGGGGCCGTAGCCTAGTTCACAGTCCAGAAGCATTTCTGCCAAAAGCCGCTGGGTTCTGAGATTTGTTTGTGTGCCTCTGGGATCAAGGGCACCCAGAACCAGAGGAGCCAGTCATGGGTGGCAACTCGGGGTCAGGGCAGGGTAGGGAGAGGTGCCAGTTCCACCCCCCATCCCGAGAGGCCCTTCATGTCTCGTCACTGCAAGCTCGTACCTCTCTGAGAAACGGGCATTTTTAAAGTCTTTTATTCCCCTTTCCCTGGTCCCTGCAATGTTTAACTCATAACAAATGCCTTGGAATGACGGCAGGCTTTGCACAGCTCTCCTCTTTCTCTGAATTTATTCAGCTGTAAGGTTTTCTCTGGTTATTTTTGGTTTTTTGGGTCACACCTGGTGATACTCAGGGGTTGCTCCTGGCTCTGCACTCAGGAATTACTCCTGGTGGTGCTCTGGGGACCATATGGGATGTTGAGGATTGAACCTGGCTCAGCTGCGTGCAAGGCAAACACCCTACCTGCTATACTTTTGCTTCAGCCGGTACCCTCGTTGGTTGTTTTTGAAAGAAAATGTTTCATTTGGGGTGTGAGGTGTTTGGGGCTACACCAGGTGGCACTCAGTTTAATTCTGACTCTGCACTCAGGGATCACTCCTGGTGTTATTCGGGGACTATATGTGGTTCCAAGATCAAACCCTGGTCACCGGGTGCCAGGCAAAACGTCCTACCTGCTGTACTGTCTGTCTGGTCCTAGCTGATAAGTTTTTGTCAGTTGTCCGCCAATTGCTCAATTGTTTTCAGTAATGCGCTGGGAAAAATTATATATGTATTTTTTACTCACTAATAAATAACACTATTTTAATAGTTTATTGATTTCAAGAGCTCCTGATGGTGGTATCCTCTGGGATATATTTTGCAAGTATTAAATTTGTTTGCTCATTTCTAATAGTTCTCATTTTTTGTATCTTCAGGATTTTAATTTAGTTTATAAACAGAATTGTTAGTATTTTCCCTTATGGTTTCCACTTGTGGTATCACACTTAGAAAAGGTTCTTCTAACACTATGCCTAAAATGTAACTATCAATAACTTTGTAAATCAGTTAATAGGGAAAAAAAAGCTTTTAAAATTACAGAAATTTTTTTTCTACTCTATATACTGATTTCTTTGTTTCTCATATAGGTACGTTTACAGGAGCATATGGGTGAAAAGTATACGACTTACAGTGTGAAAGCTCGCCAGTTGAAATTCTTTGAAGAAAATGTGAATTTTTGACAATTTATTCTAATTTGCTGCCAGAACTAAAGACCTATTTTCAAATGTTTTTGCTTAAACATAAACAACCCAGAACAATACTTGGAGGTCGGCCATTCACCATGCTGTCTCTCTGGGACTCTTTTTACCAGAAAAAATTAGAGCAAACAGATGAAGAAAACTCACTGAAGAAAGAAAAACACCTTTAGCATTCTTATTCAGTGTATAAGGAAAAGGTCGAAGACTTTTTTTTTTTTTGGTTTACTGTTTACTGAGCCTTGAACACCAACTTAGTTATCTAGAACTTGATTTTTTTTTTTAATGCTATTTAGTTTGAATCCAGGAACATAAAATAATTATTTGGAAGTTTTATATACTATAGTGATAAAAGCAATAGGGGAAATAAATGTTGCCGGTGATACTTTTTGTAAATAACCTTAAGTAGTAATTGATATATTATTTTTTTAAAAAGTCAATTCATGATTCTCTAAATATATTTAGAGACTATAAAATTGTATCTAGCATTTGAGCAACTGAATTCCTTTTATACATATTGATATAAATGTAACATTTTGTTTTTATATATGAACCTCATTTGGAGAATACAAGAATTAAAACAGGTATTTTTGGCTTTGTAAATCAATGTTTTCTACATACTGTTTTATTTTTAATTGTGTTCAGCAAAAATATTTCTTAAAACACTGATTTTGTGGCTGGAGTTATATAGTACAGCGGGGAAGGCGCTTGCTTTATAAGCAGTTGACCTGGGTTAGATCCTTGGCACCCCACATGCTCCCCTGAGCACCACTGGAGTGATCTCTGAGATCAGAGACAGGAGTAAGCCCTGAGCATGGCCAAATATAACCCCCTAACCACTCTCCCCACCCTCCCACCCCCGCAAAAAAAAAAAAAACACCAGTAATCCCTTCTCCAATTAAGCAGTCCAGATTCTTTGTTATGTTAAATGTAAAAGTACATCAAGATAGTGTTTATCTTTCCACATTTCTTATGTATAAGAAATTTTATATATAATTATATGTAAAACATATAAGTCACATGTTTTATCAATTGTTTACTTGTCACTTGTCATCCCATTGATCATCGATTTGTTTGAGCGGGCGCCAGTAACAACTCCATCCCTGTCTAGTGCTAGCATAGCCCAATGGCGTATTGAGGGCTCTTTCAGGGTCAGAGGAATGAGGTCCATTATTGTTAGTTTTTGGCATTTTGAATACACCACGGGTAGCTTGCCAGGCTCGGCCGTGTGGGCGGGATATTCTCGGTAGCTTGTCAGGCTCTCCGAGAGAAGGTACATCAATTGTTTAACTAGGGATCATGGCCATCTAAGAAAACTTTCATTAAAAAAAAATAGTAAAATTTAACTTCTGTATTAAAGGGGATCTACAAATGACTCTTGGGCTGGTGAGGGGGATAGTTCGGGGGCCTAAAGCACAGGCTGCTTTGCAAGTGTGATCCCCTGGTTTGAGGCCACCCCACAGTCCCCTGAGCTTTGCTGGGAGTGACTGGAGTTGGTGTGTCACCAGGTGGGTTCCCAATCCAAAACTGATGACTGCTCCAGAATGTCTTCCACCTCATATTAAGAAGTGTAACTTATCTTCTTTGAAAATCACGCATAAAATGCTGTGATTTTTTTTTTTCACTTAATTTACTTAAATCTAGTTTTTACTGTGTGCCAAGTGCTATCACAGAAGCAGGGGCATGATAGTGAGTTAAAATACTCTCTGGTAGTGTTCCTTGCCTTGTTCTGACATCTCTTATTTTTACCCTGCCAGGTTTGTTAGAACTTGGTTATGAAACCATTCAGTCCCAGAGCCCAGTGGGGGCAAAGTTTTGGTAACATGTTGGTTTTCCATGATTTTCAAGAGCCCGGCAAGCTACCGAGAGTATTCACAATAACAAAGTCTCCAATGGAGACGTTACTGGGCCCGCTCGAGCAAATCGACGATCAACGGGAGGGCCTTTACCTTTACCTAATGAGATATTAACCATCTCTCACATCTTTGAACTCATCTTTAAAAAAGAAAATATGGGGGCGGGGGGGGACTTACAATACTGTAATGGTTTCTCATGGACACTATTCCAGCACCACACCCCATCACAGTTGTACCCATCTCCCTTCTCATTCCACTTCCCTCTTACCAACCTTCAAGCTCAATTGTGTCAGTTCCCCGTTATGTTACATATGGATCTTTTTTGCTGCCTCACTGTAACTCCCCATCTTTTGGGAAACCCACTTAGTTTCTGACGTACAAAGTTGTATTTCCTTAGGATTAAAAAATTTCTGCCTATTCTCATTTGGTAAATTATTCTATAGGGGGCTGGAGTGATAGCACAGCGGGTAGGGCATTTGCCTTGCACACAGCTGACCAGGGTTCGATTCCCAGCATCCCACATGGTCCCCTGAGCACCACCAGGAGTAATTCCTGAGTACAGAGCCACGAGCAACCCCTGAGCATTGCCAGGTGTGACCCAAAAAGAAGAAGAAAAAATTCATTTTGGGGGTTGGAGCAATGGCATAGTTGGCATAGTTGGCAGGGTTTTAACCTTGCACCCAGTTTTGATCCCTGGCATCCCATATAGTCCCATAAGTACCACCAGGAGTAATTCCTGAGCACAGAGCCAGGAGCAACCCCTGAGCATTGCCAGGTATGACCCAAACCAAAAAATAAAATTTAGTGTTTACATCCTAGTGTTTTTGGCTGTTTTGTGATTCTTTTCCATGATTACTTTTCTTTTTTCCTTAGAAAATATGTTTTTAATGAAATTGTTTAAGGGGTAGGGAAGATGGAAGTAAACTAGTTTTACTGAAGAATTCTAAGGAGAAAATGGAATTCTTTGGGGGTGGGGGAGGGGCAAAAATCAAGGAGATCCATGTTCTAAAGACACGGGCAACTCCATGGAGTGACAAAAGCAGTACGTTGTGTTTAGTTTTGATTTGGGTTTTGCCATCACACTGATGGTGCTTAAAGGCTGCACCCAGATGTGGTCTCTGATTGCTACCCCTGGCAACACACCTGGAGTAATTCTGGTACCACATACCAGGACTGTGTGGTATCAGAGATGGAACGTTTTCCCCCTGTACGTAAAGCATGCCCTCCAGCCCTTTGAACTCTCTCTCCAGGCCAATATTTTCATTTAAAACTTGGGGTGGGGGATAGGGGGTATGGGGGATTGGGTGGCCAGAGACAGTACAGAGATAAGGCACCTGCCTTGCACATAGCTGACCTTGGTTTGATCCCTGCCACTGCACATTCTTCTCCGAGTACTGCCAAGAGAGATCCCTGGGCACAAAGATTGTACTTGGTGTGATGTTGGAGATCACAAGAGTCCTGCTTAGCTGTACTCAGCACTCTGGGAAGGGAGGCTACAGGACAGTTCCTCTATCACTGAGTCAGGTCACCCTGTGGCTCTTCTAAAACACATTTAGATATTTGTGTCCCCGGGCTGGAGCGATAGCGCAGCGGTAGGACTTTTGCCTTGCATGCAGCCAACATGGCTGACCCGAGTTTGATTCCTCCGCCCCTCTCGGAGAGCCCGGCAAGCTACCGAGAGTATCTCGCCCGCACGGCAGAGCCTGGCAAGCTCCCCGTGACGTATTCGATATGCCAGACACAGTAACAACAAAGTCTCCAATGGAGACGTTACTGGGACCGCTCGAGCAAATCGATGAACAATGGGAGAACAGTGACAGTGATTTGTGTCCTGGTATTGAGAACACTATACAATAGCCTCCCCCAGTCAATACCTCACATAGGGCATTTTTCTTTTGGAGTATTTTGAAAATCTCCGAAGGTATTTACAGCCTTGTAAATTCACACTTTGGTTCACCTCAGATAAAACAAGTATTACATGTTTTCTGCTTAACTGCTTAATTTTTATTGCCAAATTATTACCAAAATGTGCATTAGGAGGTTTTTGACACTGGGTGGCTGGAATGATACCACAGCAGGTGGGGCACTTGCCATACACATGGCTGACCCAGTTCAATCCCCAGTATCCCATAGAGTCCCCTGAGCACTGCCAGGTGTGGCCCCCAAACAAAAAAACAAAACAAAATGTCTTTTCATATTTCCCCACTGTGTTAATAATGACATGTCAGAAATCTGCAGCTACAGAAAATATAAGTAGTGCTTAATGATGCTTTCAGAACCTTACCCTTTTTGTTTTTGTGAAGTAACTGGTTTTATTTGGTAGAGAGCAAAGGGTACTCATAAATTAGAGAAATTACATGGTTATTACTAGTGTCTTGCTTGTAGAACAGTGAAAAACTCTTCATAGACTTGCACTGAGTTTGAACTTAAAACATTAATTACAATGGGCTGGAATGCATGCTTTGCATACAAGAGGTCCAGAGTCCCTTAAGCACTGCCAGGACTGGACCTCCAAGTACTAAGCTGGGAATAATCCCTCAACGCTGTAAATTGTGTCCTTCAAACAAGAGCAGAACAAATAACTCCTAAACAATGAATTAGAAAATCCTTATAGTTTTATTACCATTTATGAAATTGTTTTCGTAGACCTGAAAGAAAATTTGCATACTTGTGCTGTTACTCATTGCAGAGAAAGATTATGAAGAAAATGTCTAAAATATTTCTAAATCAAAACCCAGCTAGGGGCCAGAAAGACAGTACAGTGGGCAAGGGACCACCTTGCATGTGACCAATTTGGGTTCCACCCCAGGCACTCCAAATGGTTCCTGAGGCTGTCCAGGAGTGATTCTAGATTATAGAGCCAGGAGTAACCCCTGAACACCACTGACTGTGGGCCCCCCAAAAGAAAAAAACAGCTAAACAACCGAGTTAAAAAGTGAAGTATCAAGAGAACAAATCCATATATAGTTGTGCCACAAAAACATCAAGAGGTGGTTTTTTAACTCATGCTTTGGATACGAAAGCAATTTATTTCGCTTCAGGCAACAAAAGCAGGTGTGACAGTAAAGCTGAATCAGTTATTCTTAGCATGCCTCTTAACTTTTCTTTCCCCTGGCTTCTTGTCCTCTGTGCAAGAGTCTTGAACTGGTAACCACTTTAGGGGGTGCCGGCGGTAAATGGGCCATGGAGGAAGCGTCAGCTGGGTCAGAACAGAGACAATGTACCGGTTATAGCCAGTAAAACTTTTAAGAGAGCCAGCACCATGCCTGTTCCCACGTGCTATGCTATCCTATGCTCGAGGGTGACAGTCCTATGAAAACTACGGCCATCTGGGCAACAGATTCTTGGGTGATGGGAGCAACCCACAAATTCCACAAGGGTGGCAGGTGCTCAACCAAAAGGTGAAGAGGGAGCAATGTACCATACCCAATACCTATGAGCTCCGAGAGCAACACTATGGTCTGAAGCAGCAGCAGCAGAAGAAGAAAAAAAAAAGGCACCCTGCTTTCTCAGTGACAGCCAGAGAAAAACACTGACCGGCAAGGGAGGTGGGGGCCGGGAACCCGCCCATCATCACCACCGTCCAACCGCCCACCAACGTTCTTACCAAACACGAAAAGGCAAATCCGGCCATAACTATATAGACTGTCCACCCGAACTGCTCCGCCACGTACCCGTAGATAAATCCAACTATCTAGAGAGAAAGCATGAAATAGTTAAGCCGGAGGTGGGGAAGCTGAGCGAGGGCGGCAGAACGAAACAGATGACGGACGCGAATCCAATACTTACTGCAGAAAAAAGGATGATGCCCTGGAACATCTGTTCGGCCAGCTTCTGGCCCTTGTAATCCTGGGGAGGAAGAGCCACCGGGGAGGAGGTTCCATCACACCGCCCAGGGATGGAGCCCAGCAGGTACCTCCCAGGGAGGGACCATCCCTCCCTCGGCCTCGCAGCCCCCAGCGCCCAGAATCCCCCCCGCCGCACCCAAGAGGACGAAAATTAAAATTCCGGGCATCCCGGGGACCTGAAGCTCCCTCCGGGGGCAGAGGCGGGCAAGGCGGGTCCCCCGCGGGGAGAGCGAGCGGGGGCGGGCGCCGGTTTAGGCAGACGTGTCAGGCTGCGAGCCCGGCTGCGGGGCCACTCGGGGCCGAGCCCTCACCATCTGCGTGGGCAGCGAGCTCAGATGCTCCAGCATGTCTGGTTGCGACGGGGGGCGACAGCGGCCGGGAGAGAACGGGCGGCAGGGCGAGGGCGGCCGCTTCTCAGGAAGCCTCGGGGCCTGGGGCGTGCTCCGCGGACCGCCCGGCGGCTGGGACGAGGCAGGAAGCGCGACGGCCGTGGTCCCGGAAGCGGAAGTCTCGGGCAGCTCCGGGCCGCCCCAGGTCCCGCCCCGCGTCATGGCGGGGGCGTCCGCGCTCTTCTTGCAGACGAGACAGCGACGCTTCGCCCGCGACGGGGGCGGGGACACCGGTGTCACCCAAAAGGAGACATTCCGTGCACGAGACGCCTTCTCCGGCAGTGCTGCGGGGTGCTGGGAGCCGTGACCTCGGCCCCCGTGAGCGGTACACGACTGGACCCGCCGCGGCTGAAGGGCCGCGGGCGCGTCCTCCGTCTCCATGGCGACGCGAGGACCCTCCCCCCCCCCGGCGGGCGGTGGGGCTGCCCGGCGGCGCCTGCTCAGCGCCACGCTCGCTCGCTGCGGGGGGCGGGCCGGGGCCGGGGGCTGCGCGGCCGGCGCGGCGCTGCTGGGGAGCGAGCTCGGCTCGGCGGGCCGGGGCCGCGGGCGGGCTGGCGGCGGGCTGGGTCGGGGGCCTGCGGCGCGGGCGCTGAGCTGGCGTGGCGTGGCGGGGCGGCGGCACCTCCGCTTCTGGCTCTGGCTCCTCCGGCTGCCGCTAAGGACGGCGAGTCGCGAAATCCCCGCGGCGTAGCACCGCCGACCGCCACGCCTGAACATAAGTAAGGAGGCCCTTTGGATCCCTGGAACTTACGGGGGTGGGGTGGGGGGGGGGTCTCTCCCGGACCACGTTCCCGAGAACAGAAGCCTTGCCGCCCCTGGCACGGGCCTGGAGAAACCTCGGGCCCAGGGACTCTTGCAAGTCAGCCCGCAAGCATGCTTGGATACTCCCCCCAACTCCCCGAGCTCGTGTCTTGGAGATAAGCTGTTTTAGGGGTGGTGGTGGTGGTGGTGGTGGGGGTCCGACATTTGCCCTCTGGCCTCTATGACGCGTTATATGTCAGAGTCACTGATGTTAAGCTTAGGGGGCTGGAGCGGATAGCGGGTAGGGCGCACACCTTGTAGTAGTGCGCAAGACCGGGGTTCAAACCCCAGCATCTCACCGCACCCACCCTTCCAAAAAGATGTTAAGATCAGTGTGTGACAGTGCCTTCATTTTCAGGCAAAAATAATTGCGCGCATTTACCTTGCATGTGTAGGACTGTGGGTTTGATCCCCTGCACCACATCAGTTTCCCCCCACACACCCACACAATACCATCGGTAGTAGTAAGTCTTGAGCACCTCCAGGCCTGGCCCAAATAATAATAATAGCAACAATAATGATGATAACCTTTGCACCTTTCTTCGAAGTTATGGCTGCAGCCAGCACAGCTACAGCATGTAGGAGGTCCAAAATTGATGAAAGCTGGGTTGATTCCGCACAAGGAGGCCAGGGAGATGTGGGAACTCCAGAGGTGCAACTGAAGTGGAATTAGGGGCAAGCTGTTTTAGGAGCTAATCAGAGGAAAAGGTTGGAGGAAGTAGATTTTTATCTTTGGTGCCTTTTCACCTTTCAGCCTGTCACTGACCAGACGATGTGTGTGGGATGCCCCTCTCTAGTCCCTGCTTAAATGATGGCAGTTGTGGTAGAGAGAGAGAGGATTTGAACTCTGAAGACAGAAAGCCAGCGAGGTTCCATCTGACAGATGGCCGTTGGGTTCCAAGGCTTTTTCTTACACTGGACCTCCCTGATTTTATCAAAGATTGCGTTCTGTTTTGGAGCTGGGAATCACCCTTCCTTCTGAATTGGGAAGATCAACTAATACTATGTCTGACCCTATTCTACATGATTTTAGAGGTCAGTGATGTGTCCGGAAACTCTGTCATTGGATCCTGTACAAGTCACTGCATTCATATGGGAGCCATAGGGCTCACATTCTCACAGGGAAAACAGGAACAAATGAATGAGATTGTCTTATTTCCGTATTTCTTTCTTTAATGTTGGTTTGGGGGGCACACCTTCTGGTGCCAGGGATGGAACCCAGGGATTCTTCATACAAAGCATGCTTTCCAGCCATTTCAGCTCTCTTCGGCCCTAAATAAGGTCATTTTTGTTTGGAGGGCACACCCGTTAGGGCTTCAGGCCTAACTTCTCTGCTCTGCACTCAGGGATCACTCCTGGTGGGGGTTTCAGGAAACTCATGGGGTGCAAGGAATTAAACCTGAGTCAGCCACATGCAAAACAAATGCCTTGCCCACTGTACTGTCTCTCCGGTCCCTGCCAACACTTTCTTAAGAAATGTCTATGATGAAGTCTCAGGTAAGAGGTCTTATTCCTTCTAGCAGCTTTCTGAGATTAGCATTGTAAAACTTTGATTAGCAAGATTGAGTCTTGTGTTTTATTGTGATTTTTCTCTGCTATAGTTTAATATGAGTTTGAAAAAGTGAACTGTTTCTGCAAGTCTTTTGTAGGTATTATATTACCATGAATACCATGAGAAAACTCAGATCCCAGTTTGAGTTTTCTTTTTATTTTGCTTAGGATTTAGGGCATACACATTGGTGCTCAGGGACTGTGTACTCAGGGGGCCATATGGTGCTTAGGATCAATCTGGTGTTGGCTGCTTTGAATAACTCCTCTACCCTCTCTCCAGCCCACAATTTGAGTTCTTGAGAAAGTTTAATTCAAAATGAGTGTCTGGGGGAAAAAAATGCGATTCTTACTTTCTACCTGAATGAAAATGGCTATTTTGATGGACATTTTATGTACCTATTGACTTTGGGTGCTTGTTTTTGTTCTGTAGGATTAATAGCTAGTATTTATATAAGACAGAAGAAGATGTCATTCCGGAAAGGTATGATTTTCCTACAAGTTACATTGTATTTATACCTGGTCAAAAGGTAAAGAGATATTATAATGCAGGTTTTCTCTGTTTCAGTGAACATCATCATCCTAGTTCTCGTTGTCGCACTCTTTATCTTGGTTTTGCAACATAACTTCCTTGGCCTGAGCAGTTTGCTAAAGAACGAGGCTTCAGGTATGGGACCCCTTACTAATGCCTTAGCATCTGTTGAAGACTTGTTAAGTTCCCTGTGTCCCATATCCTAAGTTACAGCTATAGATGTAAAAACAGAAAGCTTTCTTCTTGGTCTTACATAAGTCTTACTAAAGACTCTGGGAAGGGCAGGGAAATGGTACAGTGATGGGGTGAATCTGCTGTGCAAGCCTGTGGTCATGGATTCAGGTTCCCCATGTCCCACATATGCCAGGTACACTTCTGCCAGCGTCGCTTGCTGTCTGACCCAGTAGCGCCACAGGCTTTTTCCAAAGAAGAGGGGAAAGGATGGTACTCATGTGCACTTGTAGCCCCCCACTTCGCACAGTCCCCGTTATTGAGTTGCTCAGTCGGGGGTTGATGTGACAGGAGGAGACGCATCCTTCTCACCAAGCTACAGGCTCAGCAGGGACTGAGTGCCAGTCTACTTGCTTTAATCTGTGGGACCTATCAGAAGGGCTCTGGTAAGTGAAACAAATCCATTAAACCAAATCAGTTAAAGCAGTTGTCATAGAGTGCTGACAGGCATCTTTTATAACCATGTGATCCAACAAGCAGTTATTTCCTTTTTTTGGCTTGTTTTCTTTTCCTACTCTGCATTAGTAGTGAGGGATGTTTGAGGCTTCAGAATGTTTATCAGAATTTTTTTTCTCCATTGCCACCCCTCATGGTTGACCAGAGCAAGAAAAGACTGTTTTCTCTTGTCATTGAGTGCTGACAGGCATCTTTTATAACCACGTGCATATACACATGTACTTACATACACATGTACATAAAGTAATGCATGCCTCTGTGGGAACAGCTATAAAAAAATAAAATAACATTTAAGCCCCCTTTCCCTTTTTATTGTTTGAACCATTTCTAGCAGTGCCCAGGGGACCATATATGGTGCCCAGGATTGAACTGTAGGTCAGCCAGTTGCAAAGCAAGCCCTCTTCCCACTGTATTGTCTCTCCAGCCCCCAGCTGTTCAGACGCTTGATGGCAGTCCATTCACTGCACTGTCTCCTCCCAAGCTAAGGATGATGGCTGATTCATGGGCACTGAAATAATCATTGAATAAATGATTGTGTTGTTTAGAGATTAAATCTCGGGCCAGAAAGATAGTCTAATAGGTAGAACGCTTGCCTTGCACATGGTCAACTAGGGTTCGATCCCCCGGCATCCTGGATGGTTTCCTAAGCACTGGCAGGAGTCACCCCTGAGCATAACTAGGTGTGGCCCAAAAAATAAGGATTAAAAAAATAGAAATTTTCACCATCATTATGAAATTGATTTCAGTCCTCTGTGTGGGACGGTGATCTAGTTTCAAAAAGCTGTTTCCAGTCTTTTTCTAGGTTTTTGCAATTATAAATATGATTTTGGCTTTATTTACTTTTCAGCTCTTGTCCATTGTTGTCCCGAGACAACTATAAATGGTGGGCAATCCAAAAATGGATTTTGAAAAGCACCTGAAGCCTGAAATCACTTTGAGGCCTCAAACATTCCTTAATTCTGGGGCTGGAGAAATTGTATAGCAGGTAAGGCACTTGCCTTGCACATGTCCAACCCAAGTTTGAGTCCCAGCATCCCATATGATCTGAGCACGCCAGGAATAATTCCTGAGTACAGAGCCAGGAGTGACCACTGAGCATTGCCAGGTATGACCCAAAAACAAAACAAAATTTAAAAAATTCCTCAATACCAACAGAGAGCAGAATAACAACTAATTTAAAACAACTGGGGCTGATGATCCAGAGACTCATAAATAAACCTCAGAAGAGATCAACAAGTAGTAGAATTTCTCCCAGACTCTGCGCAAGCCATGTACTTATTAAGGTTATGATAGAAATCCCCCAAATATATTTGGGGTGAGGGGAACCATACCCAGCGATGCTCAGGGGTTATTCCTGTCTCTACACTCAGAAATCACTTATGGCAGTGCTTGGAGAACCATATCGGCTGCTAAATGTTGAACCTGGTCAGCTGTGTGCAATGCAAGTGCCCTACCCATTGTACTATTGCTCTGGCCCCCGTTTTGGCCATTTTTTTTTTGGCTTTTTGGGGTTACTCCTGGCTCATGCACTCAGGAGTTACTCCTGGCGGTGCTCAGGGGACTATATGGGATGCTGGGAATCGAACCCGGGTTGGCCGCGTGCAAGGCAAACGCCCTACCCGCTGTGCTATCTCTCCATTCCGTTTTGGCCATTCTTATAGGTGTAAAGTGATATCTCATTGTATCTGATTGTAGTTTTAATTTACATTTTCTTTTTTTTGCTTTTGGGTCACACCCAGCAGTGCACAGAGGTTGCTCCTGGCTCATGCACCCAGGAATTACTCCTGGCGGTGCTCAGGGGACCATCTGGGATGCTGGGAATCAAACCCGGGTTGGCTGCGTGCAAGGCAAATGCCCTACCCGCTGTGCTATTGCTCCAGCCCCTAATTTACATTTTCTAAAGACTATAGGTGAATTTTTTTTATATTGTTTCTGCTGACTTTCTGAAGTGATAGATTCAAGAAAAATGTTTTCATCTTTTTGCTCGACCCGCCTTGACCCCTAGCACTCAGGGAAGTGTCTGGCCTAGATCAGATTAGTCCCAGCCTCTACACAGGTATTGTGATCCATCACCTTTCCCTCAGAGAAAAGAATTTCAGGAGGAGGTGAAATGGTGGAGCAACATAGTTTTTTATTGAAACTTTGACATTTATTTAGAAAGATGTGAGACATTGGTGATGGGAAATGTACACTGGTGAAGAAACAGGTGTTGGAACGATGTATGACTGAAACCTAATCAACTTTGTAACGTGTGATTCAATTGAAAAATAAATAAGATTTAAAAAAGGTGTGAAGGGAGAGGAGAGAAAGAAGTGTGTGTTCGAGACACAGGCTTCTCCAGAGTAGGCAAGCAAAAACAGAGACAAGCAAGCAAGCTTGAAGAGCAAATTTATAAATTGCCAAAATACATTTTAGAAAGACTACTGTATTCCCACCAACTTGTTTTTTTTGTAGTTATTGTTGTTCTTGTTTGGGGGGAGGGGCACACCCAACAGTGCTCAGGGCTTATTCCTGGCTCTGCACTCAGGGATCACTCCTGGTGGGCTCTAGAACCATATGGGGCATCAGGGATTGAACCTGGGTCAGCGTGCAAGGCAGGCACCATGCCTGTTGTACTATCGCTCTGACCCCATCCTCCCTCGCTCCCTGGAAGTGCACCCCTAGAGGCATTCAAAAAACCATAGGTGCCAGGGACAGAACCCCAGGTTCCTGCATGCCAAGCCTGCACTCCAGCATTTTAAGCTCTCTCCTTGCCCCCTTCTCTTTTTTTTTTTAATGCAACTTTGACTTTCCAGAAGCCTTGTTACATATAGGAAAACAATTTCTAAGATCTTTTTCATGCTCTAGTGAGGGAGAATGAGAGAAATAAATTCACAGTTCTCACCTTTATATCCAGGGTCCATGAGACTGTTTGCATCATAGCACCTTCCTCTTGTATATTCTTGGCAGATTCAAGAATTGTGGGGCATCAACCCATAGACTTTGCCACAAGCTCTCCCCAGCATTTGGTAGACGGACACCAAGAGGAGATTCCTGTGGTGATTGCTGCATCGGAAGAGAGGCTTGGGGGTGCTATTGCAGCCATAAACAGCATTCAGCACAACACTCGCTCCAATGTGGCCTTTTACATCGTCACACTCAACAGGACGGCAGGCCACCTCCGGTTGGTTGCTCACACCTGGTGCCAATTCCACTCCTAGGGGAGACTTTAAATAGTTTGTTTATATAAGTCTGTGAGCGCACACACGTGTATTTCTGTGTATATTTGTATCTTTCTTTTTGAGATTACATCATGTATAAATGTGTGCATGACATGATTTCTCATCATAGCAGAAATAAGGAACTGTGCTGAGATGCAAATCAGCTGTCACTGTGCACTAACTCCGGTTGATTTGTTTTTGTTTTTTTTTTTTAACTCAGATTTTCTCAATTCCAGCAGCAGTATGTTGATTAACATCCTGTTGTTTATAAATCCCTTAATGTCAGGGATAGGCCCTGTGTAGTTCTGGTCTAGAGTGGAAAGGCATGTGGGAGAAGCAGCCAGGCAGTGTGGTACAGTGAGCACCGATTCAGATTCAGATCTGGCCTAGAGTGTGATTTGGGGAATGTTATTTCACTTCCTTGGAGCTCATATTCCCTTTTTTTTCCTTTGTTTTTGTTGTGGGCGGAGCACACCTAATCATGCTTAGGCAGGGAGTGCTCCTGCCTCTCTCTTGGCGGTCACTCCCACACAAAATTGTTGTGTCACATGAATTAAACTTTTTGATTTATGAGAAAATGTTTTAAAACATCTAGCCCAGAGTAAATTGCTTTAGTAAACAGTCCACCTTCTGATTCTGATTAGTAATAGAAACCCAAACTGATGGGTTTCATCCATGGTTTTTTATGGGGAGGCCACAAATAAACTTGGGCTTGTTCCTGACTCCATATGCAGGATTGCGCTTGATGGTGCTTGAGAGATCATGTGCTTTGGTAGGGATTGAACCTGGGTTGGCCACATGCAAGGCAAGCACCTTAACTACTTGTATTCTCTTTCTGACCTCTCCTCCATTTTTTTCAAAGAACTTTAAAGATTTACAGAGTTTAATCCAAGAACCAGGTTGTCTGTAATAGTTTGCACAGTTCTAAAAAAATTTTGTGGTCTATTCCATAATGTTTCATTTGAATTATTAGCTCATAATTCAAAATGATTTTTCCATATAATTTTCCATGTAAGTTCAGAAACTAAAATAATGTAGAAACAAATACTGCATTAAAATAAACTGCAGAAATTAATCACTGGATCCACAAAAATGGGGACTTGACAAAGTGAGCTTAGGACAGAGGTATAGTTCTCTAGAGAAGACATACATACTTGCAGTACCTTAAATTCAGGTATAAGAATTAGTTCTCAAAGTGAATGAGACTGGAGTAATAATTACCACTTTGTGGATAACTAGCTTTCATTACCATCAAATTTAAAATTGTCTTTTGGGGGTGACAGTGGGTCTCACCCCAGAGGTGCTCAGGGTTTATTTCTGGCTTTGCACTCAGGGATCTCTCCTGGCGGAGCTTTGGGGGACGATATGTGATGGTGGGGGAGAACCTAGGTTGAGTATATGCTATCCACCGTACTGTCTCTCCTGCCCCCACATTCAAGTTCTTTACCGGTGTATTTGGGAGGGAAGAGTTAGAATGATTTGTGTGGTAAATGTCCTGTTTCATATTGGGGGTTGGTTAGAATGTAGCTCAGTGTAGAGTACATGCCTTTAAGTGTGAGGCTTATTCAATTAGCTTAAAAATGGCTGAATAGTGGAGTTCATGCCCAATTCAATCAGCCTAATTAGTGGCTGAATAAATAGCAGTACTCCTACATTTAAAAAAAAATGGCTGAATAAATAGCAGTACTCTTACGTTAGGGGAAAAAAAAAAGTTTGAGGCTTTAGGTTACCACAAAAACAAACACCGGTTCTGTGAGTGGTTTTCTCACAACTTCCTGAGTGATCCTTTTAAGTCTGAGGCTGGTAGGAGTGTCTTATAGAATCTTGGTTCAGGGTGGAACTTTGGTAGGGACAGCCTCACTTCAAATGAGGAAACCAGAGCTCAGGAGACAGGGGTTTGAAAACATGTATCTGGTTTCAAATTAATACCCTCTTGGAGGGCACAAGAATGAGGCTATGGTTTGGAGACATTATTTGAAATTGAAATTTGGTGCTTGCTTTTCATCAGGTCCTGGCTCAACAGTGGTACCCTGAAAAGTATCAGGTACAAAATTGTGAATTTTGACACTAAACTTTTGGAAGGGAAAATAAAGGAGGATCCTGACCAGGGGGAATCCATAAAACCAGTGAGTTCCATGCATCCTTGTTTTCACTTGAGAGTTACAAACTCTAGTAAATGATTAGAATGTCCCACATAACTCTGGATACAAGTTGCTTCCTCATCAAGCCTGGATAATTCTAAAAGACCTTTTGGCTGTCTTCTGTATGGATGAGCACTAAAAGCATTCTGGGAAATGTAGCAAATTTTAGGCTGGATTTACCACTGACAAATTCAATTGCTAATGCTCCCCTTTTTTTCTTTAACAGTTAACCTTTGCCAGATTCTACCTGCCAATTCTAGTGCCCGGTGCAAAGAAGGCCATCTATGTGGATGATGATGTAATTGTGCAAGGTAACATCCCTACAAAAATGTCCAATGGGCTAGGTTCTTTTAGTTTGGGGGCCACACCAGTATCGGGGGAGGAAGGGAAGTCCACTTAAGAGGGATCGTATAGTGCCCGGTGTTAAACCTTGGCCTCCTACATGCTAAGCATGTGTTCCAGTTTGTTGAGCTCTGACCCACGGTAACCTATAAAGGTCAAGGTAGCTCAAAAGTACAAAAGAAGTGCCTCTCACTTCATCTATTTTAGGTGATATTCTTGCTCTTTATAATACACCACTAAAGCGAGGACATGCAGCTGCATTTTCAGAAGACTGTGACTCAACCTCTACAAAAGCCGTCATCCGTGGAGCAGGGAACCAGGTAAATCACTGCAGGGGCACCACTCTCTGTTAATGGTTGACAGGAAGAGGCAGCAACATTGGGGGAATCTTTTTTCCTGTATTTTGTTCCCCAAACTCGGCACTACTTCCCTACAGGTTGATTTATATACTCCAGGTAGCCTGATTCTTTTGTTTTGGGGGCTGTATTAGCACTGCTCAGGGATCACTTCAGTTTATACCAGCACCAGTCTGTTGAGCCGCATCCAGATGTGAGCAACTGGTAGTATGTGCTGATGTCATCTTGGTTTTTATTCAAGGCTTCTAATTTGGAATTCCAAGCGCTATTTTAAATTTGGCCTATGTAGTTAAGTCACAGGTAAGAATGTTTCTGTTTTTGAGCCACACCCAACAATGCTCAGGGTTTACTCCTGGCTCTGTGTATAGAAATTACCCCTGGGAGGGCTCAGGGGGTTGTGGGGTGTGCTGTGGATCAATCCAGGACAGCTGCATGCAAGGCAAGCATCCTACATGCTGTACTATCACTACACACTGTACTAGCCCCTAAAATGGTTTCCCTACCCAACTTGAAGCAGTAAACAAGATGTATCTGATTTGTTTTTAGTACAATTATATTGGCTATCTTGACTATAAAAAAGAAAGGATTCGGAAGCTTTCAATGAAAGCCAGCACCTGCTCATTTAACCCTGGAGTTTTTGTCGCAAACTTGACAGAATGGAAAAGACAGAATATAACCGACCAGCTGGAAAAATGGATGAAACTCAATGTAGAGTAAGTAACAACTAGCCTATTGCCTTGAAATCTCTGTAATGTCCACTTGGGGGAATTGGGGGGGGGGGGGGCAGGAGGTGGGATGGGGAGGGGGGTGGGCGCATTATTCACTAACCACTATGTTATTACCTCTCCCAAGAGAGGGATTGTATAGCAGAACACTTGCTGGCTGCATCACAACGCCGCCTCTCCTCATAGTATTTTATCAGCAGCATTCCACTATTGACCCAATGTGGAATGTTCGCCACCTTGGTGAGTAGCAGTTCAAACGTGTAAGCCAACCAACAATTATCCATATTGTTTCCCTTCAGCTTTATGCATTGTATTGCAGACCAGCAGTCACCTGTTTTTTTCCTCTGTTAAAGGTTCCAGTGCTGGAAAACGATATTCACCCCAGTTTGTAAAGGCTGCAAAGTTACTCCACTGGAATGGGCACTTTAAGCCCTGGGGAAGAGCTGCTTCATATACTGATGTTTGGGAGAAATGGTATATTCCAGACCCAACAGGCAAATTCAGCCTGATCCGAAGACATGTGGAAATCTCAAATATAAAGTAGGATTTCTGTCATAAGCATTTTTCAGGAAATCCTGGAGAAGAGTACATGTAGAAATAATAGTTCCTAGGCTTTAATGTGTATCTGAATCAACTCGTGGGGAATAAAGGGCATTTTTACTGAAGATGAAATCACTGTTAGCTTCCCAGAATGATGGTAAATGTCTTCAGCTGCCTTATTGAAGTGGATCACCTGCCAAGGTTTGAATTTTAACCATGACCTGATCTGTAAATAAAACCTACATTTTTAAAGAGGTATGAGTTTTTTGTTACCAGGTAACTTCCCACCCTTCTAACATCATTTTTAAAAGTCTGGATTTCTATTTTTTAATGAAGACATGATACATATTTACAAAATCCCATGCAACCTAATGGGTTATTGGGGGTATCCCCACGTCCAGTGTTGTTTGAGGGGTCATGCAGTGTACCAGGCAGGGATGGAACCCAGGCCTCCAGCATGCCAAGCATGTATTCAGCCAGCTGTCCTTTCTCTCAGGCCTTGCTCAAATGGTTTTAAAGGATGAGATTCTTTTATGAATGGTCCATGCTCAAGTTGTAGGCATTATCCTCTTCTTTAGTTATTTTATCTGAGACAAAGAGAGAAAAGTGACATTTTTTTAAAAAAGCCAACTGCACAACAAATACTTTGAACAAAGATCACCCCACCCAACATACCTGCTGGCAACTCTTCGGGCTGTACCTGCCAGGCCTCTTCAGGGCACAAGCCTGAAGACGCTTCCTGCAGGACAGAGAAACTGTTAAAACATTTTTTGTGGGGGAGGTGGGAAAGGGGGACTTGTGTACAAAAACCAACTGTGCTCCAGGATCACTTAAGGCAGGTTCAGGGGATGATACAGGGTGCTAGAGATTGAACGCTGATCAGCCATGTGCAGCAAGGCAAGCCTTACCCTCTACTATCTATCTGGCCCCTAGATGACTGGCCTTTTTTCTTTTTTTATTTTATAAAGTAGTTCACAATATTTGATTACAAACACCAATCCCACCACCATTACACCTTCCCACCACATTTCAGGTGTTTCCATACTGAACCCCAATCCCTGCCCGAAAGCAGAACCAAAATAATGTATTTCCCCTCTAAGGTTGGTTGCCTCCTACTTTGAATTCCATTAAATTTAAACTCCATTAAGTGGGATTAAATCTTGGACTAAGGGCAGAGAGTGTCACGTGCCCTCGAATGAGGAACTTGCCTTTAATTTGCTCAATAATTACAGACACGAAGTCACTGAAGGGCATAGATAATGGAAGGGATTGCAGTAAGACTAAGGATTGCTTAGCCTCGAAACATAGAAGGCGTGCGACCTTACACTCACTTTTCAAAAATAGCATACATTTGTTTGGTTTTTAACATGCTTATATTCTGGCTTAAATGGCTCCAGAATGAAATACAAAACCTTCACGCACTTCCCTCTTATTGTGGTGGGAAGGTACTCGGTGGTGGATTTGGTGTTTGACTATTATCTATAATGAACTATCGTGAACTACTTTTATGAAAATAAAATATATTTATAAAAAACACATGGCCTTATGGTTGTCTACTAGGAAAAAGATTAACAACCCTCCCATTGTACATTTTATTAGAAAATTTCAGCTTGACATCATAGCAACAACATACTTACACCAGATTCTTCCGCACCCTCCTGATCGTCACTGTCTCCACAGTCCTCCCGTTTCTCCTGCTGCTTCACTTTCTGTTTTGGCAATTCTTCAGATATGTCATTTTCCTCTATTATTCCATTTGTCAGACCCGAAGACTGGAAAAGGACACTACTGGCTAATCGGGGGCCTCTAAGGACTACAAAGGGAACACAACACCCCACGTAAATCTTTATTTGATGAGCCAAATTTAGCCACACTTAAATGTAAGCCTTGCTCACTACCTTGTATACTGTGTGCATTGTTCTTCTCCAGTTGGTGCAGATTAAAGCCCAGCTTCATGTCTGACACAGTCTTCTCATTGAAATGTGGAGAAGGGGTCCATGATGTAGGAGGGTGGCAGTAGTAATTTAAGGAGGCACTAGTATTGAAAACCAAAACGTTACAAATCGGTTCCTTTACTCAGGGTGATCATCACCAGTATACCTAAAGAAGCCTTACCCAGTCCATTCTGACCACAGAAGTTTGGCGGCACTATCAACATTTGGGCTTCCCCCTTTCTGGTGCAGCCCTCTTCTCTGAGCAAGAAAGGTGAAAAATTCCAGAGAATCCTTAAAATCTGGAACAGTATATTTCAGCACTACCTTAAGGGGGGAAAACAAAATCTACATTTGGTATGTTGTAAAAACACAGCGTTATAAATCAAAGGAAAAGCTTCTGAAACACCAAGGAAAGGAGATGGTGGTTCTGGTACCTGTCGAGTGTCAGCTCGAGACAGGATGGCACTGGCAGCCTCCAGTGGTCTTAGTTCTTCAATACTCGCTGGACTTCTCAGAGCAAGCGCAGTGGTAGAGTTAAGTGGAGACACAATGATGCTTGGGCTATCTATGATTGTGATTTGTTTGTCCAGGGGGACAACCTGCATGTTCCTGGAACATAAAGAAACAGTGGTTGATGGGGGTACTGCTTTATCTTAAGAATAAAGGCAGAACATGAAGCTCAGGGTTGGATTGAACAAACTCAGCATAGTCTGTCAGATCCAGTTTATCATCATTTGCTTCATGCAAGACTCAAAACTGTACCCTAGCCTTCTTTTTAACCCCCCCCCTTTTTTGGGTCACACCCAGTGATCCTCAGGGGTTACTCCTGGCTCTGCACTCAGGAATTACTCCTGGCCATGCTTGGGGGACCATCTGGGGATGCTGGGGTTTGAACGTGGCTTGGCTGCGTGCAAGGCAAACGCCCTAGCCGCTATGCTATCGCTCCAGCCCCTGTACTCTAGCCTTCTAAGGAGATAATTACATCTTATGGTTTAAATACTGCCTGAAAGACAGGCCATTTCCTTTACCATAAACACATTAGCCCTTCTGCTTGATAGTGTTCTACTGATTCATCAACACCAGGTCCAAGCATCAATCCTGGAGAATTCCATTATCTTTTTGCTTAGTCTATCCACTACCCCACACTAACCAATTCTTTCCTAAGCGCAGCACTAACTTAGCCCAAAGTTTTTTTACTGACACCTCCAAAAAAATTAAACTTTTTTTTTTTACAAGAAAAAGAAACTGTCTTAAGATACACAAAATACTCTAGTTTCAGAATGACTGTTACCTTGTAAGTCCCATGGATATACCAACAGGACATACTGGCTCCTGTTTTAAAGTATTGATGATGCTACTTTTCCCCACATTTGGGAAACCTATAAATTGGAAATAAAACAAAAAAAGGCATTAAGTGATGTGATAGCAATTACAAAATTGCCACTGCTTTATTTTAAGCTAGACATTCAGAGCATGATCAGAATTTTATCTGATTATGCACATTCAGCACTAACCAGTGGTACTCTGGGGACCATAAGGGTGGTTAAAAAGCAGTAAAACCGGCATTTATTTAAGTGGGATAAAATCCAAGTGGACTGCATGGTAGGTAAGCACCCTACCTGTTTGTACTGTTGCTCCAGCCCACTAAACTGTTTCTTACACAAAAAGGTAGAAAAACACTACAATGTTTTTTACAACGTTTAGTAGTATAAAAACACAGGCAACAATTATTTAATTCCCCCTTCCCTTTACAGTAAATATCTGGGAAGCTGGATTAGAACATCCCTTTAGGGAATAATTCTTGCCAATTAAAAGATGTTCAACTAAAACTCACCAATTACTCCAACCTGAATGGCTTTGCCATGAGTCTCCTGAAAACTTCCAAGAAGCTTCCAAAGACTTCCTTTCCCAATGCACACTTCACGCCTGAAAGCAGCAGCTTTCTTCTTCACCTGCATACAATGAAATCCCGAATGATTATTTTTACTTTCCGACAATTCACCAGACAAACACTAAGTGGTCTGGCTCTACAGCCAAACTTCCAAAGTCAATCACTTTTTTTGCCTTTCAGATTTTTTTGGATGAAATCAGAGTTGGATCTTTTCTGTTTTCATTCTGTTATCAATATTTTACATACTCATCATGCTTCAGCCATCAAAAATCTGAAAGAACCAAACCCCCCACCACCAACTGTCAAGGGAACCTTGATTACCTTCCTTTTGCTCTTCGGACACGTTGAGGCTTGGAATACCACTGTTGGCAATTCCTTGTTCAGATATGTTAGCCAGTTCTCCAAGTTCTCCTTTGGAACCAAGTCTGATAAGCAGTAGGAATAAGACTGTTGCAATTTATTCCTTTGAGATGAATTCATAAAGTCTACATTATCAATCACTCTGGTTTGCCTTTTCAGTTTTCAAAGAATTTAACTGGAAGATAACAGAGATAACCATCCTACCACAGTGCCCTCATCTTGATAAAGTTCAACATCTATATGATCCCAATTCTCTGCACCCTTCACCCTTTCAGGATTAAGTAAAATTCTACACCAGAGGGGGCTGGAGAGATAGCCTAGCGGGTGTTTGCCTTGCACGCAGCAAACCCGGGTTCGATTCCCAGCATCCCATATGGTACCCTGAGCACCGCCAGGAGTAACCCCTGTGCATCGCTGGGTGTGACCCAAAAAGCAAAACAAAAACAAACACAGAAAAAAACCAAAACCCTACACCAGAGGTTCCAACTTAATAAGTCTCAAAAGTGAAGGAAGGGGGGGGAAGTCAGTGTCTCATTGGAAAGGTCTACCTTGAGTGAACAAAGTCATCCCCATACTTCATACTTAAATATACTGCATGGTAAAGCTGAATACAGAAACTTACATTGACAGGGGTGCTGGGGAAATCAGGTGGTATCAGGGACCAAATTGGGGAGTCCCACATGCAACACATGCAGTCCAAGCCCTCTGAGCCACCTCCCCAGTCCCAGCAACTTACAAACTGAATATAAAATGGTAGTACAAATTGGCCAAAGAAAAGGAGAAACAAGACAAATCACTTAGAGAAACACCCACCAATCACCACCTCCCTCCAACACACACTGCACTCTGCGTAATATACAACACATGCACACTGGCTTTGCTGAGGTCAGAGTTGGATCTTATCAGTCTTCAGTGACAGTCAGACTGTTCAGATGTTTTCCTCATACCTCACCAGTACACATGAAGCATGAAGGTCATTCTTTTGCTTACCTGATTTATTTAATACAAGCACCAGCTTTTTCTGTCCACCTTGGACAATGGCTTCTTCTACCTGGGGACACCTGCAACCAAGAGGATCGCGGGCATCCAGCACCTCCAACACAACATCAGAGGCTTCAATCACCTGTGAAGGGAGAAATGATGAGAACAGCACGCTAGGCCCTGGGAAGACCCTTCAAATTACCCTAGCATTATTTAATTTGCTACAGGGTGTGCTGAGTTGGACTTAAGCCCTCACTTCATTACATGTGCATCTCACACATGGTCACGGTTCTCCCGTTGTTCATCAATTTGCCCGAGCGGGCCCAGTGACGTCTCCATCATGAGACCTGTTGTTACTGTGTTTGGCATATCGAATACGTCACGGGGAGCTTGCCAGGCTTTGCCGTGCGGGTGAGATACTCTTGGTAGCTTGCTGGGCTCTCCGAGAGGGGCAGAGGAATCGAACTCGGGTCGGCCATGTTGGCTGCATGCAAGGCAAACGTTCTACCGCTGTGCTATCGCTCCAGCCCATTTCACACAGAAAAAAAAAATACATCTGTTCAGCAGTCTTGAATCAAAGTGGATTTCTAGAATGGAAATATCCCCCAAGTCTGAAAATACGATCACAGCACAGTAAATCACATAACTCAACAGGTCTTTCTGGCCTGGCAAGAGATGCTAAGCAGAGTGCAGTTCTACTTACTGATGGGAGAGAACACTTGAAAAACAAATACTGGGAAAGAGAGTGCTGGTAAGAACACCAAAATACCTCATCTCCCTGCATTAAAGGAAGTCCTTTTGATACCTTTCACACTTTTTCTCAATTAATTTCCCCATTTCCAAAAAATTTGTCAAGAGCCAAAGTAACAGTACAACAGAAAAACTTGCCTGGATTCAATCCCTGGCACCACCTGCATATGATTCCTCCACCCAGCCAGGAGTTTTCCCTGAGTAGAGCCAGGAGTATACCTTGCGCTCTGCTGGGCATAGCACAAAACACCGAACCGAACTTTATCAACATGTTACTTGCTATTGGCTTTCATTTTGGTTTGGGGCCATAACCAGTAAATCTGCATACAATCCACTGAGCTCTCTCCAGCCCTGCCATATTAACATAAAATGCATTTTCCTAAGTCATGCTTTGGGTAGGAATTCCTATGCAAAGGAAATATAAAATTTCCCATTGAGCTAAAAGTAACAAATGCTAAATAGGAAGGCCAATTTGCTTATGGCATCTTTTAAGTTTAGTGGACTTTTAGGTTGGTGTTTAAAAAAGACAAGCCTCTGTTCTTTTTTTAAACCTCATTTTTAAGACACTGACCTAGATTAAAATACCTTTTTGAGCTCCTGACAGTACATCTTCTTTGGATTCTGTTTGCCTGACTTGGTTTTGTTCTTAGCTTTGCTTTGCCCCAATTCCTAGAATGAAGATAAGGAAAACACAAAATGAAATTTAAAAAAAGCACAGCAGTCGTAACATTTATTTCATATATGGCTGATGCGCAATACAACAGACACTGATGGGGAAGCAAAGGGCTGAGCACATGCAAAAATGTAGTAACGCTTTTACTTCTTTTTGAAACTTATCTCTTTCAGAGACCAAATCATACCTCCTTCACAGGTTCATCAGATGGCTTAATATCAGAGTCTGTGTCAAGGTTTCGTCTCTTTTGCTGTTCCTCCAGCCGATCAAGTTTTTGCTGCTGTCTAAGTTCTTCACGCTGTGTCAAAACCGTGACAGAAATGGGTGAGGCACAGGGCTCCCACTTGCTCCTTTCAAGATGCATGCGCGCAACACATCAGTTCTTACCCTCTGTTTCCTCAGTTCAGCTTCCTGAAGAATGGCCTCCTTGAAGGGAGCACTGTTGGGAACACTCAGATCTTTTCTCCGTTTCTTATGACCTTTTTTCTTCGCTTCCTTTCTCAATTTCCTATGGTGCTCACGGATCTGTTATTAAATACTTATTTTTAAAAGTCCACACAACTTTTTTTTTGGGGGGGGGGGTGGGGTGAGAAAGGAGTATTTCTGCACTACACAGGGAATCACTCCTGGCAGTGCTCTGGGGACCACCTGGGTAGCCAGGATTTAACCTGGGTCAGCCACGTGCAACGTATACAAATCTCCTAGAGAGAATCCACATTAAGAAACTAATCTGACTACAGCTTGGTTCTGCCTCTAAATTTAAAAACAGCCCTCCCGTTGATCGTCGATTTGCTCGAGCGGGCCCAGTAACGTCTCCATTGGAGACTTTGTAAAAACAGCAAAGAACATATTTATATGTGAAGCCAAGGTCTCAGGGAGATTCTTTTTGCAAAGGCTATTTTTATTCTGGGGCCACACTGGATGGCGCTTAGGCCTAGCTCGGCCCTCTGCCATCACGCGTTGCTGGGAGGGCGGGCAGAAAACCTCGTACAGTGCGGGGAACCGGAAACCTGGGCCTGGCCGCTTCCGAGGCAGCACCTCCCCCCTCCCCGCCCCCCCAATCCAGTACTATGACTCAGGCCCCTGCAAACGGTTTAAATGTTCAAAAAATTTTTTTCTCCTTTTTGGGTCATACCCAGCGAATGCACAGAGGTTACTCCTGGCGGTGCTCTGGGGGCCATATGCGATGCTGGGAATCGAACCCGGGTCGGCCGCGTGCAAGGCAAACGCCCTACCCGCTGTGCCATCGCTCCAGCCCCCTAAACGTTCAAATCTACAGGACGCACCACAGAACTTCGGCAGTTTCCCGGAACTGATGGCCTGAAAGCGGGTGCCACGACTTCCCTATCTCCCACTTCCTGAAATAATAACTCCTACTCATCCTTATCTCCTCCCGGAAGGAAGCCCGGGCAGCAAACTCAGCGTTCCCATTCCTCGGAGCTCTCCCAAGCACGCTTACCTTTTTCTGGATTTTGTACCGCTTATGGCATGTCATGCGTTTACTCGCTTTCTTTAACTCTACCCCAAAAAAAGCAAACAAACAAAAAAATCATCGTTAAAAAAAAAAAATCAAGACGCCACGAACGCTCGCGCCCTCGAAGTCCTCTCAAGCCCGTCGTAGCCACTCCAACCCCGGCGGGGTCTGGCCGACTTCCCGCGTCCTGCGCTCCCACGCGGGGCCCGGTGCGCACGTGGGTGCCGCGGGGCGGCTGTTTCCCCGCACGGCGGGCGCGGCCGGGCCCCCCGCACAATGGGCCCGCCGTTAACGAGTGTCGGGCGTCCCAACGCTCCATCCGACGCGGAGCCGGGCCGGCCGGCGGGCCCCCCGCAGGCCCCCGCCGGCCGGCCGCTCCCCCGCGGCCCCCACTCGCGCAGAGCCGGCAGAGGGCCAGCCCCGCGCCGGGGCGCCCCCACCCCGCCCTCGCCGACCCCACTCACTCGGCCGCTTCATCTCGGCGCCAGGAGGAGCCGCGCAGGCGGCGGCGGGGACCCGCGGCGCTCGGGAGGACGCGCCTCCGCCGGCGCCACGTGGGAAGTGGGGCCCGAGCGCGAGAGTCTCGCCCTCACGCGGCCGCCGTAAAGCGCCTCCCCCGCGCCGGGCGGCGCGCGCACGCAGTGTCGCGCTGGCCCGGGCTCGCTTGACGGCCGCCAGTCGGGTTTTGCGGCAGTACCGGGAGGGGTGAGGGCGGTGAGGGCGGCCGGTGCTGGAGCGACGGCAGCGGCCGCGGCCGGAGGAGCAATAGCAGCAGCCGTGGCGGCCACAGGGCGGGGCGCGGCGGTCGGGGACCGCGGCCGGGGCTGCAGGCGGCGGAGCGGCGGGGTAAGGCCGGGCCCGGGGCGGGCGGGGCCGCTCCCCCTCGGCCGGCTGCCGGGCCTTTGTGTGGGGCCCGGGCGGCGGGCGGGCGGGCGGGCGGGCGGGCGCCGCGGCGGAGGCCCCGCCCTGGCCGTGGGGACGCGCCGGTCGGGCCGGGCGCGCGGGGCGGGGCGCGGCGGCGGCGGCGGCGGGCGGCGGGCCGGGCCCGGGCCCGGCGGCTCCCGCACCTGCCGGCCGGGACAAAGGCGCGCCGCGGCCCGGGCCTCCCGTTCCCGCCCCCGGGAGCGCCGGGCTCGGGCGGCCGCGGAGCTGTCAACGTCCCCCTGGGCGCCCCTCGTTGTGACAGGTCGGGGGAAGCCTTTCCTCCCGGGGCCTCCCCTTCTGCTCGCCCGACGGTTACTACGCAAAGTCTCCCCGGGACTGTGCTGCTGCTGCTGCTGCTGCTTCCCCCCCTCCGCCTTACACTTTACCAATGACTGAATTCAGACTGAGTTTATTTTTTTTTAATCAGTGGGAACTTGTATTTCTAGTAAAAGTCAGATATTTAAATTTTCTATCCTACGAGGAATCAGGGTTGGGTTTGGGTTTGGTTTTGTTTTCAAAGACGTTCGTTTTTTGCTTTTTAGTATTTCCCCAACTCGTTCGGACTGCAACAGTTTTTTGCCTAGAAGGTGGGCAAGTGTGACTTTTAAGGGAAGAAAGATTGCCACAAGTATAGAAGGAATTCTGAAAGGCCAGTGACAGATGCTCCGCAATCATTTGCTACAGTAATGACTACTAGACTGATAGCCGTTGGAATAAAACATTTGAAGTTGTTTTCCAAAAAAAAAAAAAAAGGGCTGCTTTAAAATGATTTTAAACTTAGCACAACCCCCATTTAGTAATGGACTCTTTTTCAAATACAATTTAGAAGAAGCAAATTGAACTTGATAAAGATGTTGCAAAGTAATGTGGTTTTTTGTCGTTGTTGTTGTTGTTGTTGTCAACAGGGTGCTGTAGCTTAAGATCCTAAAGTAGATTGGAAAGTTGAGGGTTTTTTTAGTATTTAAAATTGAAGCCGTTTAAAATGTTTGGATAAATAGGACCTTGGCCACTTTCTTAAACTTTGGGAGTTTACAAATTCCTCAAGCCTTAATATTCTACTCAATTCAGTAATTGTGGTATATCTATATTACTAACAAGCTATCAGACATTGCATAGAAGAAAGTTGAATTGGAAAAAAGTCTGTAAAATATGGTTTGTAAATAATACTTATGATTTTGCTCTTTGGTTTAAAAGAAAGGCATTGAATTGAAGACAGTAAATATTGAAAGCTGTGAACACCGATGGTAAGGGTAATTTTTCTTGGAGAAGTGATTTTTCTTTTTAATGTTCTGCTTTTTTGGTTGTTTTAGAGTGCTTTATTATACTAAATATCACTAGAAATGCAGGAAAGTACTAAAAATATGTAAATTAAATATACCATGGTGGGGCTGGAAAGACAGTATAAGGAGTAAAGACCCCTGGCACCACATTCTCTCAAGCCCCACCAGAAATGACCCTTGAGCTCAGAGCCAGTTAACTCCTGAGCATTGCTGGGTATGGCCCACAAACCAACAAATAAAACACCACACACACACACACACACACACTCACACTCACGATGGTACCAGAAAGATAGCACAGCCAGTAAGGTGCTTATCTTGCCATGTATGACCAGGGTTCTATCCCCGATACCTATTATGGTCCCAGAACCTTACCAGGAGTGATCTCAGACCAAGGAGTAAACCCTGAACACAGCTGGGTGTGGTCAAAGTACATGAAATCATTTTGAAAATTAAAAGTAGAGGCTGAGTGATAGTACAGTAGGTAGTATGCCTGCCTCACGCGTGGCCAACCCAAGTTTGACTCCTGGTACCACATAGGGCCCCCTGAACACAGTATGGCACAGAAAACAAAAGTAGTCATAGTTTCTACTTTAGAATTTCAGTATCTCTGCACGTAGATAGGGGGTTACACTTTTTTGTAGCCTTGGCTTACGAACAGTATTTGGTGAAGTATGAACCAAATAAACATACTAAAAGCACATTTGGGTGGAACAAACTTTTTGAAATAAAACTTATAAAGCTTTTTTTACTTAAAAGACTTGCGAATACCCCTTCAGCAGTTCCTTTTCCAGAAAGGGGATTTCGTGTACTTTTCACTGTCAGAACAGTTTTCAGAAGTGAAAAAAAAAAAAAAAGATCTGAAAGTTGTGACTCAAACATTCACCGGATAATTAGAGGTATATAACCTGGGACTCTCAGTCTGATCTAACGAGCTCAAGTTCTAGTGCTTCTCTGCCTGCCTTGCCACATAGCTTTCTGTCAGACTTTCAAAGTACATTTAAAAATGTGTCCATTGGATTAAAAAATGCTTGAAAGTTCATCTTAAATTCCACTTTCCCTTGTTTTATTAAAGGAACTTAATGATCAAGTTGTTCTGGATGTTTATGTTGAAAGCAGAGGTTTCCAAATTTATTTGGCCTACTGCCCTCCTTTCAGAAAAAAATTACACAGCTTCCCCCAAAAATCTGTCTCTTTAAGTGAACAAACAAAAAGCCACCACGACCATTGTACCTGAGTCTACTGCTGCCCACCTGGATCATTTTGGTTCCATTCCATCTGGGGCAGTATGGCAAGCATTGTCTAAATTTTATATATATATGTCTACTAAATTTTTTGTCACTTGATTTTTTGTGGATTTTACGAGTAAATTGACCTAGAATAGTTGAATGCTTTTTATGTTAATCTCTTTAAACTTGTTTGTGGTGTCCTATGCTGATAGGACTTTTAGACATAGTGTCATTCTGTTATTTTGGTTGGGGGAGAAGTTTTCCAGACTCTCTGCTCACATGAGCCATTCTCGGTTTGTTCCAGCTTGCCAACACTTGGTGTCACATGTGAGCCTTCCACATGTGTTCACTCTCCATTCCAGCTCTGTGATTGAATTCTGCTCTTATTGACTAGGGGGCAATTGGGCAGGCATGCTTCATTCCTGGAATTGACAGTCATTCCATGTGAGTATAGGGGAATCTCAGTGAGACATCATTAAGCATGTGAAAAGCATTTGGTTTTAAATGGAAAAAAAAGTGTCAGTACTGCTAGTGCCGGATCCCTTGGCAGTTTGATTGTCACAAGAAAACTTATATGCCTATATTCTCCACTTTATCTTTTTATAGCAGTTATACCTGGACAATTTCCTTCTATTTTGACTTCTGACTCTTCTTTTCATTTTCCCCTTTCTCTGCTTTGTTTCTCTCTTTCAGTTTTGAATATACTAACCTTGAGTCAGCACTTCTAAAGCTCTGCCTTCTCCCACTGGCTTCACTTGGCCTTCAGACATAATGAGGAGACTGGCTTTTCGAGGCGCTGGTTGTGCTCTGGTAAAGCTGGTAAATTACAGATCCTCTGCACCCTTTCCCTTTTCTGTCCTTTCTTGACTTTTCCCCCACCACTTTTAACTGTCCGTAAAGATTCCTACCTCGCGTTTATCAAATTCACTGATACCCTTGTCATAGATTATTTACAAAGGATCGGTCCTTTCTTTTTCTTAATGAATTGAGGCCAGATTATCAGCCTTTATAGAGCAACAAAAATCAATGAAACTTGGCTGCCCTTGATTTAAACTCTTTGAAGCTTTTCGCCAGCTGTAACCAGTTACAAACTATATAACAGGAACATTATGTTTGACTATTTTTTAAAACCTTGTGGACTAGTTCGGAGGAAGAGATAAAGATTCCATTTTTCAGGTTTTTTTTTTTTTCCAGTTTTGGGGCTACACCTAGTGGTGCTTAAGACTTCCTTCTGGCTCTGTTTCAGGAATTGCCCCTGGCATGCTCTCGAGTCCATATGGAATGCCAGGGAGTGAACCCTGGTCGGCTGTGTGCCAGGCAAACACCCTCCCCACTGAACTATTGCTCTGGTCCATCGTACCAAAATGTTTTTATACTTGTGGTTCTACATTCTGTTCTAGGGCGGTTCCCCCTCCCCCCTTTTTTTAAATCCATACTGGCAACTCATTCTTTAAGTGCCTAATGTTCTTAGTTTACTAAACTTGAATGTTTTAATAAGTGAAACTGGATCAGTTTTTTCCTCTTTAGAGAGTTTTAAAATCACAATTTCCTACTTGATGCTATTAAACATTATAGCATTGTAGAACCCACTTGGGTATACATGATTCCTTTCTATTTGTAGCAGTTGTTTCAATGGTGCATTTCTTGTTTTCTATTCAGAAGTACCTATTTAAGGTTGACTTAATAGTTATTTAGTGAATTTAGTGTATTTAGAGAGAGTACAGGAGGTAAGGTGATTGCATTGGATGCTATGGGTGCTACTGATCTCACTTTTATCCCTGGCTCACTTACGGTCCTGAAGCGCTGTCAGAAGTGATCCCTGACAATTGAGCCAGGAGTAAGTCTGAGCACTGCTGAGTGGGGCGTGGGGTGTGGCCCAATTAGGGAGGGCTGAGGGAGCAATGCCAACAAAAATCACAACAATAATTATTTAGTACCTTGCCTAAAACTGTGGACAGGAACATGTTTCTGAGAGACCATGGAAGATATCCAGGTAGCGGGAGATACTGTTCCAAATCATCTACTGAAGCTTAAAGTTATGATTTAAAAGTCCACAGAGAGAGACCAGAGCAATAGTACAGTGGGTATGGTTCTAGCCTTGCTCATGACCGACCTGGTTTTTTTGTTTTATTTATTTTTTATCCCTAGCACCCCATGTGGTCCCCTGAGCCCACCAGGAGTGATTCGTGAGCACTGACCCAGGAGTAAGCCCTGAGGACCACCAGCTGTGGCCCACAAAGTCCATAGAGAGATGGGCCTGGAGAGATAGTACAGTGGGGAGGGCACTTGCCTTATACAAGGCCAACCTGGGTTCGATCCGTATATCACATATGGCTCCCCTGTGCACTGCTACTAATGATCCCTTAGTGCAGAGCCAGGAGTAAGCCTCAAGCATTGTCAGGTGTAGCCACAAGCCCCCTCTTCACCCAAAAAAAGTCCACATAGATGGGGCCTATGTTTTTCATGTAAGAGTGCTGGGTTTCATCTTTAGCACGCCACAGTCTCCTGAGCACTGCCAGGTGTGCTCCCCACCAATCCTCCAAATAAGATTTTAGTGGCTGGAGTGATATTACAGTGGGTAGGACACTTGCTCCGCATGCTGCAGATCGGATTTGGTCTCCAGCAACATATAATATCCCCAGAGCGCAGAATCAAAAGTAGGCCCTGGGGGTAGCTAGGTGTGACCCCAAAACAACCAACATTTCACAGGAAGAAAGTACCCCATGAAACTGAAAGGAGGGTTAGTTTAGATTGACAGTGACATTTTAAAAACTGTTTTGTTTGTTGGTATGGCAAGTCACTGTTTTTCAGGTAGATTTGTTAATGAAGAAAATTCATTTTAGTATGTTAATTTTATGGTGCATCTGAAATGCTAGAAGGCTGATTGTTCTCTGCCTCTACTCTTTTTATTTTTTAAGTGATTGCCTCAGGCTATGCTTTTCCCTTCCACATTATAGCCTTTTTAGAAAATGATCATATATCTAAGCAACTCAGGAAAATAGAAGTGGCCATCTGTCCCCAAGGTCTGTTTAACTGCCTTAGGGACGGAGGAATTGATAATTCCAGCACTTTGGTAGTTTTAAAATTCTGCTATAGGGTAAATTTGGTACTAGAAGTTGTTGAGTCATTCAAAATTGATGATACACAAATGAGTATACCTTCACTGAATTTGTCTTGCCTAAATTGAAAGTATAGTCTGGTAAGTGAAGCACTGGGGCCAAAAAAAAAAATTTTTTTTTTAAATGTTAGTGAAGTCTCTTTGCAGCAGTTAAAGTAGCTTCAGTGAACCAGAAGCCCTTTAGAAGTTTGCCAGCTGAGGGCTTATTAACAGTCTAAATTTAAATGTAAGAACATGGTTATTTATTTTTTATAGAAGAAGTTGGATTCCATGGGTTCCAAAAGAAGAAGAGCCACCTCCCCCTCCAGTAGCGTCAGCGGGGACTTTGATGATGGACACCATTCTGTGTCCACACCAGGCCCAAGCAGGAAAAGGAGGAGACTTTCCAACCTTCCAACGGTAGATCCTGTGAGTAATTTGAGCCACGTATTTTCTGCCTCCTTTCTTACAATTCCCACCTTCCTTTAATAATAAGTAAAATTTAAGATTTCTCCATTTTCCACCCACTAACTTGATATTCTTAATCTTTCTTTTATGAAAATTATGTATTTAGCCAAAAGCCCTATAGTAATAGTATGAGACTATGAAGTAATGAGTATCAGTTTATCTCATATATACTTTAAGCCATTTGTGTCATAGCTTAAGCACTTTTGCTGGCCATAATACAGTCCGCCATGTGTAAGACATACCAGTTTTGTTTTTGGAACTTAGATTCTAATGAAGCAGTGGAGGGGGGTGTAGAATGTAAACTACTGAATAATAAGTTATAAAGTAGGGATCAAAGATACATCTCGGTGGTAGAGCCAACTGCCTTGTATATATGAGACCCTGGGTTCAATCCCTGGCACTGAAAAAAAATTTAAATACAGTACCCTTAGCTAGTGGGTGATTGTGGTTCAGCCTTCAGGAAGGCTCTCAGCTTCCAGGATGCTAGGGAAGTCTGTATAGATAGACACTACAATGCACAGAAACTAGGTTAGGAAGGGGATTGGTATATCAAATAAGGGAAATGGGCAAGAGGGAGAAAGAGGCCGATAAAAATCTTCCCAGTCTAAGTAAATGGGTCCTTTGTGGGCAATAGCAGTAGTTTAGATTTTATTCTTTTAGTAAGAAGCACTCAATAATTTTTATGCAAGAATGATATATGAACTCATTTAGTTCAAAGTTTTAAAAAAATCCCAGTATCACAAATCTGATGACAGATGTCAAAATGTTTAATTGGTTAAACTATTTTAAAGAAGGAGATGATGAGGCCGGAGCTATAGTACAGTCGGTAGGACTTTTACCTGGCACGTGACCGACGTGGGTGTGATCCCTGAGCTCAGAGCCAGGAGTAATTTCTGAACACCAGGTGTGGCCCTAAAACCAAAAATAATCATAATAAATAGGAAGATAAAGTATCGATGTGTTTCAAACTTGAGTTACCAATGGGAATTAGGAATTCTTCCTTGTTTGCTTTGTTTTCGGAGCCTCCCAAGCAGTGTTCAGGGGCCCCTTCCCAGTGGTGATTTAATGCATGGATCCAAGAATATGATACTTTGAGGGCCCTGTGGTACCAATTTTCAGGGTTGCAGCTATGATGCTCAGGTTACCATGTGTGGCCAAGAATCAAACCCGAATTGGCCACCTGCAAGGCATGCGCCTTAACAGCTGTTTGCTGTCTGTCTTTTGCCCCTACTTGCTTTTTATGTATATGTTTTTACTGACCACGGGTTTTTTTTTTTATTTTATTTGTATAAAGTAGTTCACAATATTTGATTACAGTTAATATTTAAACAATAATCCCACCACCATTACACCTTCCTACCACCATATTTTGGATGTTTCCATCCCAAACTCCAACCTCTGCCCCAAAGCAGAATCGAGATAATCTACTTTGTATTGTCTGTTATGAATAAACCACTGAAAATGCTCCAAAAAACTTTCCTTAGGAGAGAGTGTGTGAAGATTGTTGTATTTCACCCCAGGCCATTAAGCCCTTCTGTAAGAGATCACTAATATGTTGATAAAGGTTGAGTCTTGTGTGCTTATGTGTATATATCTGTAAAAATATTTTTTCCTCTAAGATTGGTTGCCTTCTGCTTTAAACCCCATCTAATCCAGTGTGTTCCTCTTGGAATATGAGTGATATGAAGTATGAGATGTCCAGGAATAGGTTTACTCATGGGTGAGGCTTGGCCGGAGCACGTGGAAAACAGCCGTGAGCATGGCGGTGGTTGAGTTCTGGAGGATTTCAGCTGCTGGGGCAGGGAGGGGCCTCACCTGTCCCCTCCAGGGTGCCCCGAATGAAACAGCCTGGCATGGGGTCAAGGTCCTGCGGCATGGCTATGGTGTGTTTTGTTATGCTCTCTTTCAAGAGAGAAGGACAATGAGCCTCTAGGTCGTGGTTGTTGATGAGATGATCTGAGGACGGTTGTTATGCTTAAAGTACTTTGGTTTCTCTCCCTTTCTATGTGTAGATTGCTGTGTGTCATGAACTCTACAACACTATTCGAGACTATAAGGATGACCAGGGCAGGCTCCTCTGTGAGCTCTTCATCAGGGCACCAAAGCGAAGGTGAGTTGGAAAGTAAGTGGAGGGACCTGTTCCGCAGTTCATGTTTAAAATGCCTGGAAATAAAGTTTTCTCCTGGGAATAGCTTAAATGATACTGGGCTCTTGATTTTAGGGTTTTGTTTTGTGTTTGGATCACACCTGACTAAGCTCAGCGCTTACTCCTGGCCACACTTGGCAGTGCTCAGAGGCTATTTCTGGCTTGGTGATTTGGGGTCACTCAAATCACCATATGATCCCATGATGCCAGAGATTGAACCTGGGTTGCCACATACAGAGCATGTATTCCAGCTCTTTTAACTGTCTTCTTGGCCTCATCATAAGATTTTTTCAATTTGTTGTGGTATTCCTTTGATCAGTGTGTATTTTTTGTTTGTTTCGTTTGGAGGCCACAAACATACAAATACCCAGGACTACTATTGGATCAGAGCTGATAGGGAGAGAGGATACTCTCAGCAGTAGTTGAGAAACCACTCACTGTGGGGGATTGAACTTGGGGCTCCTGCATGCAAAGTATGCTCTTCGACCCTTTGAGCTATCTCCCTGGCTCTTTACCAATGAATATTGAGTCCTCCCTGTATTCTGGGAATAAATTCCACTTAGTACTATATAATTCATGTAAAGTACTAAATTCCTCTTTGTTGATCATTTTTGTATCAGTGTTTATAAGAGATGCAGAATCCTCCGTTTCCCCCCTCCACTGTCCCCTCTCTCCTACTGCTGTTTTTGGTTTTGGGCCACACAGCAGTGGTTATTCAGGCCTTAATCCTGGTACTGTGTTTAGGGATCACTCCTGGTACAATCCCACCAGCTGAACTATCTCTACGGCCCCAAGAAAAAGAAATATTAGTTCATCTTTAAATATTTGGCACCTTCCACCAGTGGAGCCATTGTATCTGGGACCTTTTTTTTTATAGGTTTGATTGCTGATTCTTTACAATTTTTGTTGTTGTTATTGTTACGGAGTTTGTTTGTTTGGGGGCCACACCCAGCGATGTTCAGTGGTTACTTCTGGCTCTGCACTCAGGAATTAACTCCTGGCATTGCTCACGAGACCATATAAGGTACCAGGGGTCAAACCCTGGTCAGCTGTGCACAAGACAAATTCCCTTCCCACTGTAGCATGATTCTTTACTACTTACAGCTTTATTCAAGTTTTCTATCTTCACAGTCTTAGTAGTTTTTATTTGTCCAAGAATTTATAGTTCATTTAGGATATCCAGTGATACATAGTACTCATAACCCTTTATTTTACCTCTTCCCAACCATTTTTGATAAAATGACATATATTTGGTTGCTGTGCTCAGACTGTCAAAATGATCACTGGAGCTGCATGCTTTGGTTGTGGTGTTTTCACAGAGTTTGTAAGAAATTTTGTGGCACAGGAAATCACACAACAGCCGCACTTCTGGTATTGCATTCAGAATGTGGTGTGATTCAGGGGATCAAACTTTTCTCTATCTGAAAGGCTCTTCTACTGAGTCTTCTACTGAGTCCCAACCAGGCCGTTATCCTTTATATTATTGTGCTCTCAGTTGTTAATATCTATCTTTCATGTTTATTTTGAATCTTAATCTAGATCAGTATTTTTCAACTGGAAGCGTATGACTTTCTCTAGAGTGCCAGGATATTCCAAGGAATCCACAGATGAAAAATCATAAATGGAGGGCCACAGCATGAGACTAGGAGGAGACCATGGTAGATCAGGGTTTGGGGGGAACAGAAAACAAAAACCAAAGTTGGAAGGGGACCACAATTAGAAAAAGTTTTGGAAACACTCATCTTGTTGATTTTTTTGGGGGGGACAGGGCATTTGTTAAGATAAATCAGGGCCTCGCACATGCAGGGGCAAGGTAGAGGTTCTGCTGAGCCGCATCTCTCACCAATTAGCTAAGATTTTTATCAGTTTCTTTTTTTTAAGGTTTATCAATTTTGCCCATCTTTTCAGAAGACCATCATAAGGCTGGAGAAATAGCTGAGTGGTTTTAATGCATGCAAAACATGCTTTGCCTGCAGGAGCCCCAGGTTCAGTCACCACACTGTCTCTTGAGTACTCCAGGGAACAGCCCCTGAACACAGAACCAGGTGTGACCCCAAAACAAACCCCATTACATGGGCTGGGAGGGTAACTCACAGGGCTAGAGCGAATGCTTTGCTTGCAGAACCCATGGGTTCAATCCCTGGCATCATTTGGTCCCTCAAGGATTGTCCAAAGCACATTTGAACTATGTCGGGTATGACCCAAAAACTAAAAGAAAAAGCCCCACAAAATTATTTCAGTGCCTCACATGCACAGGGATCAATTTAAGTTCAATCCGATCCCCAGCAACCACATGGCACTGCTGAGTGTAGCCCTAGAAGTTTCACACCACTCTGTGTAGCTCTCACCTCCTCAAGGACATGGTGATCTGTATAGTACCACTAGCCCAAGCAGTGCCAGTTAGCCTGACCCAAACATTGAACTCTCCCACACAATTGGTCAAGGTACACCTGGTGTGGCCTCTGAGATCCCTAAACACAAGTAGGGAGCCTCTGATATTCCACCATCCCCTAAAAAAAGGCCCACTGCAAATGTAAGTTTAAGTATTTTACCATTCATTTTTACAGTTTTAAAAATTGAAATAACATTAATTTAGGTTGCTGATACGTGTTTTAAAATGAGAATACATATGCATCTTGTCTTTTTTACTCCTTTAGAGTTCTAATGGCTATAAATCTAACATGTTCTATCACTTAGAAGGGTGAACAGTGCCACAAATCATTTTGAAATATAACTGTTTTTAGACATTGGATTAATTCCTTTTTTCAAAAAAAAATATTACAACAGAAATCAACCAGACTATTATGAAGTAGTTTCTCAACCAATTGACTTGATGAAAATCCAGCAGAAATTAAAAATGGAAGAGTATGATGATGTTAACCTGCTCACTGCTGACTTCCAGCTGCTTTTTAACAACGCAAAGGCCTATTACAAGGTAAGAAAGCACTAAACTTGGAAGACATACAATTTCATAGTTGTCAGTTTTTTAAATTTTTATTTAATCATCACGAATTACAAAGCTATTCATGATTGGGTTTTATGTGTACAATGTGCCAACATCAATCCCTTCACAGTGTCCACTTTCCTCCATCAGTGTCCCTAGTTTCCTTTCCATGCCCCCTACCACCCAAGCCTGCCTCTGTGGCAGGTATTTTTTTCTTTCTCTTTTTTCCTTTTTTTCCCCGTGGTTTACAATACTGTTACTGATAGGGTATTCATGCATGTCACTTTGCCTCCTTTCAGGGATCTAGTCCTGGTCCGGAGTGACCACTTCTCTCTATCATTGTCATAGTGGTTCATTTCTGGACCATTTCCTGTCTCCCCTCAATTCTCACATCCTCCCCACCATTACATCCCCAGTGGCAAGCTTCCAACTAAGGACCAATTCAGTTATTCCACTATTATGTTTCTTTATATTCCTCATATGAGTGAGTTCATTCTCTGTCCCTCTCCCTCTGACTCATTTCACTCAGCATGCTACTCTTCAGTCCATCCACATATCTACAGATCTTTTCTTAGGGCTGATTAGTATTTTCTTGTATACACACACACACACACATATACATACATACATATATACACATGTATATACACATATTCAAAGAACATACGTATGTTTATATATAATGTTATATACAAATATACACACACCAAATACACCAAAGCTTCTTTATCCAGTCATATATTCTTGGACAGTTGAGTTGGTTCCAGATTGTGACTATTGTGGCTATTGTGACTATTGTGACTAATGCTGCAGTGAATATAGTGCAGATGTCTTTTCTATGTTGTGTTTTTGCGGCCTTTGGGATATATTCTTAGGAGTGGAATTTCTAGGTTGTATGGAAGCCCAGTTCCCAGTTTTTTGAGGAAAGTCCATATTGTTTTCCAAAAAGGCTGGAGGGGCTGGAGAGATAGCACAGCGGGTAGGGCGTTTGCCTTGCACGCAGCCAACCCAGGTTCGATTCCCAGCATCCCATATGGTCCCCTGGGCACCGCCAGGAGTAACTCCTGAGTGCAGAGCCAGGAGTAACCCCTGGGCATCGCCAGGTGTGACCCAAAAAGCAAAAAAAAAAAAAAAAAAAACCCAAAAAGGCTGGACCAGTATATTGCCACAAGCAGTAAATGAGAGTCCCTTTTTCCTCACGCATCCATGCCAACACTGGTTGGTGTTCTTCTTTTCTTTTTTTTTTTTTTTTTTTCAGGTTTTTTTTTTCTTTTTTTATTAGTGAAAAACCATGAGGTACAGTTATAGGCTTACAAATTTTGTGCTTGGGTTTCAGTTATACAATGATCAAGTGCCCATCCCTCCACCAGTGCCCGTCATCCATCCCCACGGGTCCCAGCATTCACCCCCCCCCCCAACCCTCATCCCCCCCCCCCCCCCCCCCCCCCGTCCCATCCTGCCTCTGTGGCAGGGTATTCCCCCTTGTTCTCTCTCTCTTCTTTTGGGTACTGTGTTTTGCAAGAGAGGCTTTGAGTGGCAATCATGTTTGGTCTATCGACTACTTTTAGCATGCTTCTCCCACCCTGGGAGGGCCCTCACAACACCCTTCATTTGGTACTCTCTTCTCTATCTGAGCTTCCTTTTCACCTAGAGCCTGTGGCTGGCCTTCCATTCATGGAGCAAAATTCCTGGTACTAATCTCAGCCATTCCTGGGTGTTAATCTCCCTTTTTGTTGCTTTATGTTCCCCAGATGAATGCAGTCTTTCTGTGTCTATCCCGCTCTTTCTGACTCATTTCGCTTAACATGATACTTTCCATGTAGTACCACTTGTATGTAAATTTCATAACTTCATCTTTTCTAACAGCTACATAGTACTCCATTGTGTAAATGTGCCAAAGTTTCTTTAACCAGTCATCTGTTCTTGGGCACTCAGGTTTTTTCCAGATTCTGGCTATTGTAAAGAGTGCTGCAATGAACAAACAATTGCAGATGTCACTTCGACTATACCTTTTTGCCTCTCTGGGATATATTCCCAGGAGTGCTATAGCTGGGTCAAATGGCAGATCAAATTCTAAGTTTTTGAGAGTCGTCCATACTGTTTTCCAAAAGGGTTGGACCAGCCGGCATTCCCACCAGCAGTGAAGGAGGGTCCCTTTCTCGCCACATCCGCGCCAGCACCGGTTGCTTTTGTTCTTGTGGATGTGGGCCAGTTTCTGTGGTGTGAAATGATATCTCATTGTGGTTTTGATCTGCATCTCTCTGATGATTAGTGATGTAGAGCATTTTCTCATGTGCCTTTTTGCCATTCGAATTTCTTCTTTGCGAAAGTTTCTGTTCATTTCCTCACCCCATTTTTTGATGGGGTTGGGTGATTTCTTCTTGTGGAGTTTAACCAGTACCTTGTATATCCTTGATATCAACCCCTTGTCGGATGTGTACTTGGTGAATATCCTTTCCCATTCTGTAGGCTGTCTTTGTATTTTGGTCAATGTTTCTTTTGAGGTGCAGAAGCTTCTTAGTTTAAGATAGTCCCATTTGTCTATCTCTGTTTTCACTTGCTCGGCCAGTGGCGTGACATCTTTGAAGATACCATTAGCTTCAATATCATGGAGAGTTTTGCCGACTTTGTCTTCAATAAACATTATGGATTCTGGTCTGATGTTGAGGTCATAAATCCATTTTGATCTTATTTTTGTGCATGGTGTTAGGCAGAGATCTGAGCCCACTTTTTTGCATGTAGCCATCCAATTTTGCCAGCACAGTTTATTGAAGAGGCTTTCCCTGCTCCATTTCACTTTTCTTGCCCCCTTATCAAAAATTAGATGATTATATGTTTGGGAGGAAATGTCAGTATATTCAACTCTGTTCCATTGGTCTGCAGCTCTGCTTTTGTTCCAGTACCATGCTGTTTTAATTATTACTGTCTTGTAGTAGAGTTTGAAGTTAGGGAGGTTGATTCCTCCCATTTTCTTTTTCCCAAGAATTGCTTTAGCTATTCGTGGGGGCTTATTGTTCCATATAAATTTCAGGAGTGTTTGCTCCATTTCTTTGAAGAATGTTATGGGTATCCTTATAGGGATTGCATTGAATTTGTACAGTGCTTTGGGAAGTATTGCCATTTTGATGATGTTGATTCTCCCCATCCATGAACAGGGAATATTTTTCCATTTCCTCGTGTCCTCTTTTATTTCCTGAAGTAGCGTTTTGTAGTTTTCTTTGTACAGGTCCTTTACTTCCTTAGTTAAGCTGATTCCTAGATACTTGATTTTCTGGGGCACAATTGTGAATGGGATTGTTTTCTTCATGTCACTTGCTTCTCTTTCACTATTTGCGTATAGGAATGCCATGGATTTTTGGGTATTGATTTTATAGCCTGCCACTTTACTATACAAGCCTATTGTTTCTAGGAGTTTCTTGGTAGAGGTTTTAGGGTTCTCTAAGTATAGTATCATGTCATCTGCGAATAGTGAGAGCTTAATTTCTTCTTTCCCTATCTGGATGCCCTTAATATCTTTTTCTTGCCTAATCGCTATTGCAAGTACTTCCAGTACTATATTGAACAGTAGTGGAGAGAGTGGGCATCCTTGTCTCGTCCCTGACCTTAGGGGGAAGGGTCTCAGTTTTTCCCCATTGAGGATGATGTTTGCTGTAGGTTTGTGGTAGATGGCTTTAACTATATTGAGGAAAGTCCCCTCTATCCCCATTTTGGCAAGGGTTTTCATCATGAATGGGTGCTGGATCTTGTCAAAAGCTTTCTTTGCGTCTATTGATATGATCATATGATTTTTATCTTTTCTTTTGTTGATATGATGGATTATGTTGATTGATTTCCGAATGTTGAACCATCCTTGCATCCCTGGGATGAATCCCACTTGGTCATGATGTATGATCTTTTTGATGAGTTGTTGTATTCTATTGGCTAGTATTTTGTTGAGAATCTTCGCATCCGTGTTCATCAGGGATATTGGCCTGTAGTTTTCTTTTCTTGTGGTGTCTTTGTTTCCTTTTGGTATTAGAGAGATATGGGCTTCATAGAAGCTGTTTGGGAGAGTTTCTGTTTTTTCAATTTCCTGGAAAAGCTTGAGAAGAATTGGCAATAGGTCCTCTTTAAATGTTTGGAAAAATTCGCTAGTAAATCCGTCTGGGCCTGGGCTTTTGTTTTTGGGAAGACTTTTGATTACAGTTTCAATTTCCTTGATGTGAATAGGTCTATTCAGGTACTCTATATCTTCTTGATTCAGCTTTGGGAGATGGTAGGAATCCAGGAATTTATCCATTTCTTCCAGGTTCTCGTGTTTCGTGGCATAGAGACTTTCAAAGTAGTCTCTGATGATCTCTTGAATTTCTTTAGTTTCTGTTGTGATATCCCCATTCTTATTTCTGATTCGATTTATTAGGGTTCTCTCTGTTTCTTTGTGAGTGTTGCTAGTGGTTTATCTATCTTATTTATTTTCTCGAAGAACCAGCTCTTGGTTTCATTGATCTTTCGGATTGTTTCTTTGTTTTCCATGTCGTTGATTTCTGCTCTAAGTTTTATGATTGGTGTTCTTCTTTTTAATGAGTGCCAGTCTCTGTGACCGGAGGTGATATCTCATTGTTCTGATTTACATTTCATTGATGATTAGTGATATAGAGCATATTTTCATATACCTATTGACTGTTGGTATTCTTTGAGGAAATTTTTGTTCATCTCTTCTCCCCATTTTTGGATGGGGTTAGGTATTTTTTTTCTTTATAAACTGGTGGGCAAATAATTTCTCCCAGTCTGTGGACTCTTTGTATCCTTGTCATCGTTTCTTTTGAGGTGCAAAAGCTTCTTAATTTAATGTAGTCCCATTTATTTATCTTTGTTTCTACTTACCTGGTCAGGGGCATTTTATCCTTAAAGTTGCCTCTAACTTCAGTGTCATGGAGAATTCTGCCTATGTTTTCCTCTGTCGACCTTACAGATTTAGCTCTGATATTGAGACATTTAATCTATTTTTATTTTACTTTTGTACATTATGTTAGAAAAAGATCTCAGTTCATTTACTTGCATGTAGCCAACTAGTTTTCCCTTTCCCAACACCACTTACTGAAGAGATTTTCCTTGCTCCGTTTCATATTTTTTGTTTCTTTATGAAAGATAAACCGTATACCTGAGAGTCTGTCCCTGGATTTTCAATTCTTTTCCTTTAACCTGAGGGTCTATCTTTATTCCACTACTTATCCTCTTTTTTGTTCTTTTTTTTTTTTATTTAGTCACCTAGAAATTACAAAGTTATTCATGATTTTTTTCAGGTATACAGTGTTCAACACTGATCCCTTCACCAGTAGTACCATGCTATTTTCATTACTATTGCTTTTACATTACTATTGCTATTACAGTTTGAATTTGGGGGAAGTGATATGTCTCATCTTTTTCCTGAGGATGGTTTTGACTATTTGGGGTTTTTTTGTTTGTTTGTTTTATCATTCTGTATGAATTTCAAGAGGTTTTTTTTTTTTTATTTGAAAAATATCATGGATATTTATCCTCATAGGGACTGCATTGAATCTGTATAATGTTGTGGGGAGTATTGCCATTTTGACAGTGTTGATCCTCCAAACACATGAACAGGCACAATTGTGAATGGGATTTTTTTTAAGACTTCTCTTTCTCTTCTACTTCATATTTACACATAGGAAATATGATTTTGTAGCCTAACACTTTGCTATACAAATCCATTCTTTCGGGCCGGAGAGATAGTACAGCGGGTAAATTATTTGTCTTGCATGCGGCCAACCCAGGTTCAATCTCCAGCATCCCATATGTTCTGCCGAGTACCACTAGGAGTAATTCCTGAGTGCAGAGCCAGGAGTAACCCCCAAATACCCTGGGTACGCTCCCCACACAAAACAGAAATCTATCATTTCTTTATTCTAGATTCCTTTGTTTTTCTAAATATAGTATTATGTCATCTGCAAATAATGAAAGCCTGACTTCCTTTTCTATCTGGATGTTCTTAATATCTTTTTCTTGGCTAATTGCTATGGCAAGTACTTCTAGTACTATATTGAATAGAAGTGGCAAGAGTGGGCAGTTTGTTTTGTACCTGATATTAGAGGGAAGGAAGATACAAGATTTTCCCTCTTGAATATAATGTTTGATGTGGGCTTGTGGTAAATGGCTTTGACTATGTCAAGAAAAGTTTCTTCAATTCCCATTTTACTGAGAGGTGGTTGTTTTTGTTTTTTGTTTGTTTTATTTTTTAATCATGAGTGGGTACTGGATCTTATCAAATACTGGATGTGGCCCCAAAACCAAAAGAAACTAGATAGAGCATGATAAAAAGTAGAACTTAATTAACCCAATTTGTATATACCTGTTGTAACTGATAGAAAGGTAGCTTCTTGGACATAACTTTGTTGATTCATCTCTGAGTAATAAAACATCTGGTCTTACTTCTGTAGTTGGCAGCACAGGGGAGAATGACGTGCAGGAGAAGGGGCTGTTCTGGTCACATTGGATGTTGCTGGTTGGGTTGATGTGTCTCTGGCTGATTGCAGGAACACAGTGTCGGTACTTCATTAGCAGTAGGCTTCCTTACTAACATTTTACTAGAATGAGTGGATAATTCTCTTAGAAGCTTATACTTTGTTACTAGGTTGCTTTATCTTTTTCACTTGAACATTACAGGGAATGCAGTATTTTAATTGTAACTATGCCAATATCTTTATCTAGAGGCTTTGCTGCTGTTTTGGTCTTTCAAGAAATTTTCATTGCCAAGAAAGACTGGATTAAATTTTTTCCTTCCTGTTAGTGTTGTGTATTTTTGTTTACCAAATACTCTATAGCTTTGGGACTTTGAAATGGTAAATATTCATGGTAAAGAAGCATGATACATACACATATGATCTTAATAACATAATGGATGTTTAGTTGTGTAGGTAAACAGGACCTAGAAGGACATGTCAGACATAACTGTGTCAGACATAATTGTGGATGACTGTTCTTTGTTTCTTTTTTCTATTTCCTATTCACATGTTAACTTCCCAAAAAAAGGTAATATATATTTTAAAAACCTGGAAAAAAAAATAGAAACTAGGAAGAAAGAATCAGCAGTATACTTGTTAGTTTCTGTCCTTTAGATTTTCATCCCTTAAATTTGGTCTTATCCTTTAAATTATCTTTTTACATATATAGTAATAATTTATCTCTTTTTTGGCCCACACTTGACAGTGTTGGGTCTGCTTTTCAGCATTATATGTGAAGGACAATGAGGGGCCAGGGCATACACTTGGACCTGTTGCTTTGCACGTACTCGAGCCTTTTGAGCCATCTCCCAACCCTGTAGTAGTTTTAGCTTTGTAAATCATTTATATTCTACTTTGATTATTTCTATAATGAGTTAGAGTATGTAGCATTGTAGCACTGTTCATTGATTTGCTCAAGCAGGCACCAGTAACGTCTCACAACAAATTGTGAGATTTATTGTTACTGTTTTGGGCATATTGAATACATCATGGGTAACTTACCAGACTTTGCCATGCAGGCAAGATACTCTTGGTAACTTGCCGGGCTCTTGGAGAGGGGTGGAGGAATCAAACCCAGGTTGGCCACATGCAAGGCAAATGCCCTACTCGCTGTGTTATTGCTTCAGCCCAAGTTAGAGTATACATAAAATAACTTGAGGTGTCTAGGAGTAGCCCAGTGGTAGAATTCCTCCTTTCAGGCATGAGGTCAAGAGTTTGATTGCAACATTGTCACTGGGGATCCCCAGTGCCACAACAAAAACTTCACTTTCATCACAATGCAACCAAGTGTGTGAACATTTGTGCTGAAGAGAACACAAAGGACTCAGCACATGCTTTGCCTACAGGAGGCCCTCCTTAGATCACTGGCTTTGCACAGTCCCCCACCCCACTGGAAGCAACCCCCAGGGCCTTGGGTGTAGCCATTAACAAAGAAAACAATTGTGTGAACACTGCAACAAGTGTGTGGGTCCTAGCAAGGAGCATTGTATCTAAACCTGTGCAGGTATTGCTGCCAAATATATGCTGAGTCATTGCATCTACAGCAGCAGAAGGGAGGGGCAAAATAAGAATAATTTCTTACAAATAAAAATTATTTCAATTATAATTTGCAATAAAGTACTAAAGTTTACTGTTTCTCTTCTCTTTGCTAATGTACAGCCAGATTCCCCTGAATATAAAGCTGCTTGCAAACTCTGGGATTTGTACCTTCGAACAAGAAATGAGTTTGTTCAGAAAGGAGAAGCAGATGATGAAGATGATGATGAAGATGGGCAAGACAATCAAGGCACTGATGGAGTAAGTATGCAGCTGGAACTGGTGACAGATGGGCTGCAGGAAGTGGACAAGCCTCTGGGCAGCTAGGCTTCCTCTGCAGTATAGTGACACAACTAGGAAGATAAAGCAACTAGAAAGCCCAACTCCAAATACCAGGAGTCTTAGACCTGAACAAACGTGCATGGTGTTTTATGAATTGTTCTTATATGGATACTTATTGCCTGCTTAATATCCTTTATATATGCTGGTTCAGTATTGCTAGCTCAAGATATACTAGTAGTGTTACTAAAAATCGGAGAGATGGAATCTCCTTGGGTAGGAATATATTTGTAGATTAGACTACTTTTCCTAGACTATACCTAATGTGTTAGAACATGTTTCCTTTGACATTTTGTGCAACTGACTTTTCAGTCCCCAAAATGTTATCAATGGGAAGAGGCCATTTCTGGCCTCTCTTTCTACTGTCTTTATTTCACGCGTCTTTTTCTGTCATCACATCATTCTGTTCTGTATTTCAGTTTTTATGATGTATGTAAAATAACTTTTGACTGTACATCTTTATTTTGTCTTTTCTTAAGTAGAATGGTATGACACAAGAAATACTACTTTGTTAATTAATTTCTGGCATCTTGAATGCACCAGACATGATGGGTAAATACCTCTATGTGAATACGTAAGTGTAAAGAGAGGAAAACAGCTGAGAGTGTACAGTGGGCATTCCTTGGAACTCTTGGCCCCAGTTCCTTGCTCCTTTTTTTTTTTTTAATTAAATGATTGCAGTTAGGAAATACTCAGCCAGGGATTCTCTGAAATTTTTGACTGGTAATACAGAAACAGCAGGGACTGGCTCTCCAGTACAGTAGATAGGGCATTTGTTTTGTACATGACCAATCTGGGTTTGATCCCCCACATCCCATATAATCCCCCAAGCCTGCCAGGAGTGATCCCTGAGCATAGACCCATGAGTAAGCCCTGAACATTACTGGGTGTGCTCTTCCCCCACTCCCCAGGCCCGAAAAAAATGACCAGAAATAGCAAACACATGCTTTCATAGGTGGTACGTTGCCTACAATGGGCTTGGTTTTTTTTTATAGATCTCCAAGGTTCTCGTAAATTTAAAAAAAGAAAGAAAGAAAGAAAGAAAAACCCATTTTCTTTAATAAATTGGGCTTATTCATATTTATACCTCCCAAGCTTCTTTCTGTCCCTAAAGTTCTCATGAAGGGAAAGGGGATTTTGAACATTTTGAACATGTTTCTATTTTTGGATGATTTCCTTGGAGTTTTTCTGTTGTATGAGTATATTTATAGACCCTGCTCTTTTTATCACCTGCAGCACATTTTCCAGAATAGCTAGGTGTGAAAGTGCCACATTTTTAGTGAGGACATAAATGACTTAAATGGCTTTATAAGGTATTTTAGTCTGCTTTCATCAGTGTTACATTGGTTCTCAAAGCTTATGTGTCTGGGGATTCTTTGCTAATTATGTTTTTAGGTAAGGTAAGCATTTTATGTCAGTTGTTGTTGGTCACCATAGTAGACCCAAGGAAAGTTAGCACCCCCTCTGTGGAGTTTTGTTGGTTAGGACAGAAATGTTAGTCTGATATGACTTAAGCCAGATATAGCCACTTATCTTTATTTGCATGCATAAAACATGGCCTAGAATTTGAGTACCATTTAACATACTTGGGACATCCCATTATTCACCACAGAAAGTGACTTTAGACTCAGACCTTCCTTTTCCAACTACTGTTTGAGGCAGCTGTTGTGTTAAAACAGTATCATTTAAGCCAGACTGCCTGGAGAGCAAAAATTATGTCTATCAGTTGACTTAATACGAAGACTCTGGTGAGGCTGAACAATTGCAGTAGAAATTACCATGAATCATGGGGTCATGTTTTCTGTCTTATTCTGACTCATTGTATATACATTTCTCTCATTTAAGATAAACTGCACTCAACTTCACTCAGGCTGTCATACATGCAAGTGTGACTTCCCACTGAGCTACATTCTTGGCTCTGTCATCATTATATACTATTTATGTAATGGAATTTAGAAAAAAGGCCTGATTCATGGGATGTAGTTACTGAAATAATATAAGGAGCTTCATTCGTTTCACATATGCTGGTCTGGAACTATTAACTCATTTGTCTAATATCAGCATTTTGGGGTATTTGTGAAACTTGTATTTTAGGTGATTTTTTTTTTTAATTAGTGAAACACCATGAGGTACAGTTACAGACTTATAAATTTTTTGTGCTTGGGTTTCAGTTATAGAATGATCAAGTACCCATCCCTCCACCAGTGCCCATCCTCCACCACCACGGGACCCAGCATCCCTCCCACCCCCCATCCCCCCGTCCCACCCTGCCTCTGTGGCAGGGCATTTCCCCTTGTTCTCTCTCTCTTCTTTTGGGTACTGTGTTTTGCAAGAGAGGCATTGAGTGGCAGTCATGTTTGGTCTATAGACTACTTTCAGCATGTTTCTCCCACCCTGGGAGAATCCTTACAACACCCTTTATTTGGTGCTCTCTTCTCTATCTGAGCTTCCTTTTCACCTAGCACGTGTGGCTGGCCTTCAAGTCATGGAGCAAAATTCCTGGTACTAATCTCAGCCATTCCTGGTGTTAGTCTCCCGTTTTGTTGCTTTATGTTCCCCAGATGAATGCAATCTTTCTGTGTCTATCCCACTCTTTCTGACTCATTTCGCTTAACATGATACTTTCCATGTAGTACCACTTGTATGTAAATTTTATAACTTCATCTTTTCTAACAGCTACATAGTACTCCATTGTGTAGATGTACCAAAGTTTCTTTAACCAGTCATCTGTTCTCGGGCACTCAGGTTTTTTTCCAGATTCTGGCTATCATAAAGAGTGCTGCAATGAACAAATATAGATGATTTTTTTTTTAACAAGCTTTATTGCAATAGAAATTGTTTTGCATCACACCCAGATGTATTCAGGTCTTATTCCTGAGTCTGTGCTAAGGGGACCAAATGGGAAGCCGGGATCATACCCACGTTGGCCACATGCAAGGCCACTATTACTCTAGCCCTCTGAAACTTGCATTTTAAAGGAAGTAATGTTTAGAGATTGGTGCCTGCTTCTATTGTTTATTTTATATGTAAGTATATGTAAGTACTTATTTCTCTCCTTCCATTCTTCTCAGTCCTCTCCAAGTTACCTGAAGGAGATTCTGGAGCAGCTTCTTGAAGCCATAGTTGTAGCCACAAATCCATCAGGACATCTGATTAGCGAACTTTTTCAGAAACTGCCTTCAAAAGTGGTAAGTGATATAACTGAAGATTAGTGAATCAAAATGGTTGATTAGTCATTTAACCACTTTAAATGTGGCATAAAGTACAATGATAATAAATTCACATTATTTTGCAGCTTCCACCTATGCCCAAAACTTTTTATCTTCCCAAACCCAAACTTTCTCCCATTAGCAAATGATTCCTTATATTCCCTCTACCCAAGTCCTTGCAACAGCCATCCTCTCTATTACATAATTTTAATTAGTATGTACATTTAGCTATATAAATATGACCACTCTACTCGCATAAGAGGGATCATGATATTTTCTTTCTGTGTCACTTGTTTTACTTAACATAGTCATTCAGGGTTTATTCATGTTGTAGCATCTGTTGGAATTTGCTTTATAAGGCTGAATAAAATCTGTGTATATGCCAGATTTTGTTTATTCATCTGCCAATGCGCATTTTTTTTCTTTTCTTTTTTATAATTTTGAGTCACAGCTCACAGTGACTCAAAATTACAGCCCTGGCTGTATCTCAGGGATTACTACTGGCAGTGCTCAGGGGGTCATATGTGGTGCAGGGAATCGAACCGAGTTGACATTAACCTCTGGACCTTTCTGGCCCCAGTCAGTGGACTTTTGGGATGTTTCCAAGAGTGGTCATTCTTGGGGGTTTTTATTGGGATAAGGGTCAACACCTGGTGGTGCTCAGGGATCACTGCAGGTGTGCAGTGCTTGGGGAACCATTTATGGTACTAGGGATTAAACCTGAACCAACCACATACAAGGCAAGTACTTTACTCCCGTACTATCTCTCTGGCCACTATCTCTCCGGGAGTCCTGTGTTTGATCCCTAGCACTGCATGGTCCCTACTTCATAGATATTTTAGGACCTTAAGTTTAAAATTGTGTGATCCTGTGAATTTATAATTTTAAAACATTAAATCATATATTAATTGTACAATGATAATTGCCCTGCTTGCTAAGTATAAACTCCTCCTACAACATGGGTATTTCATAGGACTTGTTAGAACTAAAATCTGACTCAAATATAAGGAACATTATGATATACAGCTGTTTCTTAACCTTGAATCTCACAAAAGTTTAATTTTTCAGTAACAGATTATTGGTGTGCTTCATTTTCTCATTAGATACTTTTACTTACTAAGCATGCCTGCATTTTTGTCTTCTAGCAATATCCAGACTACTACGCAATAATTAAAGAGCCTATAGATCTCAAGACCATTGCACAGAGGATACAGGTATGAATATCAGAATGTGTTATCATGTGTTATCATGTATGTAACCACATGTGGTTTAGGGCAGTTTATCTATGGTCTATTTTTTTCTAGGGACTTGTAGAAAACAAAGAAACAGATGTTTCTGTAAGGGGATATTTGCAATAAAGTAACAATTTAGAGTGTTATAGATTATAACTTTGGAGGCAGCTTAGTAATCATTTTCTGTTTTTTCTGTAGGCAGTAAAGCAAAATTCTCATTGACAAAACTTTGCTCTTAAGATAAATTAAAAAGCATTAGTCGTGGATATTACTGATTGAACAATACACAAACAAACACTGTCCTACCTTGTTCATCGATTTGCTCGAGCGGGCCCAGTAATGTCTCCTTTTTTTTTTTTTTGAGTCTTGTTGTTACTGTGTTTGGCATATTGAATACGTCACAGGTAGCTTGCCAGGCTCTGCCATGTGGGCGAGATACTCTTGGTAGCTTGCCGGGCTCTCCGAGAGGGGTGGAGGAATTGAACCCGGCTCGGCTGGGCTGGCTTCGTGCAAGGCAAATGCTCTACTGCTGTGCTATTGCTCCAGCCCACATTAACAATGAAAGATTTTTTTATGGTGCTTCCAAACAGGGTTGTTTTTTTTGGGGGGGGGGGGCAGTGAGGAAGGGATGGGCCACACCTGGCAGTACTCAGGGGTTACTCCTGATTCTGACTCAGGAATCACTCCTGGCGGGCTCAGGGGATCATATGAGATGCCAGGGATCCAACCTGGGTCAGCTGTGTGTAACGTCTCTCTGGTCTCCTTCCAAATAGTTTAAGATTATCTCCAAATAAAAGTAAAGAAGAATACATGTTACGGTATATAGTCAATAAAAACAGGCTTATTCTCTTTCAGTTCTCCTTCCCTAGGTCTCCAGTGATAATAGTAGCAACCCATGCTCCCCTAGACTTACTTGCTCTCTTTAGAGTATGCACTTTGGTTCATTCTAACAACTTCATGAATTAGATAATTTATTGCTAGCATTCTGTAGATGAGATAACTGAAGCACAGAAATAGCAAGACTCTTGCCTGGCATCAGTAAGATGAAGAGTCAGAATTTGAATCTACCTCTCCATAAAGATGGTGCTAAATAAATGATGATTGACGATAATGACAGCTTTAAAATTTGATGATCAAATGCAAAGAAAGAGCTAAATTAAACCGGATGTATGGTTTTGGGTTTTGGTCTTTTTCCCCCCCCTGCTGTATCACGGATCAACTGGCTTTATATATGCAATTTATGCACTCCACTACATCCCTGACCCAGAAGTCCAAGAAAGTCTCAGACACACTTGTTTGCCAAATTGAAGAGCTTTATTATCCTGCAAGAGCTGTCAAGCCTGAGATAGAAGATCTCAGCGCAATGACACCTGCCCTAAACCCGAGTCCAGGCATTTTTTATATATTCTTATCATATTCTGCTTGGCAGCATCAGCCAACTTTCTTCTTACTAAACAAGTCAGCATAGTACAGAAGCTGACGTTCACGTTAACCTTGAATGGTTAAAAACTTTTCTGGTTGGCAACTGAAAAGAGCAGAGTGTGATAGCTACTTGGTCTAACTCGGTTTTCTCTGTACATCCTGACCCTGCGTCCTTGCAGTGTCTCACTCCTTCTGTGCTATCTTTTAGCATCGACCTGCTTTTCTGCTAACTTTGGGTCACCTTGTCAATTTCTAAGAGTTGGACTGACATGGGTTATTTTCCTAGCTATGCTTCTAGTTAGCATGTCACTTTGGTCAGGCAATTTGACTACTTTCTCTACTGGATATTGAGTCTGTTATTAAATTTTTCAGTATTGTAGTGGGTCAGTAATAGTATATATGAAGCATCTCACAGCACCCGTGGCATGTGTAGTGTGAGTTATTGATCCTCCAAGGAATTTTGCAGAACTCCAGGGGTTTGGAGTACCAAACGATAAATCAAAAGGTGAAATTCAATGATCTCAAAGAGAAATGAGACTGGTAACACAGTGGTTTGCCAGGAGGGAGTAACTTCTTTGGTGTTAAATTCTAGGCAAACAGTAGAGTTCACTGACAATCTAGTTCTCTTAGATTCTGGGGCAAAAGGTATAGTATAGGGGTACAAAGCGCTTGCCTTACATGTGGCCGATCTGGGTTTGGTCCCAGACACCCCCTATGGTCCCCTAGGCATCATCCCTGAGTACAGACCTAGTACTAAGCTTTGAGTACCTTTTGGTGTGCCCCCACAAAAAAGAAAGATAAAAACCTTCAATTTCCTAATATATCACCTGGTTGTAAAGACAGGTTGATAGCTGTTACTAAGGCTGACTCCGAGTAACTAGAACGATCCTTGCTTAGGGAAAGATGTTTTTGTAACACTGAAAATCTAATCGTATCTTTAAACATCCCTCTGCCTTTGCACTAGTTTTCACAAGTGTGAACTCACAGTTTGTCTTGCCGTTTCATTCTTCCCAAAGATATCACCACAATCAAGGTCCTTGTCTTGTTATGTTCTTATTATTGTAATCATATTTCCTACTTAGCTGATGAAAGGCTAGCAAGTTCTTTTTCCTTGTTTCATTATTGTTTATTTGTTCTTTTTGTGTATGTTTGGTATTGGGGACAGAAACCAGGGCCTGCATCACATTTAAGCTCAACTGCTATATTGCCAACTACATCCTTGGTCCCTGCATATTATTTTTCAGTTTCTGTTTTATTTGTTTTTTTGTTTGTTTGGTTGGTTGGTTTTTGAACCATACCTGGTGGTGCTCAGGGGTTACTCCTGACTTTTGTTCAGAGATCATTCCTGGCAGGGAATAGAGTGTTTGAAATCGAATCCGGGTCTGCTGTATGCAAGACAAGCATCCAACCTACTGTACTATTTCTGTGGTTTCCCACATATTGTTTTTTTTTTGTTGTTATTTTGGTTTTGTTTTTATCCTGGTTTGTTTTGTGCTATTCTGGGGCTTGTCACTTGTTTTCTAATGCCTGCAGAAGCAAGTTACAGTCTCTTATATTATTTCAATAACCAACACGGATTAACGTAAGCTAAAAAAAATCCATGGAAAGGTTATTGGATAGCACATGGAATTGTTGGAAGAAGACTAGAGAAGTAGCTTTGGGGAAAGAAGGCAGAATAAGACAAGAAACAACTGAAATGATCTCTTTGTGGAGCTGCTGCTGTCATCACTGCTGTCTATCACTGAGGGCCCTGTCTGCCCTTTCCTCCACTCTTAGACTATGCTCGCCTGCATAGGGAGTGTGAAGTGCATTGCTTTACCTTAGAGTTGCTTTTATTCTTCAAGGTTAAAATATGTTTTCCTCTTGTCCTGGTTGCAAGCCTCCTAGAAACCTGCGATCTGCATTAGGACAATCAGTATGTCCTGTGCTGGGATTTCTTCCATATACTGAGTGCTTAGATGTCAGATAATGTCCCACATGGCAAATTACCAACCATTTTGCCTGACTTCAGGGATTCTGCCTCATTTATCTTTATCCTACATATGCATTCTGTACTTACTCAGCTCTTCTCACTCCACTGAATTTCCTCAGTCTCTAGGGAATGACATGTCTGGTCATTTCTGTGATCTTCTTGTTGATGATGTACCTTTTTCCTTTAATACTTCCCTCTTTCTATTATAAATTAGGACATATATAAGTGGCCTTAGTTTTTTTGGATTGAGTGAGCTTTAAGATATGACAACTCCGATATAGAAGACAGCACATAATAGGTATTCATATATAAGCTTTTGTACTAGACTGTATTAGATTGTTCTAAGCTGACTTTGGATTGTGTTTTTTTATATGAAGTGATCTATAAAACTAAAGGAATTTTGCTTCACATGTTATGATCACCTTAATGATTATTCATTAAGTATTTCAAATAGTGTTTAGCACATAATAAGTACTATGTATTTGCTTAAAAATATTTTTTTATTATTAGTGCTGTGCTTGGGGGCTATTCCCACGAATACTGCAACTGGTGTAAAAATTAAAGTTTTATTTAGCAAATATGTGGTAATGGGGTACCATGTATGGGATGAAACTAGGCCTTCCACATACAAAATGTACATACTGGTCCTTTGAGTCTTCTCCCCAGTTCCTAAGTAAAATAACTTTTTTTTTTTTTTTGCTTTTTGGGGTCACACCCAGCAATGCTTAAGGGGCCCACTCCTGTCTCTGCACTTAGGAATTACTCCTTGCTGTGCTTGGGGGACCATATGGGATGCTGAAGATCTAACTTGGTCAGCTGCGTGCAAGGCAAACGCCCTACCCGCTGTACTATCACTCCAGCCCCCTTTAGCACATTTTTATTGAATCATGTTTATAAGAATAATGTAACGGTGGTTTATCTCAAAAACTTATTTGTAAATGAATATTAATAGCTTACCAAAAAAGAAGGGGCTGGAGCGATAGCACAGCGGGTAGGGCGTTCGCCTTACAAGAGGCCAACATGGCCGACCCGAGTTCGATTCCTCTGCCCCTCTCGGAGAGCCCGGCAAGCTACCGAGAGTATTCGATATGCCAGACACAGTAACAAAAAAGTCTCCAATGGAGACGTTACTGGGCCCGCTCGAGCAAATCGACGATCAACGGGAGGGCCTTTACCTTTACCTTTTACCAAAAAAGAAAATTACTTGTTGTTCACATGTGTACTTAAAAAAGATCTTAAGATACGGTGATGAATTAAAGATTTTAAGTATTTATACTAATAACTCAGATCGCTCTGTTTTGTTTACTACAGAATGGAAGTTACAAGAGTATTCATGCAATGGCCAAAGACATAGATCTCCTAGCAAAAAACGCCAAAACATATAATGAACCAGGTTCTCAAGTATTCAAGGTTAGTGGTTTTTTGTTGTTTTTATTACTAATTTAGAGCCAATAACTTTTTTGAGGGCGGGGGAGTCCGCCCAGCGGTACTGAGGGCTTACTTCTGATTCTGCATTCAGGGATCACTAGTGGTGGGCTCAGGAACCACATGTGGTACCAGAGACCAAATAATCTGGGCTATACTACCTCTCCGACTCCACCATATCTTTAGAAAACTACTGTACTGTTTTCCAGTCCCTTTCTTGTCAGAGGCCCTGGGCAGCGAGCTGTCAGTGTTGCCTTTGTACGTGTAGGTGGCACCAGGATTTGAGTTTGTAACCTCTTGTTTACTGGGACAAGCTTTTGAAGCCTTTGAGTTATCTTCAAAACCTAATTTTCCTTTGTGAGGCAAAAGGGGTAGATGGGTACTAGAAATTGACACATGGCCTGATACATGCAGGTATGTGCTTCACTGAGCTATATATAGTATACCTGGAACTTGCTTCCTTTTTAAAAATATAGTCATCTTGATGTAAAATAGTATCTCATCATGAGTTTTTTTGTTTGTTTGTTTGTTGGTTGGTGTTAATGTCACACTGGGCAGTACTCAGTGGCCACTCCCCTTGCTCTGTCTGTTCAGTAGTCATTCTTGGAGGTCATCAGGACCACACATGTCAAGATCTAACCCAGGCTTCTTTCATACAAAGCATGTGCTCTAGCTCTCCAGCCCACCCATTGTGGTTTTCATGTAAAAGTTATTTTTTCATTTAGATTTGTGGGGTCTCCCAAGCAGTGCTCAGGGGATTGAGGGGACTTCCCTGCCGATACTTGGCCAGTTGGGTGAGATGATTCAGTGCCCAAGCCCACCTTTTAAGTGTAAAAAATCATGAATGAATAATGAAGTTCATGTATTTTAGTGATTCCTAGGGTATTTTAATGGTTGGCTCCCTCTTGTTGATTCCATTAAGAAGTTACTTTTTGAGGTGATGAATTTTTACTTGAGAGTAGAACAGAATAATTTCAATAATTTGTGAAATGATAGTAAGCATACTAATGCCAGTTTTTCCCCCCAGCTAATCTAAGGTTTAAAGAAAAGAGAAACTTTTGGTTTTTTTTTTGTTTTTAATTTTTTATTAGTGAATCACCATGAGGTACAGTTACAAACTTACGAACTTTTATATTTCAGTCATACAATAATTGTTTACCCCTCCCTCCCCCAGTGCCCATTCTCCTCCACCAGTGTTTCAGATATCCTTACCACCACCCCCACCCCAGCCCGCCTCTGTGACAGGGCATTCCCTTTTGTTCTCTCTCCTTTTGGGTGTTGTAGTTTGCAATAGAGGCATTGAGTGGCCATCGTGTTCAGTCTATCGTCTAAAAAAGAGAACTTTTGTTTTTGAACCACACCCAGCGGTGCTCAGGGATTACTCCTAGTTCTGCACTCAGGAATTTCTCTTGGTTGTGCTCAGGATAGCACGAGAGGCCAGGGATCAGACCCTGGTTGGCCGCATGCAAAGCAAGCGCCCTGCCTGCTGTACTAACACAACGGCCCTGAAAGAAGAAACTTCAGATTTAATATTTTAATGTACTGTAAATTTTGGAAAATACATTCATTCTGTATATATGGTTCATAACTTTGGTCTCTTTTTGTTTCAATCTTAACAATACATCTTTGTTTTTATTTTCAGGTTAGTGTACACAATAGCACTCATTATATTTATACTCTCTTTTCCCAGTTCACTATCTGTGTTACTTGACTAAATGTAAAGGAGCTAGAAATCTTTAAACTTTAAAGTTTAATGTGAAGATGTTTTAGAAACTTATGGGGTGGTTAGAGGATACAACTTTGTGAATGTTGAATGGAAGATAATGCCAAGTGAAATGATCAAAGAAAAAATTCAGTATGTGAATGAGGACTTTTTTTTTTTTCTGGTAGTACCAGGGTATGGACCCGGGCCTCATATATGTAAAGCCCGCATTCATCCCTTTGAACTGCCTCTCTGACCCAGAAGTGTTTTATTTTGATATATGAACTTTTTTCTTGAAACTAAGTTTTTCAGTTATTAAGGTAGTATAATCTTAGTGAAGTACATCTTATACATAGAAGGAGCTTATTACTTGAGATTCCCTATTAACACAAGATAGGTCCCATGGAGGGCACCTCTTTTTACCTGCTGTTATTCTTTGTTTTTCCTTTAAATTTTTATTTAAACTCCATGGTATACAGAACTGTTCATAAACAGTTGTGACAGGCATTCAGTGTTCCAACCTAAGTCCCACCACCAGAGTGACCTAAGGACTTTTATATATATATGTATTTTTTTAATCCAAGATATTTTATCTTGACAGGATGCAAATTCAATTAAAAAGATATTTTATATGAAAAAGGCAGAAATTGAACACCATGAAATGACTAAGTCCAGCCTTCGAATAAGGTGGGTTAAAAAATTTCAGTGCTTTATGCCCTTTTTTTTTTTTTTAAACATCATGATTTTGGCTTGCTCTTCAAGCCTGTGTCCTTTGAAGACATATCTCACTTGCTTGTCTGTTTCTTGGCTTGCCTGTTTCCACCCTAAATAAGTTTCAATAAAACTTTGTTGCAAAGAAAAAGGCACCATAATTTACAAAGTTTTTCATAGTTGGTTTTTAGACATACACATTTCAGCTCCAATCCCACCACCAGTTTCAGCTTCCCTCCACCAATGTTCCCATCCCTCAGCTGCCATCTTGACAGGCACCTTTTTAAATTCAGTTGTTAAAGTTGGGCCTCATGATTTTAGCGTTGTTTACTCTGTGGTTTGGATGTTTAGGTCTATCGTTCCTTAATGCCACAGATGTACCTGAATCCCCTTGACCCCTGTTGCCCATTCCTTCTCATCTGTTTGTTCTCCCCTTCCCCTCCACTCTTTTTTTCTTCCCTTTTCCCTATACCCTGAGGCCAAAGGTAATCTAGGCTTCCCCCCTTTAAACCATTGCATTCAGTTATTCTGACTACCACATATGAGTGATGTCATCCTGTGTTTATCCTTTTTCTTCTGGTTTACTTCATTTAACATGAAATCTTCCTGTTCCATCCATGCTGCTGCAGTGCCTTGAGTTGCATAATTCCATCATTCCTTATAGCTGTGTAGTAGTCCATTATGCGTATGTGTAGCACATCTTCATGACCCACTTCTGTGTTGTTGGATACTAGGTTAATTCCAAATTGTTATGAGTGCTGTAATGAATAATGGTAGGCATATATCCTTATGAATAGATGTTTTTCTGTCCTGAGGATAGGTACCCAAATGTGCCCTTATTATTTAATGAATTTTCTAGTTAGTGAAATAAGGGGGGGGGGGGGGGAATGTTCGTTGCTTTTTTTTTTTTTTCCTTTTTGGATCACACCCGGCGATGCACAGGGTTCACTCCTGGCTCTGCACTCAGAAATTACCCTTGGTGGTGCTCAGGGGGCCATATGGGATGCTGGGAATTGAATCCGGGTTGGCGGCGTACAAGACAAATGCCCTACTGCTATGCTATCGCTCCAACCCCATGTTTGTTGAATTCTAAAGTTAGTAATGTGATTCTGAAGAGAGTAGGAATAACTTAACCAGCTTCTTTACTGAAACTGAAAAGCTTTATTTAAAAGAAGCAATTTTGGGGCTGGAGCAAGCACAGTGGGTAGGGCGTTTGCCTTGCACGCGGCCCACCCGGGTTCGAGTCCCAGCATCCCATATGATCCCCTGAGCACCGCCAGGAGTAATTCCTGAGTGTAGAGCCAGGAGTAAGCCCTGAGCAGCGCCGGGTGTGATCCAAATAAAAATAAAAATAAAAGAAGCAATTTTAAGATTTAACACTTTTTTTTTTTTAATAGAGGCCTTCCTGGGCCCGGGTGGTTCAGTGGGACTGATCTCCCACAGTGGTGCTTAATGGCCACTGGGTCTACAGCCAGCAGAGCTTGGGGGTGGGGGACATGCAGGACTAGGGATCAAACTCTGGGCATTGTGCAAGCCAGGCATGCTCTCTGAGCTGTCTCTGTGGATCCTAAACACCAGTATAGGTCCAAGTACTCGAACATGTCTGTGAGGGAAAATAACGGTTGTCTCCTTCTTGTGTACCTACCACCATCTTTCCAGTTCATGATTTTCTGAGTTTTTTCCCTCTTACCTCTGGATAGGACTTCATCAAACTTGGCTGCAGCTAGGCTGACAGGTACTTCACACAGCAAAAGTGGCCTGAGTGACGAGAGAAATCCCACTAGCAAGTATTACCGGTGAGAGAGTGAGTGTGTTGAGTCTGAGAACTGACCCATGTTTATGAGAAAAGACACACCAGTGTTGGCTTTCATGAATTTTGGATATAGTTGGGTTTTTGTGAGAATATTTTTTTGACATTATTTAAAAGGTTGAGTGGCTGATCTTAGCCTTACTTCTGGAAAACATTTAAGCAAAAATTGGCAAGTAGTGTTCAACAGTAAAACATATGATAACATATTAAAAGGTCTTGTGTTCATAATAGAATTTCTGAATTCATTGTTTAGGAGCATTTGAGAAGAAAATTGACAGTAATTATGAATGTAATCTTCTTTTCATAGAATAAAGTACAGCATAATATTTGAATTTTAAAAATTGTAGATAGCCTATTATCACCACTCCCTTGAACAAAAAAATTGATTTTCTTAGCTAAAATTGATTGTGGGGAATGTTAGACATACAAGGACTAAATTGAGGGTGTACTTACAGGAATTATTTTTCCTTTTATTTGAATGCTTTCTTAATAGTTCCTATTTCCTCTAAGAAACCAAGTCATTATAATATCTTACCTTGTCTTCTAAGTGCTTGTTTTTTTTTGTAGTAATAAAAGAGCAGTCCAAGGAGGTCGTTTGTCAGCAATTACCATGGCACTTCAGTATGGCTCAGAAAGTGAAGAGGATGCAGCTTTAGCCGGTACGCATTGTGACTCCTTAGTGGATCCTTCTTGTTTTGGAAAATTGCAGTGATTTTTACCTGGTTGAATGTTTCTTGGTTTTCTCATGCTGTGTTGGGGAGACTGGTGGGTGAGGCTTCCCAATCAATACTCAGGGAAGACTCCTAGCAACATCCAGCTGACCTAGTAGAATGGTTGAGTGCTCAGTCTCAGTGGTGCTCAGGACCACTCCTGAGCACCCAGTGGTGCGCACATAGCCACGCCCATGGTCCGAGTTGGGTCCTTGAGCTTCCAATGTATGAGGTTTAGCTCTTGGCGCCATCTCGGTCGTTTCTTTATATGCCATTTTGTTGCATTTGTTTCTTGCACTCAGGTTAACAAATTAATCAGAATCTTGTTTCTTCCCTTCATTTTAAAGCATATGGCTGGGTTAATAAATTCTTTTACAAACAGACTTGGTTTAACAGGCCAAAGAGATAGCTCAGTTGGCTGGAGTACATCCTTCGCATGAAGGATGCCCAGGCTCAATTTCCTAGCACCATGTGGTCCCCTGAGCATTGCCAGATATGGCAAGTAAGGAAGGAAGGATTGGTTTGATAGATAGCTTAACAGATCCTGATTTTAAATTTATAATTTATAATAGTGGTCACTAGTGACAGTATCAGAAAGTCCCAGGGAGATATTCACACCATCTTATATTTAGTTTATTGGCATATCCTCAGTAAGCTTTTTTTTGTGTTCCACTTGAGCTTATGATTTAAAAACAGAAATAAGTTATTATCAGTAGCATAGTAATTTGTTGTTTTTTAAAAGTCCAGCAAAGAACATTGGGCGCTGAAAGTGCTTCAGGGGACTCCAAACTTGTTCAGTAGGAGCCTGCAGAGCAACTGTATAGGTATATGGGGAGCCACACACAGCTGCGCTCCTTGATCTACTCAGGGATCACTGCTGACAGTGCTCAGGAGACCATACGCATTGCCGGACATCAGACCAGGGTCAGCAGTCTGCCGACCAAATGCCTTACCCACTGTACTGTCTCATTGGATCCAAAAAGAGGACAAATTTATTACCTTTGCTCTGGAGGCCAAAAGTCTAAAAATCAAGGTTTTGATATGCAAGTGTTTCTTCAGGAAGCTCTAGGGCATAATCATTTTTTTTGTTTTGAGTGTAGATTTTATGTTTGGTTTTTGTTTTTATTTCTGGACCACACTTGGCAATACTCAGGGATTAAATCTGGCTCTGCACTCAAAAGTCACTTCTGGCAGTGCTCAGGGGACCATATGGGATGCCGGGGATCAAACCTGGGTCGGCTGCATACAAAGCAAGCACCTTACCCAGTGTACTATCTCTCCAGCCCTGTAAAGTGGATTTTATTGACTAAAACTTACCTAGAAAGATATGAGAGGAGAAAAAGAGGGGAAATCTTTTCAAGAGGTGACACAGACTTCTCCAGAGTAGAAATAAGCAAAGAAACAGACAAGCGTGCAAGATTTGTGCTTAAGGGAGAACACAGGCTTGAAGAGCAAGCTTTGGGGATAATCCTTTGCTTTGCCTTTTATTTAGCCTACCATAAGAAGATTAATAAAACCAACAAATATATTATGATTAGAGGGTATGTGGTTGTTCCATGGAATAGGTGTGAAAGATTAGGATTTTTGTTTTGTTTCCTTTGGGGACCACACCTGGTGCTGAGGGATCACTCCTGGCAGGGCTCAGGGGACCATGTAGGGTACTAGAAATTGAACCTGAGTCAGTCATGTGCAAGACAAGTACCCTACCTCCCTCTCTTTATTTTTTAGAAGAGGCCACACCTAATGGTGCTAAGGAGGGCTGAACCACATTCCACAGTACTCAAACAGATGGTGCAGTGCAAAGGGTCACCAAGGCTACACTCGGCAGTACTGGAAATGGACCATGTTCCAACTTAGCTATCTCTCTGATCCAGGTTTCTCTTTTTAAAAGGGTTTCGTGTGCAGTAGTCATGGATTTGATCCCTGGCACCACATGGTCCCCTTAGCAGCACTGAAATGGCCCCCCCAAAAAGAGGAAAAGAGACTTGAGAGATGACTCAAAGGACTTGGAGCACATGCTTTGCATCAAACATAAGTGTATGATAGAATAAAAGAGATGACAGGGGAAAAGCTTAGAACAGAATTAGGGGAAAAAATAAAAGGCAAAGTTTTTTGTAACAAAGGTTTTTAAAACAGACTTTTGATAGGATTATCAGAAAATAGGCACAGATAAAATATTGAGGTTAAGAGAGAACATGTGGAGGTTTGGAAGAACTATGAACAGCTTCGTGCATAAAGATAAAAATTCTAGATGAAGTAGATGTTCCTAGAAAGTGATAAATGCCTTAGAACTGATTCAGGAACTTTTAAGAAGAGGCCGGTAATATCATTTAAAATGTATTACTTACAAATCTCCTATATAGAAAATACTAGACCAAACATTTAGGAAACAAAGTAATATACAGTCTACTGGCATGGGAGCAACACAACTAAAATGTGCAAATACCCCCACCCTCTGTGAGCACCACAACTGAGTATGTCACCCCCTCGTACAACAGCAAAGGGAAAGGAAAGGAAATGGGGGAGGACAAAAACGGGGTGGACCTTCTTGCAGAGGATGTGAATAGGACTCCCTAATCAAGTCTTCTGATCAGGCGTGACCTATGCTTCCCAGCCTGAAAAATGTTGAGCACAGTTTCATACATAAAAAGTTGTACATACTAGTAGAATATACAAAATAGTATATAATACTACATCTACGTATAGTATTTAATACTACTATATGTTCTATATTCATACACAATAGTGTACCTACTTTATATGTTTTTACATATGCTGCTACTACTGTATATGTATATATTAAAAAGTAGTATATATTGCTACTTCCTGTATACAGTTGAATTTATTTCAGAAATACTAGATTGCTTCAACATTATAAAAGATAAATTGTTCCCTCCATTAATAAATAAAACCCTATGTTTTGTTGAGCTTGGAAGGCAGCTATGTTCGATTCCTCCGCCCCTCTTGGATAGTCCGGCAAGCTACCGAGAGTATCTCGCCCACACGGCAAAGCCTGGCAAGCTACCAGTGACGTATTTGATATTCCACACACAGTAACGAGTCTCACAATGTTACTGGGCATGCTTGAGCAGAGCAAATCGATGAACAATGGGAGGACAGTGCAGTGCTACAGTGCAGTTTTGTTGAGCAGATACAACTGACAAATGCTTCAGAATCTTTTATGATTAAGAAAAGTAGCAAATTAGGAATAGAAAGGAATCTTTTCTAGCTTGGTGAAGTACATCTCCATTTTTAGGAGAAAAATGATAACAGCATTTACCTACCTTCAGAAACAAGGTACTATGATTACCTCTCTTGGTTTATTAACCAACCTATACTGAAAACAAAGTATAAGTGAAGCTATAGGATAAGAAAAGAGGATAGCCTCAGAGGAGTAGTTCAGTGGATTGAACACTTTGCTTTCTAGTACAAGGTCCCAGGTTCAGCCCCATATGTGCTCATCATGATCCTGACAGCTCTGCTGTCTGTGATCCCCAGTGCCACATTCAGACGTATGTATGTTGGAACCACAACAGAGGACTACTGCCCTCACGGAACCCTGCAGCTAAGTTGCATAAGCACCATGGGCAGGAAGTGCAACTGTGGCAAGTACTTGGAACCCCCCTCGGAAAATCCTACAAGTATGTTTGAACATCATAACCAAAGTGCAGCCCCCAGCCAAAACATGTGCTAGCACCGCGGCTAATAAAATGCACATCTTCAACAAGCACTATGACCCAAGTGTTTAACATGAGTCTGTTGTGTGAAACCACCCCCCCCCACACACACACACACACAGAGTGAGCAGAATAACTACAGGAGGGCCTAGAGAGAGCATCAGGCAGGGCACTTGACTTGCACGTGACTGACCCTGGTTTGATCTGTCACCCCAGATGGTCCCCCAAGCCCTGCCTAAGACTGAACCCAAATTGGCCGCATGCAAGGCAAGCATACTACTCACTGTATATATCTCCAACCCCAAGAAGGATTTCTAAGGATTTTACTTGTTTCGAATTTTCTACTTAAAAGACCACAGATGGGGCCAAGGAGATGGTTCAAAGGGCTGATCACACATTTTGCATGTAGGTTGCCAGGGTTTGATCCCCAGCATTGCATGATCCCCTAAAGACCACTCTGTGGCCCTAAAATACCCGCTCCAGAAAAAAATGAAAAAAATTACAGATAAGTTGCAAGAATTAGTTATAATAAAGTGCTAGTATAAGGTCATTTTACAGAACATTTTTACTTCTGGAATCAACCACAAAGCAATTTAATGAAGGTCTTTTAAAGATAATTTATAAAGACTTTATAGTGTAAAGTTTACAAAATGTGTATCTGGATGTAAATCAAACAAAAGATGTGCAAAATCTTTATGGAAAAGATCAATGGTAAATCTAGTTTGAAATCCTGTTTTTGCTTCTAACTGTGATTCTGGATTCAGGTCCCTCTCAAGTGTCTTAAATGTTGGCTGGCCATTGATAAGTCATCAACCACTGAAGCCCAGTTTCTTATTCGGAAAATAAAGAACAAAGCTTATTCTCTGTAATGACCTGAATTTGTTGCTTATTGAGTTCAATACATAATTAGTACTTATATATGGTTCTCATTCTTTGGGTGGGTGGGGTGGGTGGAGTCCACACCCTGCCATGCTCAGGGCTACTCCTCTCTGCTCCAGGATCATTACCGGTGGTGCTCAGGAGACCATGTGGTGCTGGGGATCAAACCGGGGTCTGTCGCATGCAAGGCAAGCATCTTAACTCCCCTGTACTTTCTCTCTGGCTCTCCAATTATCATTTCTTAATCTGGGAACACAGTGATAGTTATCCTGAATCCGTTAAGAAAAATTTAAATTAAGTCTTACACATTAAGAATTCAGTGAAACGAACTATATATTTTCTTTTCCTATAAAAATAGTTACTTTGGGGGTTAAATTACTAGCTTCCGATGAAGAATTCCCTTTTTGAGGGAAGATGTCAGTCCTAGAGAGTGCTATTAGTCAGTGGCTCATTGGTACAGAGACTGAGGCTAAATGAAGCTGCCAGTATCAGCCCAGTCTACATTTATACTATCCTTAACTCCATGCTGTTGTTTTGGTTCTGAAATCTGTGAATGGTGGGCTTGATTGTAGATAGATAAACACTTATAGCAAGGAATCTCTGAATAAAGCACATTTCCCAAAAACCTATTTTATGAATTTTAAGAGCATGACTTTTTCTATGTAACATTCTATTTCGACATAACATTTGTCTAAATAAAGATGCAATTATAGTAAGCCTTTCTACCACCTTTTTGTGTGTGTGGTTGTGGGGAGGAGGGTCTCAAACTCAGGACCTCACATAAGGAAGGCATATTCTCTACCAGTGAGCCATAGCCACAGCCCATTACATCATCATTAATGAAAGCTAAAGACTATTCTTTTAAAATATTCTCAAACCTTTTTAACTTAATCTGGAAGGCTGTTGAAAGGTTCTTCCACTTGTATTAATACTCTTTTTATCTTTCTAGCTGCACGTTATGAGGAAGGAGAGTCAGAAGCAGAGAGCATTACTTCATTTATGGATGTTTCAAATCCTTTTTACCAGCTTTATGACACAGTTAGGAGCTGTCGGAACAACCAAGGGCAGTTAATAGCTGAACCTTTTTTCCATTTGCCTTCAAAGAAAAAGTATCCTGATTATTACCAGCAAATTAAAATGCCCATATCACTGCAACAAATCAGGTAAGATGCTTTCTTCATTATTTAGTATAAATATACTTTTATGTCCTATGCATATTTCTTCTAAAATGGGTAAGAATATTAAGAGTAGAACTGGAGCGATAGTACAGCATGTAATGCACATGCCTTGCATGCTGCTGACCGGGGTCTCCAGCATCCCTGTGGTCCTCTAAGCACCACCAGGAGTGATTCCTGACTGCAGAGCCAGGAGTAACACCTGAGCATCACCAGGTGTGGCCACAAAACTAAGAATATGTGTGTAACTGAGAATGTTTTTCACATGTCTGGAATATGCTTGAGTATGCCTTCTATAAGAACAGAGATAAATTGGGTAAATAAAATTATATTCTGTGTACCTCCAAAGGCAAATAAATGAAAGGTATTCTTGTTCTAGGCATTTGTTTTGTTTTTGTTTGTAGTGAAACAAGTTCGATTCCTTTATCCCGTATGGGAGTGATCCCTGAGCTCAGAGCCAGGAGTAAACTCTTAACACCACTGGGTATAGCCCCAAATTTAAAAATTAAAAACAAAACAGCACAAAATCTCGTCTTCAAACCATTGTAATTAGTCACAAACATTCATGTTGAAGAATAGCAGTCAACGAATTCTGACATCTGCTTCTCACTGTGTTTAGATGGCACTGTGTTGTCTATATGTGTTACTTCCAGAATTATATTTAATTTTACTCTTTAAATGTTTCTTTGTGCCATTGCCAGTACTTTTTTTTCTCTAACACTTATGAACTAAATGACCTCACATTTTCAGAAATTAGTGGATTGCCATGATTCTTCATTAAGGTAGTTTAAAAGCTCAACCCCCTGGGACCAGAACAATAGTACGGCAAGTGGGGCATTTGCCTTGCATGAGGCAAACCTAGGTTTGATTCCTGGCATCCCATATCATCTCTTGAGCATGGCAAGGAGTGATTCCTGAGTGCAGAACCAGGAGTAACACCTGAGCACATCTGGGTATCACCAAAAAACCTCTAACAGGGTTTTTCAGTTAGGGATTTTTCTAGTAAGTTTGCTTTGAAATTGACCATTTCATCATTGACCAGAAGAGGATGTTTCTAGGTTCTTTTATTAATTCTTAATATTTCAATTTGTTGTTTTGAGTTTTCAGTTAGTCATATTATACAGTAGTACTTTACTCTCCTTGTTTTATATCTTAAAAGGATCATTTCAAGTTTTTTTTTGTTTTGTTTTGTTTTGTTTTGCTTTTTGGGTCACACCAAGCAATGCACAGGGGTTCCTCCTGGCTCTGCACTCAGGAACTACCCCTGGCGGTGCTCAGGGGACCATATGGGATGCTGGGAATCAAACCTGGGTTGGCCGCGTGCAAGGCAAATGCCCTACCCGTTGTGCTATTGCTCCAGCCCCTCAAGTTTTTAATTTTTTGTTACAAATAAGATTATCTCTTATACTTTTCAGGATTCTTGCATTGGATTTTACAAAGATTGTTTTCTAGTTTTCATAATGGAAAATTCTATCTGTATCTGTCTTTCACAGAACAAAGCTAAAGAACCAAGAATATGAAACTTTAGATCATTTGGAGTGTGACCTGAATTTAATGTTTGAAAATGCCAAACGCTATAATGTTCCCAATTCAGCCATCTATAAGCGAGTTCTAAAATTGCAGCAAGTCATGCAGGTATGATTTCTTGATTTTGCTTAGTTATTGAGTGTGTAATTGAAATTCATACATGCTGAGTATGTTCGGGAGCCATGGGGCGGGGGAAGTGGTCGGAGTTTGGGGCCATATGAAGCTGTGCTCAGGACTTCCTCCTGATTCTCCTCAGGGATCACTCCTGGCAGTGGTTGGGGTTCATGTGATACCAAAGATGCAATCTCAGCCTCCAGTACACAAAAGCATGTGTTTCAGCCCTTTGAGAAATTTTACCAGTCCCGTTTTGTTCTTGTTTTGTTTTGGACCACTCCCAACTGTGCTCACAGGTTATTCCTGGCTCTTTGCTTAGAGAATCACTCCTGGCAGGGCTCAGGGGATCATATGTGGTGCCCAGTATTGAACCTGGGTCAACCACCTGCAAGGCAAGCACCCCACCTGCTGTGTTATCTCTTTCTGGCCCCTGCCCTTTGTAGTCTTCGTCTTTTTGTTTTGTTTTGTTTGGGGGTCACACCATGATGCTCAGGACTTACTCCTGGGTCTGCTCTAATGAATCACTTTTAGCAAGGATGACGGGGGGGGGGGGGGGGGGGGAGTGGCAGGGGATGGGATGACAGACACACCATAATGGGGTGTTGGGAATCAAACCGAAGTCAGCTGAGTACAAGGCAAGCACCCTACCCACTGTCTTCCCCTTTGCAGTTTTCAGTGCATTTTATTTTATTATTTTTTTAAATGCACTTTAACTGGTGTTGATTTCTCGTATCTCTGGATTCATTTTCTTAGGCTGTTTTTTTTTCTCTTCTGCGTAATTGGTTATTGAAAATGTTGGCTCATTCCCTAATTTTATGCATTCTACTTATGGTCATACCTTTCTGAATGAAGTGGACAAAGTCCAACTCTTTAATATACATGTTCCATATATTCCATGAGTATACAGCAAAAATGACTTGATTCCTGGGATCTGCTCTGTTTTAGGCAAAGAAAAAAGAGCTCGCCAGAAGAGATGACATTGAGGATGGAGACAGCATGATTTCTTCAGCCACCTCTGATGCTGGTAGTGCCAAAAGGAAAAGGTATATATTCTTCTCATAGCTGGAGAGATCTTCTCAGTTTCTGTTTGATTTAAGATAACTGCAGAAAAATGACTTTGGAAATGCTAAATATGAATTCTCATAAGCTTTCAAGATTTGGTAATATCTTACAGAATTATTCTGTAAATTTTGTATGATTAACACTTTTTTGGTAGAGGTACCTATTTTATATGGTTTAGATAAGAATTATAGGAGCTTATCTAGCATATAAAAATCTGTTCATCTTTTTTTGCTATTTCATTTTATTTTAATATGACCTTTAAAGAGGGCCACTCAAGTAATTTAGGTAGTTCCTATATGGTGAATTATAAAGATGGAATATGACTCTTAGGAAAGGTAAGGAATAAGTTGGTACAACTGTAAGTCATTACTCTTACCACTTTGTTTTTCTTGTTAGTCTAGTTTTTAGTCTAATCCATTTTATGGGTGTTACATTCTAAAATACCAAGTTACAATTTCTTATGGTTGATAGCACAGTGGGTAAGGCGTCTGCCTTGCACGCAGCCAACATGGCCGACCCGAGTTCGATTCCTCCGCCCCTCTCGGAGAGCCCGGCAAGCTACCGAGAGTATTCGATATGCCAGACACAGTAACAACAAAAGTCTCCAATGGAGACGTTACTGGGCCCGCTCGAGCAAATCGATGATCAACGGGAGGGCCTTTACTTTACTTTACTTAATAAAATATTAAGCTAGATAATTTAGTTTTCTTTCTGATCTTTTTCTCAATCCTTTATTTTTCACCTCTGGGTTTTATGGAAAGAGACCTTACTGTAAGATTCTATGTAGAATTATGTGAGACCATCTCTTATCTACATGTCTGACATATAGAATTTCTCTGGCTTGATCTTTGTGAACACCAACCTCTCCCTCAACCTTAATTCTTCATCATCTTTTTAGCAGCAGTCAATCCAAAGAGACGACCTTAAATAAAGCGGTTACTAATAGCAGGACTTAACATATTCAAAGTTGAGTGGAAAAGGTCATTAGTAACTGTTGACAGTGTTCTGTTTATCTGTTTATAGATCACTAAGATTAAAGAAATTCAAAAAGTGTTTTAGAAAAAAGAAACTTTCCCTCTTTTCCACTTACAAAATAACATCTTGGAAATTTTTTTAGCTCTGAAAATACTGCTATACTATGCCAGGTTAATAGCAAGAGTGATTGGTATACCATGAGATGTGAGTCTCATCCAGTACTGGCCAATGAATCTCATCCTTCCAAGTTCTTAATTCCTTGTTATACCAGGGACAACGGAGGAAAAATGTGAAACCAGATCAGAGACATCAAATCAAGAACATCTTTGAGTATAAATATATAAGTCTACTACAGCATCACGTGTGTTTTCCAGATCAGTCACCAATCAAAGATAAAAACTTCTCAGGCAAAAGAAGGTAATGGAGGCAAAAGTGATGGTACAGACAGTGCCAACACTGATGAAAACAGAGATCTTAAGTTAGTTGAGTGTTAAGAAAATAGTTACAAGAAAGCATTAGCCCAAGCCAGATACTTTAAAATTGCCTATATCTGTGGCTTATTAATTGTGGCACAACCCAACTAAATTAAGTGCAGTTTATTGCTATAAAACTTCCCATTGAAATAAAATTAAGCAATATGGTCTTAGAATAATAAAATCCCTCTTCAGACAACAAGTATATGTAAACAGGTTTTCCTAAAGGACAGACATAGATAAAGTAATGACAGAACATATACAGAACATATCTTGAAGGATAAAAAGAAAGCACCTACCTGGGCTTTTGAAGTACAAGCATACAAGGACATTAAGAAGTCAAGGAAGAGGGGGTAGAGCAATAGTACAACAGGCAGGGCACTTGCCTTGCACGTGACCAATCTCTGGGACCCCATACGATCCTTCCAGTCCGCCAGGCTTAAGCCCTGAGTACTGCCAGGTGTGACCCAACAGCAACAACAACAACAAAAGATTCAAGAAAAGAGATCAAAGATTTAACAGGCTGAGTGCATGCTTTGCATACCGGAGTCATGGGTTCGATTCCCAGCATTGCATGGAGCTGGAATTAGCTCTTGTGTGCTGACAGGTTCTCAGCCACCAGCTCATCCAAAAAAAAAAATTTAAGAAAAGGAGGTCTTATGGTTTGGACTACGGTAAAGGAAATTGCATGATGAGACTTTTAGAATATAATTATGTTAAAATAGTAAGTCAACTGGTTCAGAATTCTGGTAAATGAAACAGCCTAAGTAAGTTAAGTTAAACTTGTCCAGAGAAGGGCTGGAGTGATAGTACAGCGGGTAGGGCATTTACCTTGCACATGGCCAACCCGGGTTCAATCCCCGGCATCCCATATGGTCCCCCAAGCACCGCCAGGAGTAATTCCTGAGTGCAGAGCCAGGAGTAAACCCTGAGCATCACTGGGTATGACCCAGAAAGAAAGAAAAAAAGCTTGTCCAGATAAATCAGAACCAAATTTTTCCAAGTACCATTTGCCTTGGTTTCTAAATACTATGACTATTTTTTTTTAACATTAATGAATGTGAGAAAAATTAATACAGTTGTGTTCATCCTGGGAATACATTCTTCTCCCCACATCCCTCTGCACAAAAATCCTCTTGCTCTCTTCTATGTTGAAATGTTCTGAGTGTTCTTAGTATCTTATTCTGTGGACTGAATAATTCTCTTTTTTTTCTCTCAACCGTATTTGGTTTATACATGACCTTCCAGTGTTGCTTATCTTGTTTCTCTTCACATGTAATGTTTGTTTCTGCTTTCCCAGGAGCACTCTTGACAATGAGATGTTGGGTCTCAGGAGGCTATCCAGGTGTGCAGTTCTTTTTTATGCATAAACATTCTTGAAAGTGTAACTCTTATGACATGATTAGTACCAATTAGGTGAAAAGCAAAGCCTTTAGCATGGGAAATAACATTTTTTATTGGGTGCTAATTTATTTTATGAATGAAGACAGCAGTAGTTCGAAAGTATAGTTGGTAAAGTAAATTCAGAATTAGCCTAGACTCAGTAACTTTACCAGTGGCTGTAAGCCCCCTCACCAGTTATTATGACTATTCTTTTGAAACTAAAGGTAGAGGTTAAAAACATGGTGTAGTTGCCAGTATCTAAGGATTTGGAAGGTACTAATTCCATTTCAGGGGTGTCTTTTATAGAATATGGGGGGTACTGGAACAATAAAAGTCAATGTGTCAGTACAAGTATGTCAGTTTATATCGATACGTTCACATTGTCTTGGAGTTTCTTAAGCAGGAATATGTTTCCTGTTTCTGATCTTAGTATTTTCACTTTAATACTTTTTTATGTTGCTTATGTTTTTGGGTGGTGAGGAGGGAGCACAGTCAGCGGTGCTCAGGGCTTATTCCTGACTGTGCACAGAGATCACTCCAGGTAAACTCAGGTGGGCATATGGAGCACCAGAAATCCAACCCAATATGCCATGGAAGGCAAGCACCTGCCCACTGTCTATTGTTCCGGCCCCCTGTTCTGTTTTAAAAACAGCTTATGAGTTGCCATATTTCTAGTAATTAGGTGATACTTTTATTTTCTCAACTGGAAAAACTAGCTTTTCCAGTTGCTTACAGAACTCAAAACTCTGCTTTTGCAGGTCATACAGGAAATTTTTTTGATATAAAATTTTTTGTTATCTGCTTGTCCGGAGGGACTGGAATGATATAGTGGGTAGGGCATTTGCTTTGCATGTGGCCAACCTGGGTTCAATCACCAGAATCCTATATCGTCCCCTGAGCACCTCCAGGAATAATTCCTGAATGCAGAGCCAAGGGTAACCCCTGAGCATTGCTGGGTATGGACCAAAAACAAAAGAAATTAAAATATCTATGTATTAGGAACTTACTAACCAATAGAAGAAGCAGGTTGAAAGCAAATGAAATTATGTGGATCATTTGTCATAAATAATTGCTTAAGGCACATAATTGTGTCGTTGTTCAAAAATGTTCCTTGGCTATCTAGATAGCTTTTAGGAAATATGACTTTCTTACCATGCTTTTCCTTGGAAGTTATCCTGGGTTTATCTAAATTTAAATACCATATGTAGTCCACACTGCAGAATTATGTTTATCATCTTTTTTTTTTTCTAAAATTTTTCTTAAGAAGGAACCAGAGCCATAGCATAGTGGTAAGGATTGCACACAGCTAACCCAGGTTTGATCCTTTGCACCCTATGTGGTCCCCTGAGAGCCACTAGATGTGATCCCAGAGTGCAGAGCTAGGAGTAAGCCCCAAGAGCAGCACCGGATGTAGCCCCCAAAATATTGATTTTTAAAATAAAATTTGTATTAAGAAAAGTTTTCTTAGATGATAAATTTAAGAAAACAGATCATGGGGGGGTGTATAAATATATATATGGTGTGTACATATATATACACACATGTATATGTATGTATATATATATACATATGTATTATTGATCGTGTAAAACAACTAAGTCTGAACAGTAATAGGAAAAAATTTGTGGGGCATCATGGATTCAATCGTAGAGCTTTAATGCCCAAATTTAGATTCCAGCAGTTCCTATTAGCTCTGTTTATCTGAGCCTCATCTATTTTTTGCGGGGGGAGTCACACCCAGCAATGTACAGGGGCTCCTCCTGGCTTGTGCACTCAGGAATTACTCCTGGCAGTGCTTGGGGGACCATATGGGATGCTGGGAATTGGAACCGGGTTGACTGCTTGCAAGGCAAAAACACCCTACCCGCTGTGCTATCGCTTCAGCCCTGAGTCTCATCTATTTCTCCTTTAGAAAAAGATGCTGATGATGATACTATGTAGAATTGCAGTGTATATTGGTTAATATGCCTAAAACTGTTAGCAGTAGGTCTAGGTTCTGTAAATACTCATTTGCTGCAGTTGCATAAGTAGTCCCTTTTTGATACCATGACCTGGAAGAGCACTTATTTTTCAGTCAAATATTACTTGTCTGGGAAAACTAATTGGGAAAACTAATTGGGTTTTATTCCTTGATGACCTGAGGCTGAAAT